ACATGGCTGGGTCGGGCTCTGGTGGCTCCCGCCTGCCATCCCAGCTTCTCTGGAGGCTGAGATCGGAGGATCCTGGTTCGAAGCCAGCTGGGGCAGACAACACTGGGAGACTCTTCTCTCCAGTCTGCCAACCAAGAGCTTGGATCCAGACGCGTGGCTCAGAAGGGCAGTGCCAGCCTTCAGTGAAAAAACCAAGGGGATAAGAGCTAGAGAATGTTCTAGAAGGATCCTGTGAGGGAGACTTTAGACTGGGAGGGAAGTGAGACCAGGAAATGTTGTCGGAGCGGGCAGACAGCGCCAACCACAGCACCTGCTGTCTCTTCAGGCAAAACTGGTAACCACACACTCAGGGCCGAGAGAAGGCAACCAGGGGAACGGATGTGGGCTGCAGGCCCTCCCCCTCCCCCACAGGAAGTCCTGCCCACCCCAATGTCATAGCTAACTTGTGTGCACGTGAGCGTACACATACATCTCACCAAAGGGTACCTTTGTGTGTGTGTGTGTCTGTGCCAGCCCTGGGGCTTTGTGCTCAAGGTGGGCGCTCTACCACTTGAGCCACAGCACCATTACTGGTTTTCTGGTGATTCATGGGAGATCAGAGTCTCATGGACTTTCCTGCCCAGGCTGGCTTTGAACTGCGATCCTCAGATCTCAGCCTCCTGAGGAGCTGGGATGACAGGCGTGAGCCACCGGTGCCCGGCTGCACCTGCCCTTTTAGAGGTGCCCACCCGAGCCCTGGGAACACATTTATTCCACTTCCCCCCTTGTCCATTTGAAATGCAGTAGAAGAACCTGCTTCCTTCTTGTTCCAACCACAAAACTGGCAAACTCGACTTTCGAGCACACACAGACCCAAGTATGCCTCCTGACACTTTCTCCTTATAAGTACTTAAGCAATGAGGCCGGGCACAGTGGCACCCGCCTTTAGTCCCAGCTATTCAAGTGTCTGAGTGCAAATGGAACTGGAGGTCAGGGATTCCAGACCAGCTTTGCCAACAAAGTGATTCTGTGTTTAAACAAACAAATAAGAACCCACTTTGTTTTGTTTTGAATTCCTTAGAAACTTTGTGTTTCTGTTTCTCAGAGTAGAAGGTAAAGTTCTAGTTGAAAATGAGCACCATGGCCGGGCGCTGTGGCTCCCGCCTGTCATCCCAGCTACTCAGAAGGCTGAGATTTGAGGATTGTGGTTCAAAGCCAGCCCGGGCAGGAATGTCCCTGAGACTCTTCTCTCTCCAGGAAACCACTAGAAATCCTGAAGTGGTGCTGTGGCTCAAATGGTAGAGCGCCAGCCTTGAGCTGAAGAGCTCAAAGACAGCGCCCAGGTCCTGAGTTCAAGCCCCACAACTGACAACAACAACAAAAGAATACCAGTTTAATTCCCACCCCACACCCAACCAGTGAGCCCACTCATAATTTTGTTATATTTGTTCTATCAAAATGGCAGTGTAAGCATTCGTCTCCATATTCCACAGGTAAAACCAGCTTCGTGGCAGCCGTATGCTTTGAAAGGCCTGTTCACGTCGGGTTTTCCATAACAGTTGATTCTATAATTATCGTGACCCACGATCACTTTTAACCATTACACGAAACACCCTACAATTAGGAAGCTCAAAGCTGGGCATGGTGGCGCACGCCTGTAACCTTCCAGGAGGAAAGATTTGACGTTTGAGATCAGCCTGGGCAAAGGTTTACTGAGACCTTATTTCAAAAACAAGAGAGGCTGGGCAGGTGGCTCAGTAGTAGAGCGCTCACCTAGCATGCATGAAGCCCTGGGTTCGATTCTTCAGTACCACATGCACAGAAAACTGGAAGTGGCGCTGTGGCTCAAGTGGTAGAGCACCCGCCTTGAGCTGAAGAGCTGAGGGACAGCGCCCAGGCCCTGAGTTCAAGACCCACGACTGACAAAAAAAAAAAAAAAAAGGTCTCCGGACTTTCCTGCCCGGGCTGGCTTTGAACCGTGATCCTCAGATCTCAGCCTCCTGAGTTGCTGGGGTGACAGGCGGGAGCCGCACGGAGCACTGGCAGCTGTGGGGGTCCCTGCCTGGTCCCCGATTTCCCCCCACTCCCTTGCACCCCGAAGCTGCTGATGGCAGCGTGGTGTGGCACCGAGCCAGTCCAGATGATGGCAAAGTTGGGAAAAGCTGCCAGAGACGAGGCGGGTGGACAAGGGAAGTGGAGAAGGTGGATTGGGGAACGGGGCACTGAACCTGCCCCCCAGCCCTCCCTGAGGGTAAGGTAGGCACGGGGGGTGGGGGGGGACATGGAAGAAAGCAGACCGAAAGAAAGCAACGGATGTTTCATTCCACCAAGGAGGACGGGGTCTATGGATGCCCACTGAGACTGAGGAACGCAATGAGGCCGGGCGCTGCTGCTCACACCTGTAATCCCGGCTACTCAAGAGACTGAGAAGTCTTACCGTCCCTGCTTTCCTGGGTAGCAATAGTTACACTATTTGTTCACAATTCTATCCAGCCGACTGAGCCTCGTAGCTCCCGCCTGTCATCCCAGCTACGTAGGAGGCTGAGATCTGAGGATCGAGGTTGGAAGCCAGCCTGGGTAGGGAAGTCCATGAGACTCTGATCTTCCAATGAACCACCAGAAAACCAGCAGGGGCGCTGTAGCTCAAGTGGTAGAGCGCCAGCCTTGAGCTGAAGAGCTGAGGGACAGCGCCCAGGCCCTGAGTTCAAGCCCCAGGACCAACCCAAAATAACAAAATAAAAGTCATCGTGGACATTTCTCACATCTGACCTTCCTCAGCTCTCCACCATTGGTGTGTGTGTGTGTGTGTGTGTGTGTGTGTGTGTGTGTGCCGGTCCTGGTACGTGAATTCAGCACCTTGGCCTTTTTTTTCCCTCCAGGCTGGTGCTCTACCATTTGGGCCACAGCTCACTCTGGCTTTTTGCCGGTTCATGGGAGAAAAGAGTCTTAGAGACTTTCCTACCCGGGGCTGGCTTGGGCCCGCGATCCTCAGATCTCAGCCTCCCGAGTAGCTGGAGGACAGGCGGGAGCCACCGGCGCCCGCTCCGCGTTACATGTCTTTCTCATGGATTCGCCCCATTTTTCAGTAAAGGAAGGAGCTGGGGAGATGCCATTTGGTGGGGAGGGAGGGGTCCCTTCTTCTTTTGGAAGACCCCATGAACAGAGGCAGGCAGACACCTCCATGGGGTGATCCAAAGGGCCTAGAAATTCCTCTACGCGTCTGCTAACTTGGGCTCAGAGGCTGAGATGATTTCTTCTCTGAGACCAGCCAGGACTGGGGTACTATGCCCTCCAGTTCCAATAAACTATTCCTGAGGGCTGAGGGAGCGTGCCTGTCTAGAAGCCCAAAGCCCTGGGCTCCATCCAGCAGCCACCCACCCACCCATCCATCCATCCATCCATCCATCCATCCAAGCTGGGTGTGGTAGCATACCCCTGTAGTCTCGGCTACTCAACAGGCTGAGATAGGGGGATCACTTAAAGCCAAGGGGTTTCAACTCCCTTTGGTTAACAAGCGGAGACTCCATGTCTAAAAGGCGGTGCGCATCCAGGGTTAGCAAATAGTTAGCTTATTGTACAAGCTCCCAGGTCCTGTCCCCAACACGAAATCATTTGAAAGAAATATTACGTTCTACTTTGGTTCCATGGGGAAGATACATAATAAACAACACGGCCCCTTGGCAGGGTTTTTAAGTGTGTGTGTGTGTGTGTGTGTGTGTGTGTGTGTGTGTGTGTGTGTGAACTGGTACTAGGACTTGAACTCAGAGCCCGGGCTGTGACCATTAGCTGTTTCAGCCAGACCTCCACTTCTGGCTTTCTGGTGGCTCCTTGGGATGAGCATCTCCCGGGCTTTCCTGCCCTGGCTGGCTTTCAACCACCAACCTCAGCCCTCAGCCCTCCTGGGTAGCTGGGATGACAGGCGTGAGCCACGGCGCCCGGCTCATTACGTGGCAGTTCCAACCCAGCCCAGGGAAGCCCAGGAGACTCTGCTCTCCAGTGAACTGCCAAAAAACTGGACGTGGAGCGGTGGCTCAAGTGGCAGAGTGCCATCCTTGAAGAAAATAAAAGAACCAAAGGGACAGCACCCAGGCTCTGAGTTCGAATCCCAGTACCGGCACCAAAAAAAGGAAAGAGATCGAAAAAAGAGTTTCAATGGGGAGAGGATCCATCATTTCCGCCCTCCCCACATTCCACAAGAGGGGTGCAACCTCCCTGTGTCTATGGGGGGCCCCCCATCCCCACCCCATGACCACCCTGGCCTTACCTGAATCCTCTGCTGCTCCAAGCTCGATGCTGCACCATTCTGAGCTGAGCTGACCAGGGCTGGTGCGACCTGCTGTAGACCCGGCCTGGGAATGACTGCCACACCTTCCCTAATCTCAGCTCTGTGCCCCGGCTCCTAGAAATCCCCCAACCCCCACAAAGCGCAGGAGAGAAGAGAGAGAGACAGACAGACAGACAGAGACAGAGACGGAGGGGGGGGGGCACAGTGATCTCAGAAAGCTTCACAGACAGACCACAAAAGAAAGCTCCAGAATCGAATGTTCAATCCAGCCCCAACTCGAGTCCTGCCACCGTCTTCACTCGGGCTCACACCCGCCTGACGTTTCCGGGAACTCTGGCCCGGGCACGCCCACCCCAGCCCGGTGACTAACACTCTGACTGCAGCTCCTACCTGTCCCCGCCTGCCCTGCCCTTCCTCTCCAGCCTGCCCTGGAGGCTGAGCCGGGCTCTGCTGCGCCCTCCATTAGTCCCGGCTCCACCCTGCCCCGCCGGCTGGTGAAGCTGGGAGCTGGCCAGGGGGGCTAGGGGGAGTCCAGAGGATCCAAGTTCGAAGGCAGCCTGGAGAGGAAAGTCTGGGAGACTCTGATCTCCAAGGAAGCAGCAAAAAGCTGCAGGGGTGCTGTGGCTCAAGCGGTAGAGCGCCAGCCTTGAGCGAAAGAGCTCAGGGACAGGACCCGGGCCGTGAGTTCAAGCCCCAGGACTAGTGTAGAGACGAAAGCAAAACAGGCCACGGGAGCTCCACGCAAATAAACGTTTTATAGAAAAGACATGACCAGGGGTGGGGAGATTTCCCATCAGGCACCGCCCTGGGCCCAGGACGCAGGGCCTGGGCAGGGATGGGGGGGTGGGGGGCCCCCAGCTCAGCCGAACTGGCCCAGGGCTAAGGTGCTGAACTCCTGGCTCCAGCGCAGCACCACCTCCTCGCTCTTGGCTGGCGTCAGCACACTGTACGTCTCGTTCTGCAGACACCGCATGCGCGACACCTACAGGGCGGCAGCCGGGAGCCGGTGCGCACGCCTGTCGTCCCCGCTCCTCACAGGCTGAGATGTGAGGAGCGCAGGTCCAGGCCAGCCCAGACAGGAAAGCCCCTGAGACTCTCCTCTCCGAGAAGAACAAGCTGGACCTGGCGCCGTGGCTCAAGGGGTAGAGCGCCAGCCTGGGACACAGGGAGACTCAGGGACGGCGCCCGGGCTCTGAGTTCAAGCCCCAGGACTAGACACACAATAAAGAGAAACAACAATCCTTCATCTAGGCTGGGCGGGTGGCTCAGTGGTAGAGCGCTCGCCTCGCATGCATGAAGCCCTGGGTTCGACTCCTCAGCACCACAGACACAGACAAAGCCAGGAGTGGCGCTGTGGCTCAAGGGGTAGAGCGCCCGCCTTGAGCCAAAGAGGCTCAGGGACAGCGCCCAGGCCCTGAGTTCAAACCCCAGGACTGGGAAAACAAAACTCGAGCTGTCAGCCCATCTGAAGGCTCCCGATGCGCATGCGCACGGGTCCTAACTTTCCTACTTCCCCCTGCTGTCTAGCTTGCTAGCTCTTCAGAAGGTCAGGATTGCTCCTGGGGTGCGGGGTGGGGGGCATCCTGTGGAGGCCCTTCCCCCAGAGATGCCAAATAAGAAACTGCTCCCCGCACCCCAGGCTCTGGAAGAAGGGAGACCTGGACTGGAGGCACCTGGGGCGCTGGACGGAGGGGTGGTGAGGGTAGCATAGGAGCTCACCTTTCGACTCTGGTTCCTCATCAGACACTGCTGGCTTTTGAAGGCGCAGTAGTTGGGATACTGGATGTAGTCGGTGTCGCAAATCTACGCCGGGGGAGGGAGGAAGAGGGGCCGTCAGGACTCAGCCCGTCATGGCAGGAGGCTGAGAGCTGAGGATCGGGGTTCAAAGCCAGGCTGGGGAAGGAAAGTCCTCTGGCAAAGGCAGCCATTGGGGGCCTGTGTGTGTGTGTGCGCGCGCGCGCTGGACCCGGGGCTCGAACTCGGGGCCCGGGCTCTGGTGGCGGCCGGGATTCCAGGCGAGCGCGCCCAGCCCGGCTCCCTCCCGGCCGGCTGACCTTGGTGGGGTAGTCCCCGTCCTGGAAGCTGAGGAACTCGGCCTGCAGCCAGCCGGACACGCGCACGTCCTCGCAGCCCTTGGTGGCCAGCCGGGCGCACCAGAAGTCCATGCGCAGGCCGCCGTACAGCTCCAGCCCGTAGAAGCGGCCGCCCTGCCGGGCCCCTGCCTGGGACGCAGCGACGCGTGCGTGGGCCGCGCGCGCCCCCCGGCGGCCGCGCCGAGCACTGCGGCGGGGCGGGGCGGCCGGGGACCGGCCCCGCCCCCCGGGCCAGCTAAACCACGCCCCCAACGCGGCCCGGCCCCGCCCCGCCCCTGGAGGGACCGGCCCCGCCCTCGCGCAGCCCCGCCCTAGGGCGCACCGCGCCCCCAGGGCCCGCCCCCGCCCCTCAGCGTAGGCCCGCCCCCGCCCCTGGCCACGCCCCCGTGCTTCCCCGCCCCCAGCGCGGCCCCGCGCCCAGGGTCCGCTCCGTCCCCCAGCGCGGCTCCCCTCCCCCAGCGCGGCCCCGCCCCTAAACCCCGCCCCAGGCCCCGCCCGCCCCGCCCGCCCCGCCCCCTCAGCGCGGCCCGCCCCATCCCCAGCTCAGCCCGACCCCCGGCCCCCGGGCCCGCCCCCGGCCCCGCCCCCGCGGCCCCCGCCCCCGCCCCCGCGGCCCCCGCCCCGCCCCCGCGGCCCCTGGCCCCGCCCCCGCGGCCCCTGGCCCCGCCCCGCCCCGCCCCGCCCCGCGGCCCCGCCCCCGCGGTCCCTGGCCCCGCCCCCGCCCCGCGGCCCCGCCCCGCGGCCCCGCCCCCCGCCCCCGCCCCCGCGCGGTCCCCGCCATCCGGGTACCTGGGTGCCCACCGACATGCTCTGCGCGGTGAGCAGGATGCTGGTGAAGGGCGTGCGGTGCGAGCTGTCGCACTGCTGGCGCCGCAGGTCGCCCTCCGCCTGGCACTGCTCCAGCTTCAGCGAGCAGAAGGCGCACAGCGCGCACGTGGGCCGGTGGCGCCGCCCGAAGTTGTCGCACACCTGGGGGGAGAGTGGGGGCAGAGGGACAGGCTGGGGCTCGGCCGGAGCCCGCGCGCCTGGGTGCGTGCCAGCGCGGGGATGTGAACTCACGGCCCGCGCGCCTGGGTGCGTGTCAGCGGGGGGATGTGAACTCACGGCCCGCGCGCCTGGGTGCGTGCCAGCGGGGGGATGTGAACTCACGGCCCGCGCGCCTGGGTGCGTGTCAGCGGGGGGATGTGAACTCACGGCCCGCGCGCCTGGGTGCGTGCCAGCGGGGGGATGTGAACTCACGGCCTGGGTGCTGTCCCTCAGCGCTTCAGCTCCAGGCGGGCGCTCTACCACCTGAGCCACAGCGCCAGGTCTGGTTTTCTGGGGGTTCATGGGAGATCAGCGTCTCCCGGACTTTCCTGCCCGGGCTGGCTTTGAACCTCGATCCCCAGATCTCAGCCTCCTGAGGAGCTGGGATGACAGGCGGGAGCCAGGACGCCCGGCCTGGGTTTATCTTTTTTGTCAGTCCTGGGGCTTGAACTCTGGGCCTGGGCGCTGGCCCTCAGCTCTGCTGCTCAAGGCAGGCGCTCTACCACCTGAGCCACAGCGCCGCTTCTGGCTTTTTCTGCGTATGTGTTGCTGAGGAATCGAACCCAGGGCCTCATGCATGCAAGGCAAGCGCTCTACCACTGAGCCACCTGCCCATTCCTGGGTTTTTCTTTTTTAATGTGTGTGTGTGTGTGTGTGTGTTCTGCACTAGTTGCAGAGCTTGAATTCAGGGCCTGGGTGCTGTCCCTGAGTGTTTTGGTTCAAATTGGTTAATCTCAAGGTGTGACCCCTCTGTACATTCCATAATTTTTTTTTTTTGGTCGGTCATGGGGCTTGAACTCTGGGCCTGGGCACTGTCCCTGAGCTCCAGCTCAAGGCTGGCGCTCTTCCACCTGAGCCACAGCGCCACTTCCGGCTTTTCCTGCTTATGTGGTGCTGAGGAATCAAACCCAGGGTCTCACGCATGCAAGACGAGCGCTCTACCACTGAGCCACCTGCCCAGCCCCTATTTTATTTTTATTAATTACTAAAAAAAAAAAAAAAGCTGCGCATCAATAGCTCCCGCCTGTCATCCCAGCTACTCAGGAGGCTGAGATCCAAGGAACATGGTTCAAAGCCAGCCCAGGCAAGAGTCTGTGAGACTCTGATCTCCAATGAACCATTCAGAAAACTGGAAGTGGCGCTGTGGCTCAAGGGGTAAAGCACCAGCATGGAGCTGGAGCTCAGGGACAGCACCCAGGAACTGAGTTCAAGCCCCATAACTGACCAAAATAAAGTTGGTGCTCTACCACATGAAGCACAGCTCTATTTCTGGGTTTTGCTGGTTCAAGAGGCTCATGGGCTGCGCTGGCTTGGAACTGATATCCTCAGATCTCACTTTGTTGTTGTTTTTTTAACTTTGGGCCTGGGCACTGTCCTTGAGCTTGTTTTGCTCAGGGTTGGCGCTCTACCACTTGAGCCACAGCACCACTTCCAGCTCTCTTGGGTAGTTTATTGGAGATCAGAGTCTCACAGACTTTCCTGCCCAGACTGGCTTTGAATCGCGATCCTCAGATCTCAGCCTCCTGAGTAGCTGGGCTGACAGGCGGGAGTCACGGGCGCCCGGCCTATGTGATCTTTCTGTAGTGAAGCTCTGATTTCTGTCCACAGCTCCGATCTCTTCCCGACGTCCTTACCCCAAGTGGCATCTTAACCACTGCTGAGCTACAGGGACCCCTAGGAACCCACAGACCTTTTCCCTTCCCTGCTAATATTTCCAGAGCGGGAACACAGCGGGTGCACTAGAACTGTCCATTTTCATCTTCTCAACACCCACACAGTGACATCTCCAGAAAAGCAAAACAAAACTAGCCGGGCACGGGTGCTCACGCCTGTCATCCCAGCTACTCAGGAGGCTGAGATCTGAGGATCCCGGTTCAAAGCCAACCTGGGCAGGAAATTCTGTCAGACTCTGATCTCCCATGAACCATCAGAAAACCAGAAGTGGCGCTGTGGCTCAAGTGGTAGAGCGCCAGCCTTGAGCTGAAGAGCTGAGGGACAGCGCCCAGGCCCAGAGTTCAAGTCCCACCACCGACAAAAAAGTAAACAAAAAACATAATAAAGCCCCCCCCAAAATACCCCAAACTGTGCTATTATAGTAGACGCCCCAATACGTATGTCTGTTCACTGATGGGGAAACTGAGGGCCGGAGAGGTCCAGGACTTGTTTAAAGCCACAGGTGGCTAAGAGCAGGTGAATTGGGTCTGGGTGCTGGTGGCCACACCTGTCCCTCAGGAGGCTGAGATCTGAGGATCCGGGTTCAAAGCCAGGCCCCGGGCAGGCAAGTCCATGAGACTCTGCTCTCCAACTAGCTACCAAAAATAAGCTGGCAATGGAGTTGTGGCTCAAGTGGTAGAGCGCCAGACTCGAGGGAAAGACCAAAAATAAAGCTCCAGGACAGAGCGCAGGCCCTGAGTTCAAAACCCAGGGCAGACACGGAGCAACAAATGTTGTGGTGGGGGGCGAGCGGGGCTCTGGACGTGTTGTGCGTGCTCACGGGTGGGCAGGCTCCCACGTGCGGGCCGGGGCCCTGCCCAGGACAGACCCCGCCCCAGGGGCCTCGGCTTCCGGTGGCCACTGTGGTCAGCTCTCTCCTCTCCTCTCTCTGTCTCTCTCCTTTCTCTCCTCTATGTCTCTGACTTTTGTCTGTCTGTCTCTTGTCTGTCTCTCCTGTCTCTGTGCCGAGGGTGGGGTGGGAGGCTGGAGGGAGGAGGCCGGAGGCGGAGGCCGAGTGGCGGGCTTGGCAGCGTACCGACTTGCCGAAGCCCAGGAGCACTTCCTCTAGGTAGCTCCAAGCCCTGGCGGCGGGGGTGACGATGCAGGAGTTCTCCAGAATGGAGTAGCACATCACCAGCAAGGCATCGGTGTGCGGCAGCTGCAGAAGGCTGCAAGGAGACACGACTCACTGGCCGCGGCCTGGGATGGTGGTGGCCTGGCTTCCTCGGCCTCCCCGAGCAGCTTCAGCCTCGCCACCCACCCAGGGCCCCGGGGGGGGGGGGGGAGGGGGGACAGATCAGCGCCAGGCGTGGTGGTGGTGGTGGTGGCGGCGCGTTGTGTGAGTCATCCCAGCGGAGGCTGACAGGCCGGAGGTCGGCAAATGGAGGCCCGGCCGGGGAGCCAAAGTGAGGCCGGCTGGGGCAAGCAACGTGGTCTCCAAACACTCAAACAAACAAAGCCAACTCATCAAGGAAGGAGAAAGAACTTTTTCGACATTGTGCCACTTTTGGGGGGGGGGGGTAATAGAGCAGAGGTGGAATCCGTGTGGCAGGGACTCCAGGTTTTGGGGAGGGGGGGGGGTTCATGCCATGAGAGCTTTTGTCACACGTGGAGGGGGCCGAGGGGAGGGCGGGCAGGGGGGATTGACACACACACCAGGCCCAAGACAGGTGCAGGGTGGGGGGGTGAGGGGGGGCTGTGCCCACCGGCGCCCCCTGGTGGCCGGGCTGGGCAGGCTCAGGACAGCGACCCTCTTCATGGCCCACCAGCCCGGCCGGGGTGGAGGCCCGGGGAGGGAGTTAGCCCCGCCGGGGTGGAGGCCCGGGGAGGGAGTACCTGCCAGTGTGGCTTCGCCGGTAGGACTCATCGGAGGCCTCTTTGGTGTCTTCCATTTCCTGGGCCGAGCGGATGAGATCCTGAATGTTCTCCATCATGAGCGGGACCGAGTCCACCTCCCGGACGTGCGGGGTGAAGGACGGCGCGTCGGCCGCCAGAGCCTCGGCCTGGAATTTGCCTTCCGAGTCGCTCTGCAGACTGGACATGCTCTCCAGCGCCTCCTGCGTCCCCACTGCCTCCTGCCTGCCCTCCTCCTCCTCCTCCTCCTCCTCCTCTTCCTCCTCCTGCTCCTCTTCCTCCTCCTCCTCTTCCTCCTCCTCTTCCTGCTCCTCCTCCTCCGCCCCCTCCTCCTCCTCTTCCTCCTCGTTATGCACCCCGTCGGTCTTGTGCTCATGCAACAGTTCCTGCTTATGCGCATCGGCGCCCATTTTGTGACTGTTGGGCTGCTCCTGGCCTCCCAGGGACAAGGACGACTGGAGCAGTTCCTCCACGTTGTTGCTCAGGCGTTCCGGCCACGGCTGGAAGACCTGACGTTCCGTGGCTGCGGCGTGGTCCGACCCACCAAAGAGGAGAGAAAAGACAGACAGACCCTTAGCCGGGAGCTGGTGCGCACGCCTTTAATCCCGGCTACTCAGGAGCTGAGATCTGAGGATCACCGTGCAAAGCCAGCCTGGGCAGGAAAGTCTGTGAGACTCTGATCTCCAGTGAACTACTAGAAAACTAGAAGTGGCGCTGTGGCTCACGTGGTAGAGCACCCGCCTTGAGCTGAAGAGCTGAGGGACAGCGCCCAGGCCCTGAGTTCAAGGCCCAGGGTCAACAAGAACAAAAGAACGAAAGAACGAAGGAAGGAAGGAAGGAAGAAATAGGGCTGGGCAGGTGGCTCAGTGGTAGAGTGCTCGCCTAGCATGCAGGAAGCCCTGGATTCGATTCCTCAGTACCCCATACACAGAGAAAGCCAGAAGTGGCGCTGTGGCTCAAGTAGTACAGAGCTAGCCTTGAGCAAAAGAAGCTCAGGGAGCTAGGCACCGGTGGCTCCCGCCTGTCATCCCAGCTCCTCAGGAGGCTGAGATCTGAGGATCATGGTTCAAAGCCAGCCTGGGCAGGAAAGTCCGTGAGACTCAGATCTCCCATGAACCACCAGAAAACCAGAAGCGGCACTGTGGCTCAAGTGGTAGAGTGCCAGTCTTTAGCTGAAGAGCTGAGGGATAGTGCCCAGGCCCTGAATTCAAGCCCTATGACCAAAAAGAAAAGCTGGAAGTGGTGCTGTGGCTCAAGTGGTAGAGCACCAGCCTTGAGTAAAAAAGCTGAGGGACAGCGCCCAGGCCCTGAGTTCAAGAACAAAGACTGGCAAAAAAAAAAAAAACATAGCACCAAGCTGCAGGATTCCAAGTGTGTTTATCCACAGACATGTTTAACAAGTGGAAAAAAAAAAAAAAGAGGACAAAGGAACAGAAAAGACATCACACTTGTATATAGTTACATATTATTCAACAGCAAAGCAATAACAGCCACAATTAAAAAATAAAACCAAAGCCCAACACTAATGGCTTACACCTGGAATCCAGCTACTCAGGAGGCCGAGATCCAAGGATCACACGGTTCAAAGCCAGCCTGGGCAGGAAAGTCTGCAAGACTCTTCTCTCCAATGAACCCCCAGAAAACCGGGAGTGGTACTGTGGCTCAAGTGGTAGAGCACCAGCCTTGAGCAAAAGTAGCTCAGGGACACAGCACCCAGGCCCTGAGTTCAAGCCCCAGGACTGGCAAACAGAAGAAGTAAAAAATACCTACTATGCACCTGGCATTACCTTATAAGATGCTGTGGGAAGTGAATTGTCACATCCACCTGCCAGCCACTCTGCTTACAGGCTGGGTATTTTGATAGGATTAGCAGAGGCTGAGCGCCTGATCCCCTAGATTGGAACTGCTTGGCTAAAACCTGCTTGGAGCCTAGCCAGCGTGTGCAGTTCAACACGTGGGAGAATGAGGAAGCGCGAAGCCACGCCCCCAAGGCCTGTAGTACACACAGGGCTGAACTCAGCTGGGAGACGCTGCGCAGGTACAGTGGGAAAATCAAACAGGGAATCTGGCTGCACCTGCTACGCCAGGGCATCATGGGAAAAGATGCCCCTCCAGACAAGCCACCACCCCTGCTACAGAAAGAGGTAGAAGAGATCCAGCGCTGGTGGCTCACGCCTGTCATCCTGGCTACTCAGGAGGCTGAGATCTGGGGATCGAAGTTCAAAGCCAGCCTAGCAAGAAAGTCCCTGTGAGACTGTTTGTTTTGTTGGTCGTGGGGCTTGAACTCTAGGCTTGGGCGCTGTCCCTCAGCTCTTCAGCTCCAGGTGGGTGCTCTACCACTTGAACCACTGCGCCACTTCTGGTTTTCTAGTGGTTTATTGGAGATAAAAGTCTCATGGCCTTTCCTATCTAGGCTGGATTTGAACCTCAATCCTCAGATCTCAGCCTCCTGAGTAGCTGGGATGACAGGTGTGAGCCACCAGCGCCCAGCTCCAATTTTCATTTAAAAACGTAAGCTTGCTTAAAACCTTTATGCACAGGCTGGGAAGGTGGCTCAGTGGTAGAGCGCTTGCCTTGCATGCATGAGGCCCTGGATTCGATTCCTCAGCACCACATAAGCAGAAAAAGCCGGAAGTGGTTCTGTGGCTCAATTGGTAGAGCACCAGCCTTGAGCTGAAGAGCTGAGGGACAGAGTTCAGGCCCCAGGACCGGCAAAAAAAAAAAAACACAAGCAAACCTTTTTTGCACAAATGTGTGTGTGAATGTTCAAAATAATCTAATAATTTACCATAACATGATGTGAGAAAGTTTAGTCTTTTCTATCAAACTAAAATGCTGCTGTTTTGTATGGTGATTTTGTTTTGGTACTGGTATTTCCTAGAATTTCTTTCTTTTTGACTACTGTCTGTACTATTGGTGACCAGCCATAGGAGGAGAGTGAGTCTTGTGTTGAAGGAGTTAAAAGAATGAATTGTAATTATGCTATGTGGAATTAAAAAAACTAAGACTACTGGGCACCAACCTGTCATCCCAGCTACTAAGGAGGCTGAGATCTGAGGATCACGGTTCAAAGCCAGCCTGGCAGGAAAGTCTATGAGATTCTGATCTCCAGTAAACCACCAGAAAAACCGGAAGTGATGCTGTGGCTCAAGTGGTAGAGCGCCAGCCTTGAGCTGAAGAGCTGAGGGATAGCGCCCAGGCCCAGAGTTCTGGCCCCAGGACCAACAACAACAAAAAAATGAAGGTGATGACCAGGCTCCCAGACACTTGTGCTTAAATTGGACTGTTATATGTAACAACCGGCAAGTAGGAGTTGCTCCTGGATACAAAGATAAGAGTTCCACTAGTTCTCTGCAAGTTTGTCTCTTCCACAAAGTAACAACTGTTACAGCTATGAGCTCAGAAGAAGTCAGTCAGGAAAGGAATCCAGCTGCCATCTGTGATTTGCTGGAAAAAGAATCATTTAGGGGCTGGGCAGGTGGCTCAGTGGTAGAGTGCTTGCCTAGCATGCATGAAGCCCTGGGTTCGATTCCTCAGTACCACATCCACAGAAAAAGGTGGAAGTGGCGCTGTGGTTCAAGTGGTAGAATACCAGCCTTGAGCAAAAGAAGCTCAGGGATAGAGCGCCTAGGCCCTGGGTTCAAGACCCTGTTATCTCCCCCACCCCAAATCATTTAGCATGCCAACAATTTTAAAGGATTACATTGTTATATAATATAAGTGACAATTTCATATCAGTGACAATGTGTGAAAAACACCTGGAGAAAGAAATTGAGGAAGATGGCTGCCAATGGAAGAAAGCTGTCAGACAGGACAGAATGGAAGGAAAGGAGGAAGGAGGGAGGGAGGAAGGAAGAGAGGGAGGGAAGGAGGGAAAGAAAACAATTGAACAAGAAAACACAAATACCCAAACCTCCCAAAGTGGGAGGTTGCAAGAACAGTTCGAACAAAAAGGCCACCAGCCCCCATCTTAACCAACAAAAACAAATAAGGTGCATCGCATGGGAGGATCAGGACCGCCAGTAACGCACAACCACTGCCCAAGCTGACCCACACAGCAAGATCCTAGAACAAACAAACAAAAGCACCGAGCACCAGGATCCCAGTTCAAATCCAGCCCAGGCAGGAAAGTCTGTGAGACTCTGATCTCCAAGAAACCACCAAAAAGCCGGAAGGGGCGCTGTGGCTCAGGTGGTCGAGCGCCAGCCTTGAGCTGAAGAGCTGAGGGACAGCGCCCAGGCCCTGAGTTCAAGACCCAGGACTGGCTGGAAAGGAAAAAAAGGAAAGAAACAGAGACTCCCCCCACTTCTCCGGTCATGGAGCCCCCTCAGACCTTGGGCCCTGTACCCCAAATGCAGAGGCCGGTCACCTGTGGCCCGGGAGGCGGAGGGGGAGCCGGTGGTGGTGGATGGGGGTTCCATGGGCGATTCCACCTCCTTGAGTGTGTTGGGCGAGAGGATGGAGACCGGCTGGGAACAGCGCACTCTCTGCAGGAAGGGAAGAGAGCTGGGAAGGGTTCCGCAGTGGGCGGGCCTTCCTGCCCTGGGACCCCTCAGTCCCCCCACCCCCCGGCTCCCCGGTGGGGATGGAGGCCTGGGGAAGTAGTGTCTGTCTGTGTCACACTGTGGAACTGTGTGCTGGTTCACCTGCTAGGTTTTTTTTTCTGCTCAAGGCTGGTGCTCTACCGCTTGAGCCATGCCTCCAGCCTGACCTTTTGCTGGTTGGTCTCTGGAATTTGTTGCTTTCTTATAGTCAGTGCTTGGGCTTGAACTCAGGGCCTGGGCGCTGTCCCTGAGCTGCTTTGGCTCAAGGCAAACGCTCTACTGCTGGCTTTTGTTTGAGCACTTTTTTTTACAGGTAAGAGTCTCATGTACTTTCTGGCCAGGGGCTGGCTTTGAACCGCGATCCTACAGATCTCAGCCTCCTGAGTAGCCGGGATGACAGGCGGGAGCCACTGCACAGGCCTGTGTCTGATGGACTGGATTCTATCCTGGGGTGAAGGCAGGGAGGTGGGAGCTACGGGGGGGGGGGTCCAGGGCTCCCCCTTGCCCCCAGGGGGCCGATCCCCGCGCGACCCCGCCGCCCTCGAACCCCTGGAACCTCACCTTGGCATAGTACACATGGTTGGAGCAACGATACTGCGTGAACTGGCAGAAGGATTCGAACCAAGAGGCGTAGGGGAGGTCGGAGCAGACGGCGCCTGGGGGGGGAGGAGAGTGAGGCAGGGCGGGGCCGCCTGCCCCTCCCTCACCCCGCCCAGGCCCCTCCCCTCCTCCCTCGCCCCGCCCCGCCAGGCCCCGCCCCCTCCCTCGCCCCGCCCCGCCAGGCCCCGCCCTCAACCCGACCTGCTCCTCCTCCCTCGCTCCACCCCCCATCCTCCCTCGCCATGCCCCCCGGACCCGGCCACGCCCATCCTCCCTTGCCCCGCCCCGCCAGGCCCCGCCCTCCTCCCTCGCCCCGCCCCACCAGGCCCCGCCCTCGACCCGACCTGCTCCTCCTCCCTCGCCACGCCTCCCAGACCCTGCCACGCCCTCCTCCCTCGCCCCGCCCCACCCCGCCAGGCCCCGCCCCTCCTCCCTCACCCCGCCCCTCCTCCCTCACCCCGCCCCTCCCCCCTCGCCCGGCCCCGCCCCTCCTCCCTCGCCCTGCCCCCGGACCCCTGGCACGCCCCTCCTCCTTCGCCCCGCCCCTTCTCCAGCCTCGCCCCGCCTCCCTCGCCCCGCCCCGCCAGGCCCCGCCCTCCTCTCTCGCCCCTCCCCTCCTCCCTCTCCCTGCCCCGCCAGGCCCCGCCCTCCGCCCTCGCCCCGCCCCACCAGGCCCCGCCCCTCCTCCCTCACCCCGCCCCCCGCCCTCCACCCTCGCCCCGCCCCCTCCGCCCTCGCCCCGCCCCGGCCCCGCCCTCACCGTCCGGCACCAGCCCGTGGTTCTCGTACTGGTCCAGCTGCACCAGCGTGGGGTTGCGGCAGCCGTGCGTGGCGCGCAGGCGGCACGTGGTCTCCGCCTTCCACGTGGGCGTCAGCAGCGCGAAGAAGCGCTCGTACTCGGTGGGGGACAGCGGGCTCCCGGGCGTGGCCGTGGACGCCGAGTCCAGGGCCGCGGCCGACAGCAGCGCTGGGGTGGGGGCGGGGCACGCGTGGATGGACGGGCGAACCCCCAAATCCACTCCCGCCCCGCGAACAGAGCGGGGCCGTGGACCCCGACGCCCAGGTCAGCGCATGGGGGGCCCAGGGCGGAACCCCCACGAGAGAGGCCGCGTGGGACCCAGGGCCGGAGGTTTGGGGGTGCAGAGGGGACGATCTGGACGGGACGGGGCCTCACCTTTCAGGAGGGCGAGGAAGACGCGGGCTGCGAGCCACCCCATGTCGCCCCGAGACCACCTGCGTGTTCGGGGGACGGCGGGAGCCGTCGGGCGTCATAAAGGCCAAGCGAGGGGCGGGGCCAGGCGAGGGGCGGGGCCTGGTGGGGGCGGGGGCCTGGTGAGGGGCGGGGCCTGCACAGGGGAGGGGGTGGGCGACGGGCAGGGCCTGATGGGGGCGGGGCCTGTCATGGGGCCGGGCGAGGGGAGGGGCCGGGAGAGGACCAGGGCCTGATGGGGGTGAGGCCTGGAGGGGCGGGGCCTGGCACGGGGCGGAGCCAGGCCAGGGGGGCTGCACAGGGGAAGAGTACGAAGTAGGAGGCGAGGGGCGGGGCCTGCGCTGACAGGTGGTGGACCAGAGGCGAGGGGCGGGCCCTGTGCAGGAGATGGGTGGGGCCTGCACTGTGACAGGTGGTGGATGAGAGGTGAGGGGCGGGGCCTGCACAAGGGCGGGGACTGGCGGGAGGCGAGGGGCGGGGCCTGCGCTGGCAGGTGGTGGACCAGAGGCGAGGGGCGGGCCCTGTGCAGGAGATGGGTGGGGCCTGCACTGTGACAGGTGGTAGATGAGAGGTGAGGGGCGGGGCCTGCGCTGGCAGGTGGTGGACCAGAGGCGAGGGGCGGGCCCTGTGCAGGAGATGGGTGGGGCCTGCGCTGTGACAGGGCAGGGGGAAGGGCGGGGCCTGTACAGGGACGGGGACTAGCAGGAGGTGAGGGGCCGGGCCTGAGCTGGACAGGTGGGCTAGGAGGCTCCGCCCATGACCTGGTGACAGCTGACAGGTGGTAGACAGGAGGCCCCGCCCAGGTATAGGACAGGGCCACAGGAGCCCCAGGAACCCGCAGGCCAAATCTGGTCTTCACTGGCGCAGGCCCAGTGCTCCAGGCAGGGCTCCCAGGGTGACCCCAGAGCCTGGAGGAGTTAAGGGGGGATCCGGAGGGAACTGGGGGACCCCCAGGGTAGCAGATGGGAAGGAAAAGCAAAGAAGCGGAAGGATGCCTGTCACCCCAGCTACTCAGGAGGCTGAGATCTCACAATGGCGGCTCAAAACCAGCCCCAGCAGCGAAGTCTGCGAGCCCATCTCCAACGAATCACCAAAAAGCTGGAAGCGGAGCTGCGGTTCAAGCGGTAGAGCGCCAGCCTCGAGCACAAAAGCCCAGGACAGCGGGCAGGCTGTGATCGAAGCCCAGGCTGCGACTCTCTCTCTCTCTGTCTCTCTCACACACACACACACACACACAAACACACACACAAAGTCACACCAGCACAGGTAACGCAAATACATCATTTTATTGGAAAAAAAAAATTAGTGGGCAATGTTTGATGGAGAATAGACGCACAGTTTAGCAAGTTCCAGAAATGGTGGAGGCCAGCACGGGGGCACCCCACCCCCAGGATTTCATCTGGGCTCCCTCTTAGCACCCCGTCCTCCCCATCCAACCCTGGAGGGCGCGGAGGTGACGCTCGGCCGAGATCCGCCAGGCTGCGTCTGCGCGGCGGCGGCGGCGGCAGGCCAGTTACCTACCCAGGTCCTGAACAGGTGAACCGTCGGCGGGCCACGGCGCCTGCCCCGTCCTCATTCATTCAGGGTCGGGATCCGCCATCCCCTTTGGCTCAGAGGAAGGAGGCGCCCCTCGCCCCAGGGACCTGGGGGACCCCTCACCATGAAAAATTGGAAAGAATGGAGGAGAAAATCTCACACCAGCCCCCCTCCCCATAAGGGGGAGGGTAGACTCAGGGTTGGGGGTGCCTGCAAGTCCGCCCCGCGCACAAGGGGCGGGAGCAGGACCCCCCCCCTGCACAGCAGCACCGACCTCTCGGATGCAAAGGCGGGCAAGGATGGTTTGAGCGCGGCCCCGCCGTCGGCTGCGGCTGTCTCCCAGGGCTGGCGCCGCCTCAGCACCAGGAAGGGGGAGGGGGAGAGGGGAGGAGAAGGGGGGGAACGGCAGCCCCCCCATTCACGTTTCCCTGGGCACCCCCTCCCCCGGGGCCGCTAGCTCAGGCGATCCTCGCTTCCCAAGTCCAGATCGGGGGGCTGTGGAAATGGGTCTTGGTCTTCATCTATTTCTTCTTCCGTTCTTGGGAGCAGCGTGGGCAAAACCTGAGTCGGCAAGGGAGGAGAAGGGGGGCGGAGGGGGGGTGAGGGGGGGGCAGAGAAGGCTTCCACCGCTCCGATTGGCAGGGGGGAGCAGGAGGGGAGGGTGAGGGCTGCGTGGGCCTCAGGACTTACCATTTCCCGCGAGGTTTGGTGGTAAGTCCCACACAGGCAAAATGGAACCACTCAATGGAACACTGAGAAAGGCAGAGGCCAGGGCAGTAAGGGACCAGGGAGGCTGAGAGGGAGGCCGGGCAGGCACAGCCCTTAGCCGGGAGTTCTTCTGTCCTTCCAGGGCTACACAGCCCCAACCACCACCCTTGTATTCTGAAGAGACACCCTCTTTTGTGCGTGTATGTGAGTGCTGGGGCTTGAACTCAGGGCCTTGGGGGGGAGTCTCACTTGGCTCTTTTCACTCCAGGCTGGCACCTGGAGTGGAGCCACAGCTCCATTTCGGGCTTGCTTTATTTTCTATTGGGGATGAGTCTCACAGCCTGGACTTGGCTTTGAACCGCCAATGTTCAGATCTCAGCCTCCTGGGTGGCTGGGATTACAGGCATGTGCCCCGGGACAGGGTGGGGGTATTTCTGGCTATTGAAGAGGATCACTCCCATTCTCCCCCTGCCTCCCCGCACCCCCCTTCTCTGCACAAAGGCCAAAAAAAAAAAAAAGGAAGCTCACATCCGGGTTGTCACAGCCGATCATCTCTCCATAGGAGACCTGGTGACAAAGGCAATATGTGGGTTCGTTGGGGTCCACGGGCATATCCAACACATCAGAGGGGTGGACACTGCCAAAGGTCACTGAGGGCTTCCCATATTCAGGACTTCTGCGTTCCAAGAGGAAGAGAGAGGGTCAGCGGCCCCTGCCACCTGAGGCTCCCCGAGATGCCAGGGAGGAGGCCGTGGTGGGGGGCACGGCGGGGTGACCTCTCCTAGCTCTTCTTCGGTCTGTACCCGGGGAAGGGGGGGGGGCAAGGGGACCACGGCGGCGGGGCGGGCCGGGCCTGGCCGGGCACTCACGAGCGCACGAGTTTTAGCTTTTTCTGGGTGGCTTTGGGGACGTCCTCATCCGAGATCTTGCCCTTACAACGAGCCCGCGCGGCCTTCTTCTCCTTTTGGCTCCTGCCTTCTAGCGGAGACAGAGAGATGAGGTGGGGATGGGGGGAGGGGGGCATGCGGACGAGAAGAGAAACTTCTTTCTGTTGGGTCAGTCCTGGGGCTTGAACTTGGGACCTGGGCGCTGTCCCTCAGCTCTTCAGCTCCAGGCTGGCGCTCTGCCCCTTGAGCCACAGCGCCACTTCTGCTTTTCTGGTGGTTTATTGGAGATCAGAGTCTCACGGCGCTGGCTTTGAACTGCGATCCTCTGGATCTCAGCCTCCCGAGTGGACAGGCGTGGACAGGCAAGAGCCATGGGCGCCCAGCTCCTCACCTGGCCCACTTTCCACCCTGGCAGTGCCCAGCATGTCTTCCGCCTCCCCCCCACTCCACCCCCCTGCCCGCTCTTTTTGCCTTTGCTGGAAGAACTGTCGTAGTCACTGGATTCCATCTGCTTCTCTTTCAGATCTGCCTCGAAGCGGGCCAGGTCCGTGTCCAGCCGTCGGATGTGTTTGTCCACCTGGTGGGCAAAGGGGGGGGGGGGGGGGGGGAAGAGTTTGGTTCTAAGGATCAGGAAACAGGCCCAGCTGGCTCAGATCCAACACAAAACCAACCACAGCAAACACAGCCCGGCAGGTTCTAAGGCCCTGGGGTCGCTGCAGAAGGGCGGGGTGGGGGGGGGGGGGGAATGCGTACCATCTCATAGGTCTGCATGGCGAGTTGCACCTTGTCATCACCAAACTCTTTGCACTTGCCGTAAGCTTCCTGGATCTGCCGAAGCAGGACCAGCTTCTCCTCGGAGCTGAGGCTGCGCGCGCTGCTCACGTACTCGGTGGCCAGCTTGTCGATCTCGGCCTTCAGATCTGCAGCACAGACAGAGGCTGATTCCTGTCTACACAGAACCTACTCCACAGCACTGCGCTCTCACCTGGCTTTTTCTGCTCAAGCCTGGTGCTCCACCCCCTGAGCCACGCCCCCGGCCTCTGACTTTTTGGTGGTTACTTGGACATGAGAAGCCTCAGGGACTTTCCTGCCTGGGGTGACTTCAAACTGTGGCCCTCGGATTGCAGCCTCCTGAGGAGCTGGGATTACAGGAGTGAGCTCCAAGTGGCAGAGCTTAAAGATGTGTTGGGAAACTTGAGGCTTTTTTTTGTTTTTAATTCCAAAAGCCATCTTCTTGTCTCAAAAACAACTTAAAGCAGTTCTTTTCTTTTGCCTTTATTTTCTTTTCCTTTGGGGTGGGGGGTGGGGACAGGACTTGGCCTTGGAGTCCATTTTTTTTTTTTTTTTGGTTGTGGGGCTTGAACTCTGGGCCTGGGCGCTGTCCCTCAGCAATTCAGCTCAAGGTGAGCGCTCTACCACTTGAGCCACAGCGCCACTTCCAGTTTTCTGGTAGTTCATGGGAGATCAGAGTCTCATGGACTTTCTTGCCTGGGATGGCTTTGAACTGTGATCTTTAGATCTCAGCCTCCTGAGTAGCTGGGATGACTGGACTGAGCTACCAGCGCCTGGCCAGCTTCCTCCCACCTGCTCCCCTCCCCCCGACTCTTCTTATTTTGTTTCTTTTGCCAGACCTGGGGCTTGAACTCGGGGTCTGGGTGTTGTCCCTGAGCTTTTGTACAGAAGGCTGGTGTCCTACCACTTGAGCCACAGTGCAACTTGCGGCTTTTTCTGTGTATGTGCTACTGAGGAATCGAACCCAGGGCTTCATGCATGCTAGGCAAGCACTCTACCACTGAGCCACCTTCCCAGCCCAGCCACTCTATTGAGGTAAGGTCTTACCACTGCTCCAGGCTGGCCTTGAACTCATGACCCTCACATCTACGTCTGTCCCTTGCAGAGCTGAGAACAGTTCTGCTACCTTTTCTGCTTTCCCTGCTCTGCATTTGTGTCTTAGATTTTGCTCCTAACAGTTAATTCTGGAAGGTTCTCGACGTCCTGAGATAACAATGATGCTGTTCCCTGACATTTGACAAGGTCATAAAAATGGCAAAAGGAAAAAAAAAAAAAAAATCTGACCAAACAGAAAAGAGCCACAGCGAGCCCGGGAGCTGAGTAAACACACAATGTTTATGCTCCACTGCCTTCCTGGCAATCTCATCATTTCCAGCTGGCCTTTACGGAAGGATGCAGGAGTTAGGAAGGTTCTAGAAAGAAAGTCACCTGGCTCTCACCATTAGGGAGGCAGTTCTCATGGGTCGATGTCCAGTGTGTGCAAATTTACCCAGAGTTCAGTTCAGGCTTAGCTTTACTTTTTTTGTTGTTGTTGTTGGTCATGGGGCTTGAACTCTGGGCCTGGGCGCTGTCCCTCAGCTCTTCAGCTCAAGGCGAGCGCTCTACCGCTTGAGCCACAGCGCCACTTCCAATTTTACTAGTGGTTTATTGGAGATCAGAGTCTCACAGACTTTCCTGCCCTGGGCTGGCTTTGAACTGTGATCCTCAGATCTCAGCCTCCTGAGTAGCTGGGATGACAGGCGTGAGTCCCGGCGCCCGGCTTCTTTCTTTTCTTCTGTAAGACGTTCTCCCATGGCAGTGGTCCTGACTACAGCAAGAACTTGCAGTACAAGGCCCACTGTGAACTCTGGGGTGGTTATCAGTAACAAAAGATACATTCTCATTCTTCCATTCATGTATCCAAATGAACAGCAGAAATGACTTTAGAGTCAGCATTGGGATCTCTAATTTTATTTTTCTGGAATTTGAACTTGGGCCTCAGGCTTGCTAGGCAGGTGGTGTACCACTGAGCCACGCCTCCAGACCAACCTTGGTGTCTAGAGTTCCTTTATGTATGTGCCAGTGTGAGGACTTGAACTCAGGGCTTGGACACATTCCTTTAACTGGTTTGCTCAAGACTGGGTACTCTACCACTTGAACCACAGCTCCACTTCCAGCTTTTGGTTAATCAACTGGAGATAAGACTCTTCCTGCCTAGGCTGGTTTTGAACTCGGATCTTCCTATCTCAGGCTCCTGAGTAGCTTGAATGACAGGCATGAGCCACTGGCGCCTGGCTAGAATTCTTCTTGAGGGAGGTAGAAAGATCATAGCAAGCCGGGCGCTGGTGGCTCACGCCTGTAATCCTAGCTACTCAGGAGGCTGAGATCTGAGGATCGCGGTTCAAAGCCAGCCCGGGCAGGAGAGACTGTGAGACTCCTATCTCCAATAAACCACCAGAAAACCGGAAGTGGCGCTGTAGCTCAAGTGGTAGAGCGCTCGCCTTGAGCTGAAGAGCTGAGGGACAGCGCCCAGGCCCAGAGTTCAAGCCCCACGACCGACAAAAAAAAAAAAAAGATCATAGCATCTCTGCATCCTTAAAACAATGTCTCAATAATTCACGTTATGGAAAAAGCTGATGAATAAATGAGGACCATTAATACTCTCTCTTAATTGTAAGGACATGGGCTGGGAAGGTGGCTCAGTGGTAGAGTGCTTGCCTACCATGCGTGAAGCCCTGGGTTCCATTCCTCAGTATCACATACCCAGTAAAAGCCAGAAGTGGCGCTGTGGCTTATATGGTAGAGAGTTAGCCTTGAGCAAAACAAGTTCAAGGATACTGCCCACGCTCTGAGTTGAAGCCCCAGGACTAGCAAAACAAAACAAAAAAAGCAAGAACAGCCAGGCACCAGTGGCTCACACCTGAAATCCTAGCTACTCAAGAGGCTGAGATCTAAGATCAAGTTAGAAACCACCCCAGACAGGAAAGTTTGTAACTCTTTATCTCCAATTAACTACTCTAAAACCAGAAGTGGAACTGTGATTCAAAGTGGTAGAGCTCTAGCCCTGAGCAAAAAGAACTCAAGGATAGCACCTACGCCCTGAGTTCAAGTCCCAGGACTAGCAGAAGAAGAAGAAGAAAAAAAAGAATTGCAAGAACAGATGAGAGATTTTAGGAAGTGCAGGAGGTAATAAAGTCATAGTCCCCCAGATCATTCCAGGAGCTATAGCTACCAGCAAGCCGGAAGAGACAGGATGAGCGCAGAAGAACCCTCCTCTGCACGTACCCTCCGTTCTTTGATCGAGATCCCTCATGAGCTGAAAGTTCCTCTGTAACTCAAAGGGGAGGTTTTCAATGCCTAGGAAAAAGAGAAACCAAGTCAGCAGCAGGAGTCTATGAATGAGCCACAGAAACCCTTTCATGCGCGATCCCTCAGCAGCTCTTCTACCACTTGAGCCACCAAGACATTTCGGGTTTTCTGATGGTTAATTAGAGTTAAGAGTCTCACCAACTTTCCTGCCCTGGCTGGCTTTGAACTGCAATCTTCAGATCTCAGCCTCCTGAGTAGCTGGGATGACAGGCGGGAGCCACCAGCGCCTGGCCTCAAACTGGTTTTGTGTGCATGCTAGGTTTCAAACTCAGGGTTTCACACTTTTTTTTTTTTTGCCTCTGAATTATTATTATTATTTTTGTCAGTCATGGGCTTGAACTCTGGGCCTGGGCGCTGTCCCTCAGTTTTTCAGCTCAAGGCTAGCGCTCTACCACTTGAGCCACAGCGCCACTTCTGGTTTTCTGGAGATTTATTCGAGATAAGTTTCTCACGGACTTTCCTGCCTTTGTAGGATTTGAACCTCAGTCTTCAGATCTAAGCCTCCTTGTAGGCAGGATTATAGGCATGAACCTTTGGCTCCTGGATCTCTCAAGTTTTCTTAGCCTGGCTCTTAAATGTTGTCATGAGATTAGATTTTACTCCTTTCATTTTCTCAATTTATTATCCCTAAATGATCTTGTTGACACTTGTGGATATGTTTCTACTTCTAAGCTTAAGTCAAAATCGACTTAAACACCTGCTGTTACTCCAGGATTTCCTGTCTCAGCAATGGTGCCCAGTCCAACTCACTACTTTCCCAAATAGAAGAGTATCGCCTTAAACTTTGCCTTTCTCAGTCATCTAGTCTTGCCAGCTAACTACTAACCATTTCTGATGGTTCATGTCTGTCATCCCAGCTACTCAGGAGGCTGAGATCTAAGGATCACCGTTCAAAGCCAGCCCAGGTTGAAGATTCAGACTCATCTCCAGCGAATCACCAAAAAGCCAGAAGTGAGGCTGTGCCTCAAGTGGTAGAGCACCAGCTTTGTAAAAGCTCAGGGACAGCGCCCAGGCATTGAGTTCAAATCCTAGGACACACACACACACACACACACACACACACACACACACACACACACACACACACACACAGCCATAACAGCTCCTTAGTAAATATCTGCTGAATGAGCGTCTGGAAGACGAACTGAACGCTCAGGGTGACGGGTTTGTGAAGAGCGGGTTACACACAAGACATAAACCTAACACTAGATCGGGTACTTGATGGGAAGTGGACTTTTTTTCTGCACCGCCATGAAAAGAAGCCTTTCAGAGCTGGGGGCGGGCCCAGGCCTAGCAAGGCCGAGGTCCATGAGTTGAAACCCCAATACCCCCTCAATCTCTCCCCACAAAGCGATTCCTGTACCCCAAGTCCCCCACAAAGCGATCCCCAGCGCTCTTTGCCCCCCCCACAAAGCGATTCCCAGCACCCCACAACCTTCCTCCACAAAGGGACTCCCAGCACCCCTTCGCCCCCCCCAAAGCGATTCCCGCACCCTTTGCCCCCCCACAAAGCAATTCCCAGCACCCCCTCGACACCCCCCAAAGCGATCCCAGCCCCCTCAGTCCCCCTCCAAAGCGATCGCCAGCCCCCCTCGGCCCCCCCAAAGCGATCCCAGCCCCCTCGACCCCCCCAAAGCGATCGCCAGCCCCCCTCGGCCCCCCCAAAGCGATCCCAGCCCCCTCGGCCCCCCCAAAGCGATCCCAGCCCCCTCGGCCCCCCAAAGCGATCCCAGCCCCCTCGACCCCCCAAAGCGATCCCAGCCCCCTCGGCCCCCCCAAAGCGATCCCAGCCCCCTCGACCCCCCAAAGCGATCCCAGCCCCCTCGACCCCCCAAAGCGATCTCCAGCCCCCCTCGGCCCCCCACAGCGATCCCAGCCCCCTCGGCCCCCCCAAAGCGATCCCAGCCCCCTCGGCCCCCCCAAAGCGATCCCAGCCCCCTCGGCCCACAGGCGGCGGTGGGCTCATCTGACAGCTCTGACAGCGAGGCTCCGCTCCCCCGCCCGGCCCGGAGAAGCCGCAGCTGGGCGCCGCCCCGACGTGAGGGCGGGAGGCCCGCGGCTGCGGTGACGGCGCTGACCGGACGCGGGAGGCGCCGCCCGGCGGCGGTGCGGCTCCAGAGGCCCGCGGACCGCGGGACCCGCTCCCGCGTCTGCACCCCGCAAGCCAGGCCCGACGCCGCCCCGCCCCCCCTTCTTTATCGTCCAAGAAATGGCGCCCGGGACCCGCTCACGACGCCGGGGCCCCCGGGCCGGGACCTCGGGGCGCCAGGCCCCCGCGGCCGCGGTTCCCCCACGCCCCGCGACCCCTGACCCCCTCCTCCGGCCCGCTCTTACTGTCCAGATAATGTTCCAAATACATCCCAGCAGCCATCTTGAAGCAAAACAAAGCAACTTCCGGTTCGCCTCGGAAGTGACTGACGCGTAGGAGACAGCACAGACGCCGCCGGCGCGACGCTGAGGTAAGACGGCTTCCGCCCTTCCTTCAGCCTCTCGCACGACCTCTTCCGCCCTCACCCGCCAGCCGCGCGCAGCTGCGCCCCTCGCCCGAGCCTTGGCCTGTGACGTATGTCAATGGCGACGGCCCCCCGCGAGGCCACTTCCGCCCGCTTCTGCCCTGACTGCGGCGCCGCGCGCGGTCGTATGACGTCACGGAAGGGCGCCATTTTGCAGTCTAGCTAACTTTTTCCTCTTTTTTCCGTTTTCCCCTCCAAGCCCAGACTGTGCCCTAATGGGGGGCGAGGAGCCGCGCTGTGCGGGGTACGGTCCACCCTCCCTCTTCTGCAGGTGGAGACGCTACACTTTATTCGTTCCTTTGTGTGCAATCTGGTGAGCAAAGCAGCTGAAGACTTTCCCCCAGGACAAGTTGGGAAGGAGCCGCAAAGGTCCAGAACTTTCTCCAGAGTCTTCGCGTTCCAGATGTCCCCTCACAGGAGCAGCTGGACCTCGAGCCCAGGGCCTGGCACACACTGCCCAGCGCCCCGCCACTGAGCTATACCCCCAAAATTAGGAATTGTCTTATTCATAAGGGTGGAGAACACAGCACTGGGGAAATTCTGTAGCCACAGCTCCGTGGTGGTTCATCGGAGCTGGGGTTCCTGGGTTTTTCCTGCCCAGGCTGGCCTCGAACTACCATCCTCAGATCTCAGCGAGGAGGACAGGTGTGAGGCACCTGCACTTTGGATCAAAGTTCTTGTCCTTCTTTGCAAATATGGCTTCCCATGGAAATGACATACTACTTACTTCCCTCCACGCTTTGGTCTCCTTTGGTATCTCTGGCATAAATGATGCCAGTATTCCGAAAGGCCTGGGAAAATGGAGCTCAGACATGCTAGCCAAAGAACAGATACTGTGCATTGCACTCAATGGAAATCAGCGAGGACTTCCGACCACAGCTGACTTGTGATGTAAAACCTGCCACAGTGATGTAAGACAGCACTAATCCTAACACACACCGCTATAATTACTGCTGTGCTCTGGCAGGCTTTTAAGCCACCAGCCCTTGGTTCATTTATTTATGTACGTACTAGGGCTTGAATGTAGGACCAGAGCAGCATTTTTTCACTAAATTCTGGTTCTCTACTACTTGAGCCACAGCTCCACTTCTGGCTTTTAGCTGTTTGTTTTTTTTTTTGGAAATAAGTCTCATGGGCATTCCAGGCTGGCTCCAAACGGTGCTTCTCAGATCTCTGCCTCTGGAGCACTGGAGTAGCCTAGAAATGGGAGTTATGTGGGGCTCAGTCCCTTGGATAATGTATCAGTTTCCCTCTATACAACAATAACAGTACCTACCTCGTAGCATTGTGATAAGGCATTACAAGAATATTCTGGTTCTAATTGTGGTGATGAAAGAAGAGAGAGCTGTTGGGCTATTTCCAAGTTGTTGAAAGTTAAGAGAAAATAGTTATTCAGGAAGCTACCAACACTGCTGTATTTATTCTCAATATCAGACTACTTGCTGAGACTCAACCTTAGATATCTACCTCCAAACTAAGTGGGCCTGATTTGTCCACACCCCACAAAGTAAGCCCAAGAGAACCTCCAATTGTCGTAAATGGGAGCTTGGACTTTTTCCAGTGGTTTATTATCGTGTGTGCAGATGCTGGGGTTTGAACTCAGGGCCTGGGCGCTGTCCCTGAGCTGTTTCGGTCTGGGCTAGTACTCTACCACTTGAGCCACAGCTTCACTTCCACTTTTTTTTCCCCCCCATGGATTTTTTTTTTTTTTAAAGTGGAGATAAGATTCTTACACTTTCCCGGCTTGGGTGACTTTGAACTAGGATCCTCAAATCTCAGCTTCTTTAGTAGCTGGGATTATAGCCGTGAGCCACCCAGGCTGTGTGTGGTTTAGAATTCTCTGGCTGCACAGGGTGCTGACCCAAAGATCACATGCTCTACCACCTGAGCTGCATTTCCAGTCCTCTCAGTGCTTTTCCCAGAAAGGATTTGAATTTTCAGCCATCCCTTCATTCCCCAGCTCCGGTGGGTAACCCCCTGGTCAGTACTGCTTCCCACGGGGTGAGAGGCTCAGTCCTTCCCTGCTTCCCACGCAGCAGCCTGGGGTGCGCAGCAAGCCGCGTCCACTGCTTGCTGGTGCTCACAGACCTGCAGGTAATGTCCTGCCAGGACCACAGCCGCGCATGCCCGCGTTCCTCAACCACAAGCAAGCTTTCACCTCTGCAAGGCGGGGGTGGAGGGATCAGGCACGTGGCATTCGTGCACCTGACCCTTTTTTTGGGGGGGGGGGTCCTCCCTCAGTATCTCCCCCCAAACAGCCTCTTCCCATGCTCGCTCACACCATCAGCTCCACTGTCTCTGCGCCTTTCACATGAATTTATTTCTATACAATGTTCTAAAAACACCCCTTTGCTTTTTGTACAGAAGGTTTTGCTTTTTTTTTTTTCATTTTGCAATTGCTTTGTTAACAACTGGGTTCCTGATTTATGTTTCTTTTCTTTTCTCTGACATCTGCCATGATTAAAAAAATAAAAGAAGGGAAAAGGAAATAAAAATGCCATGGCCAGAGGACAAGGTGGAGGGGGGAGGGGAAAGGCAAAAAAAAAAAAACAAAAAAAAACCAAACAAACCAAAACCATCAAATATGAAAATTCTGAGATAATGCATTTATAAACACAGAAATGGTTACAACAAAGATGGCCGTGATGAGCGGGTATATATATATTTATATATATATATTTATATATAAATCCATGTCCAGCATCTGACCGTGGCACCATGGGAGATTAAGTTCAGTCCTGGGGTCTTAACTCTCCCTTCTTTGCACCGCCCTGGCTCTTGGGGGGGGGGGGGGTCACAGAGGACAAAACTCCTCATAGCTTCTTGGCCCTGGGACGGGGATGGGGTACAAGGCCTTGGGAGAGAGGGGGGAAGGAGGCTCTAAGGAAATTCATATCCCTCTCTGAGCCTCCTGGAGGGAATCCACGGCCCCTTGGGGACCACCTCCCAGCCCCTGCCCCCCCCCCAAACAAACAAAAAGCGGTCCAAGCCTCCCGATTCCTCCCTCCATGAGCAACAGCAGGGAGCGGAACCATGGGGAGGGGGGCAGATGACTCTGAGGAGAACGGGGAAACCCTCTGTTCTTCGCAGGCAGGCAGGCAGGGGGCGACTTGCACTTGGGGCTCCCCCTTGTCTGTTCCTGGGGGGGAGGGCCAGCCTCTAGCCTGCGACCAGCCCCCAGCGCCGAGGCCGAGGAGGGAGGGAGGCCGAGGGCTGGGGCTGGACTGGCTTCTGTCCGGTCACAGCTAGAGCCTTCCCTTGAGCACCAAGCCCCCGTGTGAAAAGCCCTGCTTGGTAGGGGCTGCGGGATGACGCCTGCGGCTCCGGACCCCTTGGCCAGTGAGGAAGGCTGCGGTTCCTTTTGAAGAGCGGTGGGGGGTGAGGATGAGAGCTGCGTCGGAGGCCCAAGGTTTGTCAAGAGAAGAGGATGCTGCCGCCACTCCCGCGGGGACGGAGGGACAAGGGGCCTGGGGCCCCCCTGCTCGCCCTCGGGGGAGGGGCGTCTGCAAGGGAGGGCTGAGGGGCACCGAGGATCTCTACGAGCTGGCCAGGTGTTCCACCTGGATGGTGCTGGTGGTGACCGTAAGGCAGATGTCCTTATGGTGATCGGCCGTCTTATAGGGCGTCAGGTCGAAGGAACACTGGGGCGGGGGGTTGGGGGTGCTGTCCGCCCCACCCCCGCCCTGGGGGGCCGCCCCAGGCGCCTGGAAGTGTGGTGGCTGCTGCTGCTGCTGCTGCTGCGGCTGGGAGGCCTGGGAGGCCTGCGCCTGCGCCTGCGCCTGCGCCTGCGCCGCCGCCGCCGCCGCCGCCGCCGCCTGCACTTGCTGCTGGAGATCGGGAGGGTTGTGTTTGCGCATGTGTTTCATAAGGTACGTTTCCTGAGGGAGGCAGCAAGGAGGGGGGCTCAGGGGGGGCCCGGGCGCGCCCCGCCCCTGCGCCAGCCCCCCCACGGCCCCGGGGCTGGGGACTCACCGAGGTGTAGGCCCGACTGCAGATGGTGCACGTGTACACCTTGGCGTGCTTCACCGTGTGCGTGGACAGGTGCACCTCCAGCGAGGCCGCGTCCGTGTACGCGCGATGGCAGTTGTGGCACTTGAAGGGTTTATCTTTGTTGTGCTGCCGTCTGTGGGACTGACAGGGGCGGGGCGGTGAGGGGGGGCCGCTCCCTCCACGCACCCGCAAACGCCCCGCCCGCGGGAATCTGACTGCGCGCGCGGGCCTGCGTGCGGCTGCGCATGCGCGCGCCAGCACTGGGGCTTGAACTTGAGGCTGGCGCTCGGCGGCGCTTCTACGGCCAGCTTCTTGCGGGTTCGTTGGGAGGTCAGAGACTCGAGAGTCCATGTCCAGGCTGGGCAGGTGGCTCCGCGGTGCAGCGCTCGCCTGGCATGCATGAAGCCCGGGGTTCGATCCCTCAGCACCACAGACACAGAAAAAGCCGGAAGCGGCGCTGTGGCTCAAGGGGTAGAGCGCCCGCCCAGAGCAGCTGCGGCTCCAGGACAGCGCCCAGATCCTGAGTTCAAGCCCCAGGACTGGCAAAGAAAGCAAGAACAAAAAAAAGTCGGGCTGGGCAGGTGGCTCAGTGGTAGAGCACTTGCCTTGCATGCATGAGGCCCTGGGTTCGATTCCTCAGCACCACATAAGCAGGAAAAAAAAAGCCAGAAGTGGTGCTGTGGCTCAAGTGGTAGAGCACTAGCCTTGAGCTGAAGAGCTGAGGGACAGAGCCCAGGCCCAGAGTTCAGGCCCTATGACCAGATCCCCCCCCAAAAAAAAAAGTCAATGTCTGGGCTGGCCACGGAAGGTGATCCTCAGATCTCAGCTTCCTGAGTGGCTAGGATTACAGGCATGAGCTGCAGCTGGGACTGCAGGCGTGAGCCGCAGCTGGGACTGCAGGCGTGAGCCGCAGCCGGGATTACAGGCGTGAGCCGCAGCTGGGATTGCAGGCGTGAGCCGCAGCCAGGATTACAGGCGTGAGACGCAGCGTCTCGCTTCTGGAGCTTTTTTTTTTTGGTGCCAGTCCTGGGGCTTGAACTTAGTTGTCTCATGGCTCTTTTGCTCAAGGCTGGTGCTGCACCTCCATTTCTAGCTTTCTGATGATTCATTGGAGAGGAGGCTCATAGATTTTCCTACCCAGGCTGGTTTTGAACCACGATCCTCATGACTCAGCCTCCTGATTAGCTGGGATGACAGGTGTGAGCACCAGCGCCAGCTTCTCAGCCCCTTAACTAGCTAGAATTACAGGCATGAGCCGTGGACTCAGCTTTGAAACTGGTAACAGTGAACCGGCACCGCATTTGCCTTTTTGTTCTGTTCTAACCAAAGAGGCTGCACCCTACCTGTGCCCTGACCTTACCGCGCGGAGGCCGCACTCAGCCACACTCCACTTCAGCCCACCCCAGCTCAAGGAAGCCTGCAAAAACGCCAGGCACACCGAACACGCCTGTAATCCCGGCAGAGGCAAGAGAATCTTGAGTTTCAGCTTGGCCTGGACTTAAGGAGTTCAAGGCCAGACTAGGTAACACAGAGACCCTGTCTCAAACAAAAAAATAACACGAAGGGAGGAGGTGGGGTACAACTCAAGTGGTAAAGCGCCTGGCCTAGCTGCATGTATCAGGTCCTGGGTTCAATCCCCAGCTATGCAAATAACAACAACAATTGGAAAAGCAGAAAACAATGCTTCCTCCCCCCGCAACCACCACCAAAGTTCCTTTGGGGATTCTGGAAGATCTATTTATGTTATATACAATGAGGCATGCTGCTGATCACATATATGGTACATATGTGCACACCGGAGGGAAACTAGGAGGATGACACAGAACTAGAGGGAATCAGGAAAAACATACACCAGTGGCACCCATCAGCTGCACTGGACATTGACCAAAATGAACTAAGCAACTCGATGGCAGTGATGGGAGGGAGGGAACGAAAAACAAAAGAAATGTACATATCACCCAATGTGGAAGAAATAACTGTATCGCAAAGCTCATAGAACTCATAAATGTTATAGACCACGATAGACAATTTGCCCCATGAACGTTAGAATGTGTTTGTGGCTTTAACTAAACATCACTATCCCACAATAATGGGAAATTTGGGAAATTTATGTAATCACTTAATCACAATAAAGAATTTGAAAAAAAAAAATATATATATCTATACAATGAGGCTTACTGTGCGCGGGTAGACAGCTTACCACACATAAACCAGAGGAAATGTTTTGCCTCTTTTTGGGGGAGGGGGTGGAGAGGTTGTCAGTACTTCCACTCAGGGCCTAGGCCTGCCGCTTTCTCACCAAGGTGGGTGCTGTACCACCTGAGCCACAGCTCCACTTCCGGCTTTTTGGTGGCTCAATGGAGGTAAGATGCTCAGCTCTCGGCCTCTTGAGGCAGGATTACAGTGGCAGCCTGCTAGGCCCGGCCTGACTTCGTTACGGCTGCTGAGTTCGGGGGTTACTTGGGGCACCTCGTGAGCGCTGAGGGCGTGAGTCAGCAGTGGCGGCCGCTTACCTGCAGGTTGGAGAGCTGCGTGAAGGCTTTCTCACAGCCGGGGTGTGCGCATTTGTACGGTCTGTCCCCAGTGTGGATTCTGCACGGGTGAGAGAGAGGACAGGGCGGGTGAGCAGGCGCTGCAGGGCCGGCTCCGCAGCGCCCCCTGCAGGCGCCCTGTGCCGCCGGCCGCGGCGGCGGTCAGCTCCAGGTGAGCAGCCCCAGTGCTGGGGGGTGGGGGGGTCTCGGCGCACCCTCCTATAGTACCTGCCCCTCGGAATGGTCAGAAACAAGGTGAGCGCGGTGGCGGCGGTAAGGAGAAGGAAGGAAAGGACCGGGCTCGGCCCCCGTCGCAGTGTGAGCCAGCCGGGCATCGAGAAGGCCGAGGGAGGCTGCGCGCCAAGCCTTGTGGCCACGGATGGCAAGGCCAGCTCCCAGCGCGCTGACCTCTCCCCCACACCACAGGGCGCGCTGCTGTGTGGGCCTGGCCGGGCGCGTGCCCAAGCCCTGCTCCACGGGGCCTTCCCCACCATCGCCGCAGCTAGAAGCTTCTCGGGGCCTCTGGACAGGCCTCCGCGTCTTCCGGCCTGTGTCTCTTCTTTGTCCTCCCAGCCGGGGGCGGCGGCCTGCGTTCCCGTGGGGCCGCCTCGTGCACCGCGGCCGGGCCAGGACCCGGATTCCAGCTCAACTTGCGACCATCCATCAGCTCTAGCAGTTGCCATGTTCCGCTTCCCCCTGCTCCCTCCAGATCGGGGGGACGATGGGGCGCATCCTTAGGAAGTGGAAGCTTCTTGATCTTCGGAGAGTACTTAGCGCGGGCGTCTTGCGTCCTCCACTCCCGGCATTCCTGAACTGGTGGCTGGTGCCACTGGAGCGGCTCCGTCTCCTGCTCATCACCAGGGCTACAGGTGGGCACGGGCTTCTCCCATCCAACGCCTGGGGCTTGGGCGCGAAGATCTGAACTAACTCCATCTTGCAAGACGCATGCGCACATTTCCTTTTCCCGCGGGGAAGTGGGGGGTGCGGGGAGCAGTCCCGGCTTCCCTGGCTCCAGCGCCGTTCTGTCGTGTCCCCCAAAGCTCCGGCCCGGCACGCCACGACCTCTTGGCATCCACTCGAGTCCTCCTCCTCCTCCTCCTCCTCCAGCCAGCCTCTCCTCCAGCCAGGCGGGTCCCCCGCCCCCCCGCATGCGGGCTGCAGTGGGTGTCGGGGCGGGGGGGTGGGGAGGGCATGCCGGCGGGGCGGGCGGGCCCGCCCCTCTCCCTTACCGTGTGTGCTGCTGGAGGTGGGAGAGCTGGCGGAAGGCCTTCTGGCAGTAGGAGCAGTTGTAGGGCTTGGCGCCCGAGTGGATGCGGAGGTGCTGAGCCAGGTAGGAGGTGTTGGCGAAGGTCTTGGAGCAGTGCGGGCACTTGTGGGGCTTGATGGTCTCTGTGTGCATCTTGGAGTGGATCCTGCCGGGGGTGAGGGAGGAGAGGAGGAAGGAGGGAGGAGGGAGCACTCGCTCCGCGGGGGGCGATGATGGTGGGCGCGTGGGCGGACGAGCCCCTCCCCCCCAAACACAAGTCCGCCAGGGAGAGAGAGAGAGGCCATGCATCATCACCGATCGATCGATCGACCGCGATCGATCGCAGGTCGGGTGCTGGCCGAGAGGATGAAGAGCGCCACCTGCAGCTCCGGGACACCTTGTGCTCTGTCTGATTACGCCCTCCGCTCCCTCCCATGGTGTCCCCCGCCTTGGTCATGGGTACCCTGATTTCCACATGGTAACTGACCAAGAACAGCACCTGCCCTGCCCGCCCCCCAGCTGGACGCCCATGGCCGCCCTGGCCAGAAGGTGGGCTGCGCCGCACATCCCCCACCCCCCCAGTGGCACAGCCCCCGACTTGGGGATCGGAAATCACAACGCTCAAGCCCTCCCCCCGCCATGCATGTGTGTATATAGTTTATTTCTCAGACAGCTGGAGGTGATCGAGGATGCCAAAGGTTCGCAAAGACCCCCGAGGCACATGGCCTGGGGGGAGAGGGGGCACGCAGGCGTGGGCGCGCGCGCGGAGCGGGGTCGCGGCCCTTACCGTGTGTGCTGCTGGAGGTGGGAGAGCTGGCGGAAGGCCTTCTCGCAGAAGTTGCAGCTGTAGGGCTTGGCGCCCGAGTGGATGCGGATGTGCTGAGCCAGGTAGGAGCTGTTGGCGAAGGTCTTGGAGCAGTGCGGGCACTTGTGGGGCTTGGTCTCCGTGTGCGACTTGGAGTGGATCTGCATCTCCGACTTGGAGTAGAAGGTCAGCGAGCACATGCGGCACCTGGCCAAGGGGAGGGCAGCGTCAGGGCCTCGCCGCTGGGGGGCGCTGTGGAGCCCCGCTGCCCGCCTGAGCTGACCTAGAGGCCCGCGGGGAGGGGCCGCCTCCTCAGCCCGTGCCCACACCTGGCCACGCTCCCCGTGCGTGCAAAAGTGATCTCCACGCACAGACGTCCACTCGAGTCCTCTTGGGCCATGTCCGGTGGGACGGGGTGGGGAAAGGAGGATTCCCGAGGCCCTGGCCAGCTGGGCCTGGGCCCCCTACACTGCAGTTCAAAATCGTACTCCCCCAAACCCCTGCTGAAACAAGCCAGTAGCTATGGGGGTGTGGGCCGAATGGGAGGAGGCTACGCCGGGGCCCTGATCTTTCCTAGCACGCTGGAGCCAGGAGATGGAGGACAAAGTCACCTTGTAGGGGTTTCCCGATTGTCTCAGAAATGCCCTCAGCGCCCCTCCCCTCTGCTCCCCCCATAAGCTGCAACTCTTCAGAACAGAACCACAACATTTTTCCTAGAGCTTGAACTCGGCCTGGAGATCAGAGTTTCATGGACTTTCCTGCCTGGGCTGGCTTTGAACTGGGGTCCTCCGATCTCAGCCTCCTGAGATGCTGGGGTGCCAGGCGGGAGCCACCAAGTTCCTCAGTAAAGGCACGGGCAGCCAGCCGGGCTACAGGCCTTACAGGGATGCGATTGTCTGGACAACCGGACTACCAGTTCACCCAGCCCCTGGCCTCTGTCCGAGAGGCCACGTCTCCTGAAGGCCAGTCCGCAGGATGCGCCGATGGCAGTCTGCATTACCTGGGCTCTAGTCCAAGAGTGCAAGTTATAGGCTGGCATAGGAAGCCAGGCCTCAGCGTTTGGCTATGGGAAATGGAGAGACCGGCTACATCCAGGACATTGTGAGCTCAAGCGCCAGCCTCCATCAACAGAGGCTCTGAGCTGAAGTGGCCACGGCTTTGCTAGGACCAGAGCCCGCGGCTACAACACTGGCATTTTAATGCAAATAAAGCCGCTGAGTTCCACAGCACTCTTATCAAGAAAGTTAATTACATTAAAAAATGTCAGAGCAAGCTGGGCACTGGTGGCGCCCACCCATAATCCTAGCTCAGGAGGCTGAGATTTGAGGGTTACTGTGCAAAGCCAGCCCTGGCAGGGACAAGTCTTGTTTTTGAGAGTCTTGTTTTTGGTGTTGCGTGGTCCTGGGGCTTGAACTCAGGGCCTGGGCGCTGCTGTTCCTGAGCTATTTTTTGCTCAAGGCTAGCGCTCGACCATTTTGAGCCACAGCTCTACCTCTGGTTTTTGAGGGGTTCATTGGAGGTGAGAATCCCAGGGGGCACTTTTCTGCTCAGGTTGGCTTCCAACCCTGATCCTCAGATCTCAGCCTCCTGAGTACCTAAGATGAAGATGACAGCCGTGAGCCACGGACGCCTGGCCCCTGAGACTCTGATCTCCAATGAACCATCAGGAAACCACAAGTGGCGCTGTGGCTCCAAATGGCAGAGTGCTAGCCTTGAGAAGAAGAGCTCAGGGACAGCGTCCAGGCCCTGAGTTCAAGTCTCACGATCGACACAGACAAATAAACAAATCTGCTTCAGAAGTTCCCATTAGAGCAGAATCTGCAGAAACTGCTAAAAGATCATGACAATAGACTAAGCGATCTTTAAAGGCCGATGCGGGTTCAGTAGCTCCCTCCCGTCTGTTGCTGTGTTTCTCGGTGCCAGGCACCTGCAGCATTTTTTGCAGTTCATGGGATGGAGATGAGTCTCGTGAACTTTTCTGTCCAGGCTAGCTCTGAACTAAGATTCTCAGACTCGCAGCCTGGAGTATTACAGGCGTGAGCCACTAAACCTGGCTTATGTTTCCTTTCGTTCCAACCAACCTCCCAAAGAGTGTCCCCGGTTCAAAGGAGGCTGGGAAAGTGAGTAATTCGTCCAGAGGGGTGGCTGCTCACTACAAAGCCGTGTCGCCAAGCTAACACCCCCTTCCTGCCCAGTAGAGATGCTGGGCAGGCGCTGGGCAGGGGAAGGGGCCTAGATCACTGGCCAGTCGCTCTGGGAGTCAGATCACCCCGGGACCCCCACTCAGAACAATTGAGCTGCTTTCCCATTCTGAAGCCTCCGAAGCAGCGACTTGAGGCCCAGGTGAAGTCTACACGGGCCCCCGTGACAGGTTCCAGCCAAGGTAAAATGCAGGCTCGATACAAAGACCCAATAAAATTCCTCTCAGACTGTGTGGGCAACATACATACATACATTTATTTTTTCTCAAGAGGCTACCAGGCCAAGGTGGCCTCAAACCCTCGATCCTTCTGCCTCAGCCTCCCCAAGTGCTGGGATTGCAGGCATGCAGCCGGGCCTCACAAATTTTCCAGTTTAGATAGGGGTCCCCCGCTCCCCGAGGAACCTCATCGTCCTGTATACACACAGTTTGCACTACCAGCAACACCCCGGGTGGATCCCGAGCCCTCTGGGCAGTGGATGCTCAGCCTGTGATTTCTAACTGTGAAGTCGGATGAAGTGAGAGTCCTGAGCGATCTGACCTAGGCGAGTGGTGGCCAAGGCAGCCCTGTGCCCCACGGGAGCTAGTGCCCGGCCTCAGGACACACCCTGTGTGGCCACTGCAGCCCCAAGAGGGCCAGGGGCACACCACGGGGAAGGGGGGGGGCGCCATCCTGTTTACAGTGACCCGATAAATAGCCTGGATTTTTCCTCAGTTTTTAGGAGGGGTCGGTCGTGGGGCTTGAACTCAGGGCCTGGGCGCTGTCCCTCAGCTCTTCAGCTCAAACGCTCTACCACTTGAGCCACAGCGCCACTTCTGGTTTTCTGAGTGCTTTATTGGAGATCAGAGTCTCATGGATTTTCCTGCCCAGGCTGGCTTTGAACTGTGATCCTCAGATCTCAGCCTCCTGAGTAGCTAGGATGACAGACGGGAGCCACCAGTGCCCGGTGCTCAGATGCCCATTTTAACCATTTTTAATGCTCAGATTTCCCTCCGAACATTTCCACGGGACAGATGAGGGCTAGAATGATTCATGACTTATCTTCTCCTATTAGAGACACAAGGCTGGCGTGCTCCGAGCGGCAGAACTCAATCCTCCCAAATCCCAATCCAACGCTAGAGCAGAGGTCGCTGATGCAGGACATGCCAACTGGGAGCTTTCGTTCCGTTTTTTAAAGTTTACATCTATACCATGGAACCAAAGTGAAACTCCTTGAAGTAAATTTTTCCCTTTGGAACTTTATAGAGAATTCTGCATTTCTTTTCTTTTGCCAGTCTTGGGGTTTGAACTCAGGGCCTATGCACTGTTCCTGAGATTTTTTTTTTTTTTCCTCAAGGCTGATGCTCTACCACTTGAGCCACAGCGCCACTTCGGGCTTTTTCTGTGTCTGTGGTACTGAGGAATCGAACCTGGGGCTTCATGCGTGCAAGGCGAGCGCTCGACCACTGAGCCATCTTTCTAGCCCTAGGGGTCTGCATTCCGAAGGAATTATTTTTATCTAGGATAGTTAGTCCCTCTTCAATTGTACAGTGCTCTTTAGTCATGTAAGCATGGGGTCTTTCATGCATTCGACAAACAGCCTGGTGCTGGTGGCTCACGCCTGTACCCCGAGTTCAAACCCCAGAACCGGCATAAAAGAACACGATTCCAAGAACATTGAGGGGTGGAAGGCCTAGCAGAGTCCTTCCCACTGACCATGCCGGGAGGGGAGGGGGTTCACACACATCCCCATGAGGAGAGATCTTGACAGACCCGAACCCCGACAACAGCAGCATCTACACTGGCAGAGGTTTGTGTCCCGGTGGTCACGCTTGGAGCAGGTACAAACCCGCACGTCTAACGCACTGGAGGACACAGGGGTTTGCACGTTATCAAGGGATACACAACGGATCGCCTCAGTGAAAGGAATCAAACGTGTCAGGTACCTTTGGAATATGGTAGGATGGAAATGTTCCGGGAACAGTTAATTGTATAAAGTGGGGTACACCTGTAATAATAAAGCTGCAGTGAACTTGGGGATGACCAGCTGGAACCCCGCAGTGCTCAATACTTGGGCCCAGAAACTCTGCCCTCTGCTGGGGAGGGGGGAAGGGTGCGCTCCACGGCTCGAGTGGGCTAAGGCTGCACGCACGCACGTGACGTGACGTGGCTACCGCTCGACCTCCTGCTGATGCTCCCCGCCGTGGCGCGCTTGCTACCTCCTCCCGACACGCGGGAGGTGCGCGCAACTCTCCCCATTTTACAGATGAGGAAACTGAGGCCCAGAGAGGGGGGGGGAAAAAGGACTTGCCCAGGGTCACACAGCAAGTTCGTGGTGGAGCCGGGAACTGTATCCGTGAGCCCAAGGCTCTGTCCACTTCCTGTGCCGCAGTTCCCTTCGCTCCTAAAATGGGAACAACATTGCCCATCTCGGTACGCTAGGGACGACCCCCTGTCCCAGCCATGCACTCGGCCCTGTCCGCAGCGACTCCCCAAACCCGTGGGGAGGGGGGGCGGGGGGGGAGGGACAGGCGGGCACTGTGATGGATCTGCGCGTGGCGCCATATGCAAAAGCTGTGAACCACCGAAGAGCACCGACTTCTGCCATCAGCGGGGGCACAGTCCTTTAGAGGAGACACCCCAGAAAGGGTGTGCGTGTATGGGGGGGTCCTACTCCCCGCACCCCGGCCATACAGGGCCCCAGGGTGGGCAGATTCTTGGAAAAGGGCCGTGGGAGAGAGAAATCCTAGTCCGGCCTTCTTGTCGCTCGGCAGTTAAGGCTGACTAATAAAAAGGGGGGCAGGGGGTGCACGTGGGCAGCAGCTGACACATGCAGGAGGCCCGGGCCCGCCCTGCGCGGGGTGGAGGGGCAGGGCAAGCGGGCGCAGCGACCCTCTCTCTCCCCACGAGGCCCTGGCCCGTGAGTCCTACCTGTAGGTCTTGCCGTCTTTCTGGTGTCCGTCGTCCTCGGGGGCGAGGACATACGGGTCACTCATCTCGGGGAGCCCCGACTCCAGCATCCGCTTCTTCTTACGGCCCCGGGGCGCCTTGGGGGGGGCGCCACCACCACCGCCACCACCACCGCCACCGCCGCCGCCGCCGCCGCCGCCGCCACCTTCCTCCGGGAGAGTGGACCCCGCTTTCTTGGACAGTTCGGGGACCACCTGCAGGGCTTGGGAGCCGGGGGGGAGAGCGGAGACTATCATGGGAGCCGAAATGGGGAAGGTCTGAGCGGAGGAGGCTGTGGTCACAAGAGATCCGGAGGGAGACGTGATCACGAGACCCGGACCTGGGGGGGAGGGGGGGGAGACAGGTCAGGTGGGGTCCGGGGTCCCCCCTCCACCCCAATCCTGCCCTAGTTCCTTCTCATGACCCCCCCCCACCATGTGGCCTCGGAATCCCCTCCCCACCACCCCAACCCACGGGGCCAGGGAACCCCAGGCCAGCGGGGTGCCAACCCCTGACCCTGCTCCCTCCGGGGTGGAGAGATTTAACCCCACCCCCTTTTTAAACGGCCAGTCCTGGGGCTTGAACTCGGGGCCAGGGCGCTGTCCCCGAGCTTCTTTGGCTCGAGGCTGGCGCTCTGCCCTGGAGCCACAGCGCCACTTCGGACTTCTTCTGCGTGTGTAAGGGGTACTGAGGACTCGAACCCGGGGCTGCACGCGTGCCAGGCCTTCCCACCCCGAGACTCACCCCTTGATTGGCTCCCTTCTCTTCTCCACCGCTGCGAACAGGAGACGCCTTGAGTCAGAGGAGGAAAGAGGGTCACCTCGTCAAAAGCGGGGTCTCCGTGCGCACCCTCGACACTACTCCCCTGCACCCCGCCATGCCGAGCGCTGGGCCAGGCACACAGCAGGCGCTTAATAAAGAGCCGATCGCGAGCGTCTCGCATGCGCGGCCATCCCAGCTCCCCGGGGGGTCAGAGCCCCGCAGGGCTGGGGTGCTGATTCGTGGGGAGACCCCCTCCCCGGGGGCTGGGAGGAGGCTCACCGGCAGCCATGAGTCCGGTGGAAGGCACGGGCACCACCGTGATGTTCTGGGTGGCCGGCGCCTGGCTGTGCGGGGTCAGCTGCTCCGACTTGGCCTCCCCGTCCATGCTGATGCCCGAGGGGAGGGAGACTGAGGCAGGGACGGTGAGCAGGGTGGGGTAGTGGGGCGGGGCCAGCCCACAGCCCTTCTCCGGCAGCAGCTGGTCCTTCATCTTGTTGATGAACATCGTGTTTTCGATCTAGGGGAGGAGCGCGCCGAGCCACAGGTCAGGCGTGGTCCAGTCTCGCGCCCCCTTTCCCCCCCCAGCCAGGAAGGACACTCAGGGTTCGGGGGTTCAAGCACACGGCGCTCACCTGTCCTGAGACGGTGGGGATGGAAGGCCAGAAGTACGGGTTAGAATTGAAGTGAGATTCTTCCATTCTACCTGCGGGGGGAGAGAGAGCTGTTACAGGCCGGCCTGGGCGTGGGGTGCAGGGCCTCAGGCCCCCTGGGCTTCCAAGCATGGGGTGTGTGTGTGTGTGTGTGTGTGTGTGTGTGAAGACCTTGGTGCAAATGGCCCCTCTCAAAGGCAGGGACCCCGTTTTCTACTTCCCTGGAACCCCACGATGCCCAGCACACAGCTAGGCACCTCAGAAGGGCTGGATTAGAAGGATCACACAAGAACCCCTGGACACGAGCCACACGGGGTGCAGTCCTGAAACAGAGAGGGGGTGCTCTGCCTTACTAAGGGACAAAACCAGGGAGCCACCGGGCCGATGGGACAGGGCGGATCGCTTTCCTTGGAGAAAGGAGGTCAGGAGGAGAGGGGGGAGAAGCCGCCGGGGCCATGGGCTGGCCTCCTCCTCTGGCTCCTCCGGCCTTGTACCGGCCTCCCCGCCCCCCCCAACTCCATCTTCCTCGTCAGGAACTTTCCAATCTCTGTCTACAGTGCTCTGTAGCCTGAGCGGGTTTGAAGCCACATCGCAACAAGGAAAATGCAGCCCACCCGCGCTGGGGGGCGCCATGGGGAAGTCACGCCGTGGACCCCTTGACACACACCTCCAGATTTCGGGTGCTTGAGTTGTGTTTCTAGGGTTTCATGTGTGTTTTGCCCGGGGCCGACCTCTGACCCAGAGCCTCTCTCCTAACACGGTGTAGATCCCAGATGCGCCCGAGCATGCGCGCTGTAACTAACTCTGAGATATGGTCTCACCAAGTTTGTCCGCCTGGGTTGGCCTCCCCCTGCTTCAAAGCCTCCTGCGTGGCTGGAGTTACAGGCGTGCACTACCACGCTCAACCCAGAACCAAGTTTGGGGGCACCTGTTGAAATCTGGGGATGAAGCGGCCGCACTGAACGCGCCATGGTTGAAGAACACCTGTCCTGTCACTGAGTACATGCTTGCTGGACTGAGCAGTGGGAACAAGGGGATAAGGGGGTACACCGGAGGAGCACCCCAGACTTCCAGCTGAAGGAATTTACAACACGATATGCTCTTGCTTTGTATTTCTCCAATACTTTGCTTCTGGGAGTTCAAACTCCACTCTGTGGCTGATAGCTAAGCTTACGAGGAATGGGGAGAGGGAAGGGAGCTGTGGTTCAAGTGGTAGAGCGCCAGCCTTGAGGGGGAAAAGCTCAGGGACAGCGCCCAGGCCCTGAGTTCAAGCCCCACCCGAAGCCTGAAAAAAACAACCAGAATGACCATCTGAGGGTCTAGGCATCCATCCCTTTGCCAGCTCTAACATCCTACTAAACTGCTTCTCTGTCTAATAACTGGAACAGCATCAGAGGACAGGGCAGTTTAGAGGAAGAGACCGGTAGGGTGGCTCAGCGGTACACAACTTGCCCGGCATGCACCTGGCCCTCCATTTCAACCCCCAGCACCACAGGAAGAGCCATGGACTGGAGGCATGGAAGGAAAAAAAAAAAGAAAGAAAGAACAGGAAATAAACATTATCACCAAAGAAATGGGTTTCCTCGTGTGTGCGCCAATCCTGGGCCTACGCACTGTCTCTTACAAGCTTTTTTTTTTGCTCCAAGCTAGCATTCTACCACTTCCGCCGTGTCTTCATTTGTGTCTTTTTGCTGGCTAATTGGAGAAAAGAGTCTTCTGGCCAGGCTAGTGGCTCACACCTGTAATCTAGCTACTCAGGAGGCTGAGATCTGAGGATCGGGTTTGAAGCCAGCTCAGGCAGTAAAGTCCATATGAGATTCCTACCTCCAATAAACCACTCAGAAGAAGCCAGAAGTAGTGCTGCGGCTCCAAGTGGTAAAGCGCTCGCCTAGAGCACACGGAGGCTTAGGGACAGCGCACAGGCCCTGAGTTCAAACACCAGGACAGGCAAAAATAAAAAATAAATGTCTCCTGATCATTCCTGCGCAGGCTGACTCTGAACTTTGATTCTCAGATCTCAGCTTCGTGAGTAACTAGGATTACAGGCGTGAGCCACCAGACTCCCTCTATTTGAGAGAGAGGCTAATTACACTGCTCTGATCAGTGCACTGTATCAGGTAGACAATGGTCATATTCTACTCCACAAACATGAACAATGAAAACTACGTGTCCGTTATATTTTTACCACCACAGCGCACCAGGCACCCGTGGCTCATACCTGTCATCCCAGCTACTCCAGAGGCTGAGAGCTGAGCTTCCAAGCCAGCCTGGGCAGAAAAGTCCCCAGGAGACTCTCATCTCCCAAGAACCACTCCAAAACCCGAAGTGGCGCTGTGGCTCAAGTGGTGGAGCGCTCGCCTTGAGCTAAAGAGCTGAGGGACAGCGCCCAGACTTTGAGTTCAAGTTCAAAGAAAAAAGTTACCAGCATGCAGAGCTAAGAGTGACCAGGGCTGGTTTTGAACCATGATCCTCGGATCACAGCCTTCTAGTAGCTGGGATTACAGGTGTGAGCACCAATGCTCCTGGCCCATTCCAGGTGTTTAACAACAGCAAAGGAACAAGCCGTTCTGGACCACATCCCTCAATCCACCTCTTGTGAAACCTCGGGATAACGCATTGTAAGTAGTGGGGTCCAAATAAAAGGCCTCAACTTTCGGGGGCAAGTCAGGAGCAAGAGGCTCCTCACTGCCTGGACCCCCATTGTGCTGCTCTGCCCTGGGCCATAGAGAACCATCCAAAAGTTTCGGCAGGATTCTCAGATACAGATGAGCCCTAAGTCTTACGTTTCCTGGAGGGAATCCTGCCAAACCACCCATGCAGCCACGTGAACGCACAGAGTGACGCTCTGCTCTTCGCTTTGTTTTTTTTTTTTTCTGTGCTGGTCCTGGGCCTTGAACTCAGGGCCTGGGTGCTGTCCCTGAGCTTCTGTGCTCAATCCTACTGTTCTACCACTTGAGCTACATACAGCTCTATGTTCAAGTTTTTGATGGTTTACTGGAGATGAGAGTCTCATGGATTTTCCTGCCCAGGCTGGCTTCAAGCTACGATCCTCAGATCCCAGCCTCCCGAGGAGCTAGGGTGACATGTACTGAGCCATTTGTACCCCAGCAAATTATTACCTTTGTGCCAAACCTGGGGCTTGAACTCAGGGCCTGGGCACTGTCCCTGAGCTTCGTTTGCTCAAGGCTAGCGCTCTACCACTTGAGCCACAGTATTACTTCCAGCTTTTTGTTTATGTGGTACTGAGGAATCGAACCCATCCCCAGGCCGGTTGCATAAATGTCCAACCCCAGCACTTGGAGAGCCAAGACAGGAGACTCCCAACTTTGAGGTGAGCAAACCCTGGACTCATAAAACCAAACAACATGGGCTGGGCAGGTGGCTCAGTGGTAGAGTGCTCGCCTAGCATGCATGAGGCCCTGGGTTCGATTCCTCAGTGCCACATACACAGAAAAGGCTGGAAGTGGCTGGTGCTGTGGCTCAAGTAGAAGAGCGCTAGTCTTGAGCAAAAGAAGCTCAGGGACAGTGCCTAGGCCCTGAGTTTAAGCCCCAGGACTGGCAAAAAACAAAAACCACAAAACAACAAAAAAGAGCTGGTTTGTCCTGGGATAGGAGGAGGAAGCTTCTGTTATAGCTCAAAGAAAGAAAGAAACAAACAAACGAACTAGTATTTGGAAAAAATGCTAGTGGATTTGGGCTCTAGGGAGGGACCAGCGGTTCACACCTGGAATCCTCCTTACTTAGGAGGTTGATATCTGAGGAGCGTGGTTTGAATCCAGCCTGGCCAGGAATATCCTAGAGACTCTTATCTCTGATGAACCACCAAAAGAGCCAGAAGAGGGTGTGGCTCAAGTGGTAAAGCACCAGGCTTTAATGGAAAAGCTGAGGAACAGTGCTCAAGCCCTAAGTTCAAGCCCTGGTGCTGGCACAAACAAATAACAGTAATAATTAAGCAACAACATCCCCCCCTAGACAAGGTAACCTTGAGAAAACCTTGGAGAGTCACAGACACTTCTACCAGCCACGACTACACAGGCCACTCATTACAAAGAAACCACCCAGAAGTAAAGGGTTTAGTGATCAGCTACAAGGTACAGCAAAAAACAGCAGACACAGCCAGGTACCAATGGCTCACATCTGTAATCTTCTTTTTGGGTCAGCTGTGGGGTTTGAACTCTGGGCCTGGGCGCTGTCCCTCAGCTCTTCAGCTCAAGGCCAGTGCTCTACCACTTGAGCCACAGCGCCACTTCGGGTTTTCTGGTGGTTCATTTTGGAGATCAGAGTCTCATGGGGACTTGATTGCTCTGGCTGGCTTTGAACCGCGATCCTCAGATCTCAGCCTCCTGAGTAGCTAGGATGACAGGCGTGAGCCACCGGCGCCACATCTGTAATCTTAACGGCTCGGAAGGCTGAGATCTGAGGCTCGCAGTTCAAACCTAGCTCAGGCAGCAAAGTCCATGAGACTCTTATTTCCAATTAACACCAAGAGATGGAAGTAGAGTTGTGGTGGTAGGGCTCAAGTGGTAGAACACTAGCTTTGAGTACAAAAGTGTAGGGACAGCTAGCTCCCAAGCTCAGAGTTCAAGCTCCTAGACTGGCGTATACACACACACACACACACACACACACACACACGATCAATCTGAGGGTTGGAGGCATGGCTTAAGTGGTCGAGCACTTGCCTACTATGGAGAAGGTCCTGGGTCCTCTCTTCAGGACTAGCACCAAAAAAATATGCATATGTCAACCAACATGAACCAATGAAAATGAATGTAAGGCACTCAACTGGGCCTGTTCTATTGGGCTCATTCCTGTCATGGGAGCTATTTGAGAGGCTCAGATAAGAAAACCCTAGTTTGGGCTGGGCAGGTGGCTCAGTGGTAGAGTGCTTGCCTTGCATGCATGAGGCCCTGGGTTTGATTCCTCAGCACCACATAAGCAGAAAAAGCCGGAAGTGGCGCTGTAGCTCAAGGGCTAGAGCATCAGCCTTGAGCCGAACAGCTCAGGAATAGTTTCCAGGCCCAGAGTTCAAGCCTCACAACGGATAAGTAAATAAAGAAATAAATAGCCGGGCACTGATGGCTCACGCCTGTCATCCTAGATACTCAGGAAGCTGAGATCTGAGGATCGCAGTTCAAACCCAGCCTATGCAAGAATGTCCGTGAGACTCTTATCTGCCATAAACCACTAGAAAACCGGAAGTGCAGCTGTGGCTTAAGCGGTAGAGCCATCGCCTTGAGCTGAAGAGCTGAAGGACAGCGCCCAGGCCCTGAAAACCCCCCCCCCCACACACACACACAAAAGCTGGAAACAGCACGGGTGGCTCACTCCTGCAATCCCACATACTCAGGAGAAATCTGAGGATGCAAGTTTGAAGCCAGCCCAAGCAGACACGTGCATGAGAGCCACACCTCCAACTGACAAGCAAAAAGCCAGCTGCCTCGTGGCTCACATCTGAGAACCAGGTTGGAAGCCAGCCTGGACAGGAACGTTCACGAGACTCCAACTTTAAAAAAGCTAGAGGAGCAGTGGCTCAAGTGGTAGAGCGCCAGCCTTGAGCAAACAAGTTCAGGGACAGCGCCCAGGCCGTGAGTTCAAGGCCCAGGACCAGCACCTAAAAACAAAAGCCAGTAGAGGCAAGGCTCAATGAAGAAGCCTCATGGGGGAAGAAGGCAAGTGACGAGCGTGAGCCCCGAGTTCAAGCCCACCCGCACACAAATAGAAAATACAACCCAGGGGGTTGGGAAGGTAGCTTAGTGGAAGAGTGCTTGCCCAGCATGCATGAAGCCCTGGGTTCGATTCCACAGTACCACATATGCAAAAAAAGCCAGAAGTGGTGCTGTGGCTCAAGTGGTAGAGTGCCAGCCTTGAGCCAAAGAAGCTCAGGGACAGTGCCCAGGCCCTGAGTTCAAACCGAAGGACTGGTGCGTGTGCACACACACATACACATGCATGCACACGTGCACACACACACACACACACACACACGCGATACAACCAAGCCAGGCACCAGTGGCTCACATAAGTCATCCTAGCTATTCAGGAGGCTGAGATCTGAGGATCACAGTTCAAAGCCAGCCCAGGTAGGAAAGTCTGTGAGACTCTGATCTCCTGTGAATCACCAGAAAACCAGAAGTGGTGCTGTGGCTCAAGTGGTAGAGTGCCAGCCTTGAGCACAGAGAGGCTCTGGGTCAGAACTCAGTCCCTGAGTTCAAGGCCCAGGACAGGTTTAAAAAAAAAACCAAAAAACAAACAAGTGGGGCCTGGTAATTAATTCATCTTTGTAATCCTACCTATGCAGGAGGTAGGTAGGGGGACAGTGGCCTGAGGCTGTCCGGGGCAAAATGTTCAAGACCCTGGGGGGGGGGGGGGGGAAATGACAGCAAAAAGAGCTATAGGGGGTTGGAGGCATGGCTCAGGAGGTAAGGCACCTGCCCATGACTGAAAGCAGCAGCAGATACCAAGTCCAAGTCCCAGACAAAAAACAATGGCAAACAAACACTGTAGGTGTGACTCCTGTGGTAGTTGCTTGTCTAGCAAGTGGAAAGCCTTGAGTTCAAACCCCAGCAGTCAAGACACAATAAAAGGAAAAGGGGGCGGGGGGGGGGGGGAGGGGACTTAAGTCACTCCACTGAGAAAAGAAAAAAATTCCAAAATGCACAACTACACCAAGTTCGTGTTACCTCACAATGCCAAAAGAAGAAAGAGCCCGCCGTGGCTCACACCTGTCATCCCAGCCTCTCAGGAGGCTGAGATCTGAGGATCATGGTTCAAGGCCAGTCCGGGCAGGAAAGACCATGAGACTCTGATCTCCAATAAACCACCAGGAAACCGGGAGTGGCACTGTGGCTCAAGGGGTAGAGCGCCAGCCTTGAGCTGAAGAGCTCAGGGACAGCGCCCAGGCCCAGAGTTCAGGCCCCACGACCGACCAAAAAAAGAGCCCTATGAGGGACCAATCGCTCGCTCGTTCTCTCTGGTTCTAAGAAGAGTGAAGGACCCTTCCAACGGGACCTGCGCCATTTCCACGATGACACCCATGAACTGACTCCATCTCTCCTGGGACGGACCATGCTGGCACAATCGGAACCTGGCCTGCTCCGAGGCTGACATCCCCACTGTGGCTTCTACACGGGGCCCCGGGGGCCACGGTACCCGGCGCCCAGTGCAGTGACTGAGCTGAAGGTCCCTTTGCCTTGTCTCTTCCATTGCAAATGGGAAATGTGGGAAGGAAAATCACATACCCCTGGACTTGCAGCTCAATGGCACAGCATGCGTGTAGTATGCACAAGGCTCTGCTTGATCCTCAGCACTAACAAAACCCTAGTTCAACACATGCATAGGTACACACGTATACACATACATACACCTGTGTACCTCATATATGCTTACTGTACTGAAATGTGTGTTTGTGTACAAAGTAAAAATTAAGGAGATAAACAAGACCAGGAAATATGTAACACTTAAAACATCAGCGTTAGCTGGGCGCCAGTGGCTTTTGCCTGTCATCCTAGCTACTCAGGAGGCTGAGATCTGAGGATCCTGGTTCAAAGCCAGCCTGGGCAGGAAATGTCCGTGAAACTCTTATCTCCAATAAACCACCAGAAAACCAGAAGTGGCGCTGTGGCTCAAGTGGTAGAGAGCTAGGCTTGAGCTGAAGAGCTGAGGGACAGCGCCCAGGCCCCGAGTTCAAGCCCCACCACCAAATAAATAAATAAATAAATAAATAAAACATCAGCTTGTCTTCAAAACCTATGGAGAATAAACTTCATCACCCAGCTGGAAATTGATTAACCCATTATTCTCATTATTTAGGTCTGGAATTCTCCGTCACTCTTGCCCTCAGCTTCCTAGTGATAGAGAGGATTGCAGGCTGAGGCCACTGTGCCCAGCTGAAGTGGGTGTTAAAACTTCAGGTAGGCGCAGGTTGCTCACGCCTGTAATCCTGGCTACTCAGGTGGCTGAGATCAGAGGATTAGGGTTCAAAGCCAGCCCAGGCAGCCCAGTCCATGAGACTCTTACCTCCAGTGAACCACCAAAAGCAGGTAGTGGAGCTGTGGCTCAAAGTGATAGAGCACTAGCTTTGAACACTAAAAATCAGGGACAGTGCCCAGGCTCACAGTTCAAGCACTAGGACCAACACACACACACACACACACACACACCCAGGGACAGTGCCCAGGCTCACAGTTCAAGCACTAGGACCAACACACACACACACACACACACACACACACACACACACACACACACACACACACCCCTACTTCTAAGATTGAAAGTGCTGAACTCAAAGCCTCAAATGCATGCATGGCTATTTCCAGACTTCTGAAATGTTCTCTTATTACCACGAAGCCTCTGAATTTTGTATTCTCTCAGACAAACTTCTAAAGCCTACTCCATTGAATTTTACCCACTCCAAACTAGCTAAGAAACAATACTCATTTCCTCCCAGAACACTTCATCTGTCACATCAAATACAAATAACCTCAAGTCACAGATTCGAATCTCTCCACAGATCCACCTCAACACCTTCCACTAGAACATGAAGGACAGAAATCCCATGCTAGCAGGGTGCCAGTGACACACACCTGTAATCCTATTCGAGGCTGGGAGGTGAGGATCAAGTTTCAAAGCCTGCCTGTACAGCAAAGTCTGTGACATTTCTCATCTTCAACTAACCAGCAAAAAGCAGGAAGTAGAGCTGTGGCTCCAGTGGTAGAACACCAGTGTTGAGATAAAAAAACAAAAACCAGGGACAGCACCCAAGTGCTGAGTTCAAATCCCAGTATGGACACGGATAACAACACAAAACTGAAGAATAAAGAAGCAAAGAAACAAACCTCACTCTAAACTTCGCCCTTCAACTCATAAATCAGGCCATCCCTTGGATCTTATCTGAGAATCAATTTCTCATGTGCAAACAATACAACCCTCTCCAGAGGCCGATGGTAGACACTTAACATTTCACTCCCAGTAGTGAGCAAAGGTGACAAGAGGTGCAGGACCAACTTTTCACACAAGAAAACTTCGCTTTCCTTCCACAGCCCACTCGGGTATTACACACCACTCCGCCGCCTCCAAGAACTCTTGTCACATTGTCCCAAAGGGAAAAACTTTTTTTTTTTTTTTAAATTATGATTCCCTCTCCACACCTCTCCCCCCTTCCATCCAAACTTAAGACAAGCCATGAGTCCCAAATTGTCTTACCCTCTCTCTCTCTTCCTCCTGGCGTCTTAGTCCTTGGCCTTTCCAGGGCTCCTGAACTTTCTGTAAACAAATTGTCTAGGTTACAGGGCCTGCACGGGTGCAGAATCTCAGCAATTCCTCGACTCTCAGCAGTCAGTCTGGGATGGGCCCCACCACGTCCCAATCAGTAAGAAGTCAGAGACAAGAAGGGCAGGAGCGAGTGTCTCTTCCCGCTTTCCGGGTGATGAAGGGAGATCGGTCCAATTCTCAAGGGGGGAAGGGGGGGGGGGGGAAGAAAAACAAACGACCAACTCTCAAAACACCAGTTTGTGGGTGCCACCTCCTAGGCTGCCGGCCACAGGTCACCAGGGCTCAGAGCACAGAAGAGATGGCAGAAGGGGGGGGGGGGGGGAAGGTCTCTGGGCCTCTACAAGTGGCTTCGGAAGGCCAAGCTGATGGCTAGGGAGGGGATGCCCAAGCTCCTGGGTCGGGCACCGCGCCAAGTTCAGGCCCAGCCACTTCCTCCAGCCTCCCCCCCACCCCGCCCCGTTACTTCTGCGAGGACTTCGCCCCCAGTGCGTCCCCCCCCCGAGGCCTGGCGCGGCCTCCCCGGGCCCGCACGGAGGGGGGGGTCTCGCCAAGCGGGGACCCTCAGCGGTGCCTCCCGCCCCCCCCCCCCGATCACCCTGCGACGCCCCCCACGGCCCGGGGAGCGCTCGGCCCGTGTCACCCCCCCCCCCGCACCCCGTCCCGCTCAGAGGCCGCGCCGGGGGGCGTCCCGCCCTCGCCTCTCCGGGGAGCTGAACTCTGCCACCCACCAGCCAGGCACCCGCCCCCTGGGCCCCCCCATTCCGCCCCAGCGCCCGCTCCTCCAGAACCACTTCCGGTTCCGGGACGGACACACAGTCAAATCGTGGATGGATGGCGCCCCCCCCCCCCCCCCCGCACACACTCACACTCCCCGCGTCCCGTCCCCGCCCGCCACCCCCCCCTCCCGCCCCCCGACGCCGGGGAGGGGGCGGGGAGGAGCGGCGCGCGCGCCCGCCGCGAGCACTCACCCGGCGGCGGCGGCGGCGGCGGGGCCTGGGCGGCGCGGGCGGGCGCGCGCGCGCAGGGGCGTCGTTTGCGGGCGCCGCGGGCGCGCGCGCGGCGGGGGGCGCGCGGGAAGGCGCGCGGGACGCCGCGGGGCGGGGGCGCAGGCGGCGCGCGGGGCCCTCCCTCCCCTCCGCTGCCCTCCCCTCCGCTGCCCTCCCCTCCCGCACACTCACCCGGAAGTGCTGTCGCGGCTCGCGCTCCCGGGAACCCCGCGCCTTCCACGCCCCCCTCCCGCCCTCCCCCACACGGGCTCCGAGAGGACTCGGCGCGCGGAGAAGGCGGGGAACCGGAAGCGGGGAGGGGAGGGAGGGACACAGCGCTGGAGGGGAGGGGGGGACGGCACTGAGGACAGGGGCGGAGTGAGTGCCCAGGCCGAGTCACTTCCGGAGGCGGCCAGGGGACTTCCGGCGCAGGACGGGCTCCCGGGGAGTCAGGGCGGAAGTTACGAGGGAAGGGCGGAAGTGGCTTCTGCCCTGGGAAGACGTTTGACGAGGCGGAGGTGACGTCGCGACGCCGGAAGTGGCGGGGAGTTAAGGGCGGAAGCCCAACGCTGCAGCTTCCTCCGGGAAGGAGTTGGGGCGGGAGGCGCGGCGGGTTCATGAATTATGCACCGAGGTACGAGGGGCGGCGTGGGTTCTGAACACTTGGGGGGCCGGGGCTTCCGGGCGCCCTAGGAGGGGCTTCGGTGTGCGCATGCCCCGGTGACGGGGCTCGAACCCCGGGCCTGGGCGCCGTCCTTCAGACTTTTCACTCGAGGCTGGCGCTCCACCACTTGGGTCACAGCTCCAGCCCAGCTTTTTGCTGGCTCCTTGGAGATCCGAGTCTCAGGGTCTTTCCTGCCCAGGCTGGCCTCGAACCGCGATCTCAGATCTCCTGGGTAGCTAGGGCCCCCGGCCTGAGCCCCTAGGCTCTTTGCTTTGACATGTGAACACTCACTGCTACCCGACGTCCCCTCTGCTCGCCTCCTGCACCAAGGTACGCCCTTCCCTGCTGGGTCCCCAGATCCTGGTCCTCACTGACTTGTCACAAGACGTTTGTCGCCTAAGCTACAGTTCATTACAAACGCCTGCTGTGAAGTGTCCCAGGAAGCCTTCCCTGATTGCTCCAACCCAAACATGGTCTCGATTCCCACAGCCAGCATTGTCTACAGCGTCCTTCATCCCCCCAACCCCACAACACCCCCCTCTTAATAACGAGGTGTGAACTCATGCTCCTTTTGCTTGTTTGCCTGGATGGTGCTGTACAGTTGAGGCTTGCCCTCCAGCTCGGTTTTTGCTTGTCGGTCATGGGGCTTGAACTCAGGGCCTGAGCTTTTCCCTTTAGGCTGGTTCTCTACCACTTTGAGCCATAGTACCGCTTCCAGTTTTTTGGTGGTTCACTGGAGATAAGAGTCTCACAGACTGTCCCACCTGGGCTGGGTTTGAACTGTGATCCTCAGATCTCAGCCTCCTGAATAGCTAGGATGACAGGCGTGAGCCACCAGCACCCAGTTAGTATGTGAGACTCTTATCTCCAGTGAACCACCAAAAAACTAGAAGTGGTGCTGTGGCTCAAGTGGTAAAGCACTCGCCTTGAGCTAAAGAGCTCAGGGACAGCGCCCAGAGTTCAAGCCCCAAAACGGACCCAAAAAAAAAGAAGAAGAAGAAAAAAAAACCACCTTCCTGCCCAGGTGGGCTTTGAACCAATACCCTCAGATCTCAGTCTCCTGAATAGCTAAGATTACACGCATGAGCCACCAGCTCCCCCCCCTTAGTCTATACTTTAATGGTGTTTTAGCTATTTCACGTATGTGATTTCTCAGTAAGATTGTCAGCATCTCAGAGAAGAAACTATTCGCAAGCTTGAAGACATAACAGATGCGGAGTAACTATATATTGTTTCAGTAACTGAGGGCTGCTACAAACCTTCGTCCTCATCTGCTCAGAAACCCGCTGGGCTCAGCTGTGTTTTGGTTAGAGCAGAATTAAGGTCCCTCTTCTCAACAGTAATGGCTCCTGGGGGAGAAGGAAAAATTTTCCCTAACAAATAATCGTGCCTATCTTTATAGATCTCAAAAATAAGACTCAGAAGGTTTATTTTGTACCAGGTATCAGGCCTGGAAGCTCAATCTCACATTCTCACTTGGCTTTTTCTCTTAAGGCTAGTGCTCTACCACTTGAGCCACACACCTCCACCTCTGGCTTTTTCATGGTTAACTGGAGAGAAGAGTCAGAGTCACTGATTTTTTTTTTCAGATTTTATTTATTTTATTTTATTTTTTAAGATCTCAGTGTCTGGGGCTGGGAAAGTGGCTCAGTGGCAGAGCGCTTGCCTTGCATGCCTGAGGCCCTGGGTTCCATTCCTCAGCACCACATAAGCAAAAAGAAAAAACCGGAAGTGACGCTGTAGCTCAAGTGGTAGAGCGCTAGCCTTGAGCTGAAGGGCTGAGGGACAGCCCCCAGGCCCAGAGTTCAGGCCCCACAACCGGACCCAAAAAAAAAAAAAGATCTCAGTGTCCGAAGGAGCAAGGATTACAGGCATGAGCTATGGCACATAGCTGGATTTTTTTTTTTTTCTTTTTTGGGGGGGCAGTCATGGGCCTTTGAACTGTTGGCTTGGGAACTGTCCCTAAGTTATTCAGCTCAAGGATAGCACTCTACCACTTTGAGCCACAGCACCACTTCTGGTTTTCTGGTGGTTCATTGGAGATAGGAGTCTCATGGATTTTCCTGCTTCAGCTGGCTTCGAACTGTGATCCTCAGATCTCAGCCTCCTGAGGAGTTAGGACAGACACCAGCACCTGTCTTAATCCTTAGGAGGCAAAGATCCAACTATTTGGGCTGATTTAAGGCTAGGTCAGCAAAAAAGGAAAAGAACTCTGGGCCTTGGCGCTGTCCCTCAGCTCTTCAGCTCAAGGCTACCATTTGAGCCACAGCGCCACTTCCACCCTTTTCTGCTTATGTGGTGCTGAGGAATCGAACCCAGGGCTTCATACATGCAAGGCAAGCACTGAGCCACCTTCCCAGCCCAGGAAAAGAAAATACTGATGAGATCTCATTTTAGCCAATAGCTCAGTGTCATCCCAACCATTTTGGGGATGGAAATCTGGAGGATTGCAGTTCCAAACCTGCCTGGGCAAAGTTCACAGAACCTCATCTCAACAGAAAAAAAGCTAGATGCAGAGATGCATGCCTGTCACCTAAAGTATCATGGAAAGCCCAAACTAAGAGGAATTGTGGTCCAGCCTGGGCCAATAGCAAGACCCTGTCTCCCAAATAACGTAAGCAAAAAGTAGCAGAGGCATGTCTCAAAAGATAGAATGCCTGTCTGGCAAGCAGAAAGCTCTGGGTACAAACCTAGGACCAACAAGAAAAAAAGACAAAAGCAACAGCCAAATAGTAATAATCACTTTACATTCAGGTTCTCTTGTGCCTAACTCCTCTGTTATATATAAGTGGCAAGTTTGTGTGTTTCAATCCTGGAGCTTGAACTCAGAGCTTAGGTGCTGTCCCTCCCCACCCCCACCCCCCCCGCCCCCACTTTTCTTTGTGGGTAATGGGGCTTGAGCTCTGGACTTGGGCACTGTCCCTCAGCTCTTCAGCTCAAGGTTGGTGCTCTACCACTTGAGCCACAGCGCCACTTCTGCTTTTCTAGTGGTTTATAGGAAACAAAAGTCTCACGGACTTTCCTGCCCGGGCTGGCTTTGAACCATGATCCTCAGATCTCAGCCTCCTGAGTAGCTGGGATGACAGGCGCGAGCCACCAGCGCCTGGTGCAGATCTGAAGTTCTTTAAACACCACAAAGCTTTGGAGGCCTCACGGAGGGGCGGAGGGGGAGGAGGACTGAAGTCATTTTAATCAGGGTTCCCAGCTGGCCCGATTTCCATCTTGAATCATTTCCACACTAGCTCTGGGCCTGGGAGTTCCCTCCTCACTGGGATTTCCCCAATCTGAGTCGATCTGAGCTGCCACGGTAAGTATTTCAGTTGGGTGCAGGCTGGCTGAGTCATTTGGTACTGAGAAATTGTGCCTGTTACCTAGTGTCCAAGAACTTTCTAGGGCCAAGCCCCGCGATCAACAAGAAAAAAAACAGAGGGACAGTACGGTCATTGCTGTGTGTGTGTGTGTGTATGTGTGTGTGTGTGTGTGTTTGTACATGCCAGTCCTAGGACTTGACCTCAGCACTCTACCACTTGAACCACAACTCCACTTCTGGCTTTTTGCTGGAGCTAAGAATCTCATCAACTTTTCTGCTACCCAAGCTGGCTTCGAACCATGATCCTCAGACCTCTCCGTCTCCTGAGTTAGCGGTGATAGTAAGCGTGAGCTCCCAGCGCCCGGCTAAAGTCTCTTGTTTTAACTCTAGGAGAAAAGGCCGTTCCTCAGGGTTGCGTGATGGTTCATCTTCATCTGTGATCATTTCTGTAGAACAATCCACAAGCCCAGGGTTTGTCCCCTTTCTCCTCTGTCGTTTGGAAGGAGGTACTGAGGAACAAGGACCGGGTAAGGATCTGGTGTCCTGCTGGTATATTCTAATTTATTTCAATTTGGGGAAACAGTCTAATCAGGCGGTAATTAATTCCCTCTTCATTAGGGGCCTTCACGTGTGCCTGGTGCATATGGATGAGCCCCGGGTCACAATGTCCCTCGGAAAAGGCTGCTGAAGGTGATAGTACTTGAAAGTCCCTCCCTGTGTCAATACCCGCCCCCCAAGACTTGATTTCGGGGGGGAATACGGACCCACAGCAGCCCTTGCCTTCAGCTGGGTTGATCGAGCCGGCCTCAGTGAGCACGAGCCCACAACCTGTTTTGTGCATTTAGTGCCAGTACTAGAACTCAGGGCTGGGCACTTCTAACTTGTCTTTTTAATCTTTCTTTTCTTTACTCAGGTTGGTACTCTACCACCTGAGCCACACCTCCACTTCAAGCTTTTTGCCAGTGCACTGCAGCTTAAGACTCTCCTGGACTTTTCCTACCCAGGCCGGGTTCAACCCACCCTCCTCGGATCTCCCCCTTCTGAGTCGCTGGGATTACAGGCATGCGCCACCGTGCCCGGCTTCCTGTCATTGCTTGATCACTCTTCGCCTTAACTTAATTCTCTTCCCTGAGGGGAGGCTGGCACCTTCAACAGGCACACTGCTCCAGTCTGGAATAATACCTCTGCAATGAGACACAGCCTCACTCCCCCACCCGTAAAACAACACCTACCAACACATCTGCATCCTGCCTTCCAGCCCGTAAGAGAAGCAGGTACAGCCCTGGGCTGCCCACAGTGCCCTCTGGCACGCGCATGCGCGCACACACACACACCATGGTCTCCTATCCCTCCTTGGGGGCTACCCTATTTCTAGGGAGCAGGTAGGGGCATAAATGGGGGGGGGGAGGAACTGGGGTGGTTACCATGACAACGGAGCCTAGCAACAGCTGAGAAGCTGATGTGTAGGCCACAATGGAGGCTTCAGAGGTGACTGATCCCAGCTGGGCAGCCTGCGTGCCCTCCCCCCAACACACCCCGTAATTCCACCCCCGTACCCCAGCAAGTGCCTCTTTCTCAAGCAAGGGCAGAGGAGGAAAACTAATCAGATGGCCACAGGCCTTCTCAGGAGACATTTTTTTGGGGAGGGGACAGCTGCAAATGGGGGCCAATTAGCAGGCAAGGACAAAAATAAACAAAGCGGGCCAAGCTCGCTCCTCCATCTCCTCTGCGCCATCTTTCTCTTCTTCCAGCTCTTCCCCTCCACCCGTCCTAGAAGTTCTCTCTTTGCTGGCTTGCGCCGTTGCCTGGCCTATATAATTACCCCCTCCCTCCTTTTCTCTTGACCTTCACAGACGGGAACCACAGAGGCACACTTCCGATTCCAGTTCTGGTTCTTTCCATTTCCAGACTGCGCATCCGCACCCTCCCTCCGCTTTTTCCTACTTCTCCTATTCTGTCCCAACTGGAAGATGCCCATGGAGGCTGAGATCTGAGGATCGCAGTGCAAAGCCAGCCTGGGCAGGAAAGCTCCTGAGAGTTGTCTCCAGTTAAGCAGCAAATTGCCAGAATGGAGGTGAGGTTCAAGTGGTAAAGCATCAGCCTTTTTTGTTTTTGGGAGGGGGAACCTAAGGGATAGCACCCAGGCCCTGAGCTCAAGCCCCAGTATAGACAGACAGACAGACAGACACACACACACACACACACACACACACACACACACACACGATCGCCATCAGTCCCATTCAGCTGGCGCAGGTCAGGTCCAGTCAGACCCTTCTTCCTCTCCTCCCTGCCTGCCCTTCCCCTCCTCTTCCTCTTCCGAACTGCCGCACTTGGAGTATCTTGCAAAGGCTTTATTTGAAAATTCTGAAACTTAACATCCCACAAGAATTCAAGGTAATCACCACGAGAAGAGAATACAAAAATATATATCACAGCGAGGAGCCAGGTGTCATGGGGGGGCAGGCGGAGGGGGGGCCCGGAGGAGGCGGGAGACGTGGTGGAGACAGCTCCTGATGGCCTCGAACCAGCCCCAGCCCCTGGCAGCCTACCCTGAGCTCCGGAGGCCCGAAAGGAGGCCGGGAAGTGGAGGCCTGGCTCAGGCAGGGGGAGACTCACAGACAGACAGCCAGGACAGACAGAACGAGGAGGACTTGGGAAGGACAAATGGAGAGTCTCTTTGTCATGGAATGCAGCAGGGGACTCCCCAAATCCCCACCCCTCCCACACCCAGACCTTCGGTCATGGGGGGCCCCAACTACCCCCACGGGGCCGGGGACGGGGGAGGGGGGGTGACGCGGGGCGTGAGGAGGGCTGGGGCGGAGGAGGGGCGCCAGGAGCCCCGCCGGCCCCGCGCCCACCCCGGGCGGCATGCAGAGGCCACGGACACGGGCCGGCGGGGGCGGAGGAGGCGGACGGACAGCAGGACCCGCCACGCCAGTGCACCTGACACGGCCCTGGCGGGAACCACGGCCGGCCGCGGCCTGGAGTGTGCGGCGATGAAAGACGGGGAGACGCGGGTGCGGAGGCGCGCGCACGGGGGTGGGGGCGGGCGCGCGCACGGGGGTGGGCCGGGGTGGGGGCGGCGCGCGCGCACGGGGGTGGGCCGGGGTGGGGGCGGCGCGCGCGCACGGGGGTGGGGGCGGCAGGCGCGCGCACGGGGGTGGGCCGGCGGGCGCGCGCACGGGGGTGGGCCGGGGTGGGGGGCGGCGGGCGCGCGCACGGGGGTGGGCCGGGGTGGGGGCGGCGGGGCGCGCGCGCGAGGGTGGGCTGGGCTGCGCAGGCGCGCACGCGAGGGCAGGGCCGGGGCCGAGGTGCGCACGCGAGGGCGGGGTGGGGCCGGGCGGTGCAGGCGCGCGCACGAGGGCGGGGCCGGGGCGCGCACGCGAGGGCGGGCTGGGCTGCGCAGGCGCGCACACGCGGGCAGGGCCGGGGCCGAGGCGCGCACGCGCGTGTCCGCAGGCGCGCGCACAGCACGGGGCATGGGGGGTGCCGAGGAACAGTGAGCAGCGGCTGGCGTGCGGGCGGGCGTGTGGGCCCCGCCCCGGTCACCCCAGGCCGGGCAGCATCCGGGGCGCAGCGCCCAGGGCCGGGGGGGCCCCCATGGCTCCGCCCGTGCCCCTCAGCCGGGACCCCCGGACTCCTGCTTGGCGGCTCCCCAACACAGGAGGGGGAGCGTCACAGGTTCACCAGGGGGATCCTGAGGGGAAGAGCAAAGGGCGGTCAGGAACCCAGGGGCTGGGACAGAAGGGTGGGGGCCCGAGGGAAAGGGGGGCCCCGCCCCCCACGGCCCGGCTCACCGGTTCATCTGCAAGGCTGGAACCCCCTTGGGCTGGGGCATCCCGGGCCGGGGCCCCCCTCGGGGCTCTTCGTGGTCAGGGGTGGGGGTGGGCGAGTCCCCGAAAGCCCCCAGCACAGTGACCCCCGCGGGGGACAGGTCTGCGAGCGGCTGCTGGCTGTCCTCCGGCCGCAGGGCGCCCTGCTGCCCCGAGGGCCGGCGCCGCTTCTGGCTGCGATCCCAGCTGGGGGGCACACGGGGGGGGGGTCACACACTCACGCTGCCCCCCCAAGCCACCCCCAAAGCCCACACACCTGACAGTTCCCTGCACGAGAAACCGGTGTGACCTCCCCCCAACGTATGACCCCATGCTTGTAGAAACCTCTAGATGCTCTTCATCCTGCCTGGATGGGAGGAGGGATCTGCAGCCTGTCTTGGAGGGGTCCCCACCAAAAACCCCTCCTCCCACACTTTAGAGAGTCCCCAGGCCTGGCCCTGGTGGGGCACACCTGTGATCCTAGCTGCTCAACAGACAGAGGGCTGGGCAGGTGGCTCAATGGTAGAGGGCTCGCCTAGCATGCATGAAGCCCCAGGTTCGAATCCTCACTACCACAGACACAGAAAAGGCCAGAAGTGACGCTGTGGCTCAAGGGGTAGAGCACTAGCCTTGAGCCAAAGACAGGGAAGGAAGGAGGGAGGGACGGAAGGAAGGCAGGCAGGCAGGCAGGCAGGCTGACATCTGAGGATTGCAGTTCAAAGCCACACTAGGCAGGAAAGTGAGACTTATCTCCAAGAAACCACCAAAAAGCAGTACGTGGAGCGTAGCTCACAGGGGTAGAGCGCTAGTCTTAAGCAGAAATAAAAAACCGTGGACAGTGTCTAGGCCTTGAGCTCGAGCCTACAACTGACCCCCTCCCCCCAACAAAAATTCTCCATTCTCCTTTCCTCCCATTCTCTACAGAAGAAAACCACAATGGTTCTCACAGCCCGGCCTAAGGTCTAACCTGCAGTCAATTTCTGCCCCAGCCTTCGGCAGACTGCCACCCTCTTCCTCCTCCCCCTCATACAACTTCATTTTCCAAACATTCAGTTCCCTGCCAAGCACCAGTAGCTCATGCCTGTAATCTGAGCTACTCAGGAGGCTGAGATCGGAGGCTCTAATTTCAAGGCCAGACCAAGCAGGAGAGTCACACTTATTTCCAATTAACCCCCCCCCCCCAAAAAAAAAAGAAGTGGTCCTGTGGCTCAAATAAATAAAAGAGTGTCATCCTTGAGCAAAAGAAGCTAAGGGACAGTGGCTAGGCCTTGAATTCAAGCCCCAAGACTGGCACAGAAACAAAAACCACACCACAACTCAGGGGGGCCCCCATCCAGGGGCCGGCACCCCACAGCTTACCAGAATTTGAATATGATGCCAGTAGCCACCAGAACAATGATGATGGAGATGGTGATGGTGACATACAGCTGCGGGTCCACACCTAACGGGATGGAGACCGCGGTTAAGTTGAGCACTGTTCTGAGTCCACACAGCCCGCCCTTCCTGCTGTGTCTACCATAATGGAACTTTAACTCAGGGCCTGACCATTCTCCAGTCCCTTAGCTCCCCCACCCCACCCATAGTTGGTCCTTTACCACTTGAACCATGCCTCCAGCTTTCTGGTGTGGCTTCACTGGAAAGGAAAAGTGTGGAGGACTTTTCCTGCCTGGGCTGGCTTCGATCCACCATGCTCAAATCTCAGCTTCCTGACTAGACAGGATTCCAGGCATGAGCCACTAGTGCCCAAGACCTATTTATTCTTGAACTCAGGGCCTGGGCGCCGTCCCTGAGCTTCTTTGGCTCAAGGCTCAGCGCTCTACCCCTTGAGCCACAGCGCCACTTCCAGCTTTTTCTGTGTATGTGGTACTGAGGAATCAAACCTGGGGCTTCAAGCATGCTGGGCGAGCACTGAGCCACCTGCCCAGCCCCCCCCCATTTATATGTTATTTTTTTATTTAAGGTCTGCTAACTGTCTACTCCACCAGCTCTAACAGGTCGGTATTCTCCAAGATCACAGGAAACTGACATCTTCAGAGCTCTCTAGACCCTGGTTGAACCCAAACCCTGGCCTGGGCCATCTGTGGGCTCCCCCTGAGCCAGCCCTTCCTGCAGCATCTCTGCCTGAACCCCCCACTCTAGTTTGCCAGGCCCAGGCTGGTATTACAGCATGCATGACGTGAGCTGTCTCTAAGTGTTCACACGGCCGACCCTCACTGATAAGGCCTCTCCACCTGCAGCCAGCCCCTCCGCCCCGCCTGACCCCCCCCCCCGCCCCCGCCGGCCCCCTCACCTTCGCCACGCCCCCCAAACAGGAATGGTCTCAGGGTGGCCAGAGTCTCCCCCAGAATCAGCCCGTCTCCGTCATCCCGCATGGAGTCTGAGTTGGGGTGGGGGGTAGCCAGCCCGTGGGGGGCTACAAAACCATAGTCCAGGGGTAGAAACCCGGGGTTGACAGAGTTAGGGTCTCCCCCGTCCTCTCGAGACACCGTGGGCCCCCATACAATCGCCCAGGGGTACTGGGAAGATGGGGGCCCCTCCTCAAAGCCTGAGGGGGTGGCGGGGGGCGCCGTTCCCGGCAGGATCTGCCGCCGGGATCTGGGGGCCCGGGAGGATCGACTGGGTGGGGGTGCCCGTTCCCACACGCACACGTGTCGGGGGGCTGAGGGCCCGCCTCGGGAGCATGGCGGGCGGGCTGGGGCTGGTGGGGTTCGAGGGGAGGAGGAAGAAGAGGAGGAGGAGGAGGAGGAAGAAGAGCCCTGAGCAGGCCGTGGGAGAGGCAGCAACAGCAGAGGCCAGAGAGGGAGGAGGGGAGACAGAAGCCTACAAGAAGGGAGAGAAAGCCGGTGAGAGACCCAGGCCCCCTCGAGCCCGCGTGAGCCACAGGGCAGACTCGCAGCAGAACTTCCCAACCGCCTCCCTCCAGCTCCAGCAGCTCCTTGCAAAGACCCCGGCCTTCCTGGCCTCCCCTCCTAGGGCCCCTCAAGATGGATGGCCTAGGTAGGAAAAGCAAAGCCACCCCGACCCCACCCCCAAATGACCCCCTTGGTCACCTCCCCTCCTCCCACCACCAGCTAGGCCAAACTTACCACATTCTGCATTTCATGTCTGAGGTCTTTCTCAGCTGTGACCCAGATTTTCAACCTTTACTGGGGGTGGGGGGGGAGTGGAGAAAAGAAGTGGGGTCATCCCATACGCACCCCCAATCTTCACCCACTCTGCACCCCTTCCATCCTCCAGCCAGGACCCACCATCTCCCAGCATCCTTGTCGATTTCTTTCCCGGCCCCCCCATCTATAACTTCCTGGGGGGGGGTGCCCGCCTTCCCTCCCCGCACCCCAAGCCTCCCCCCTCCTCCTGCCCCACCGCGCCAGGCTTTTCCTGGATCTTAAATTAGAGGCAAGAACCTTGTGATTCCTGGAGCACCTACCGCCAGGGAGGGAGGGAGGGAGGGGGGGGGAGGCCGAGGGGAGGGGCCCCCCCCAAGAGTCTGCAGGGAGGGGAGGGTGGGCGGGGAGCTGCGTTTCCCAGTCAATCACCCTCGGGCCCAGGTGCTCTCCCCTCGGGGAGCCCTGGGGGGGAGGGGGAGGGCTGGCCACGTGTGGTCAGGGCTCAGGGGGCTGGATGGGGGGCAGGCTCCCCCAAATGAAGGAGGACCTGGTCTCCAATGAACCCAGTTCTGAGCCTCAGCTACTCCCCCAGCAGAGAGAGGGGGGGAGTGGGGAACCATCTTGGGGAGACAGGGAGGAGGGGCGGGGAAGGGGGGAGAAGAGGAGGGGGCAGAGGAGGGGGAGGAGGGGGGAGGAGGCGCCAGGGGGCCGGAGGGTCAGGCCGGGGTGAGGAGGCCCAGGCTGGAGGAAGGAGGCCGGAGGCTGGGGCAGGGGGGAGGCGGGGCGGGGCGGGGGGCGCGGGGCGAGGGGAGACGGGTGGGGGGGTGGGGAGGGGATCGTCCCCGTGCCCGTCCGGCCGCGGGGACGGGCGGGGAGGGGGGGGGGTGGAGAGGGGCCGCGTCCCCCCACCCCGCGGGCCTCCCCCCGCCGCGCCCCCCGCCGCGCCCCGCGCCCCCCGCCGCGCCCCGCGCCCCGCGCCCCCCGCCGCGCCCCCCGCCGCGCCCCGCCGACCTGTTGGGCGCCGCCGCCGGGGGCGGGGGAGGCGGGCCGGGCCCCGGGCGGAGGCGCGGGGCGCGCAGGGCCGAGCCGGGCCCCCTCTCCCCCCTCCCCCGGGCCGGGGCGGCGCTCACCTGCCCGCCGGGCGCGGCGGCGCGGGCGCTCGGGCTGGCGGGGGGCCGGGGGCGCGCGGCGGCGGGCGGGGCGCGGGGCATGGTCGGCGGACCGCGCAGCAGCCGGGCCGAGGGGGGCGGGCGCCCGGGGCGGCGGCGGCGGCGGCGGCGACGGCGGGAGACGCGGAGCTCGGCCCCGCTCGGCCCCGCTCGGCTCGGCCCCGCTCGGCTCGGCCCCGCTCGGCCCCGCTCGGCTCGGCTCGGCCCCGCTCGGCCCCGCTCGGCTCGGCTCGGCCCCGCTCGGCTCGGCCCCGCTCGGCCCCGCTCGGCCCCGCTCGGCTCGGCCCCGCTCGGCTCGGCCCCGCTCGGCTCGGCTCGGCTCGGCCCCGCTCGGCCCCGCTCGGCTCGGCCCCGCTCGGCCCCGCTCGGCTCGGCCCCGCTCGGCTCGGCCCCGCTCGGCTCGGCCCCGCTCGGCTCGGCTCGACTCGGCCCCGCTCGGCTCGGCCCCGCTCGGCTCGGCCCCGCTCGGCTCGGCTCGGCCCCGCTCGGCTCGGCTCGGCCCCGCTCGGCTCGGCTCGGCTCGGCTCGGCTCGGCTCGGCCCCGCTCGGCCCCGCTCGGCTCGGCTCGGCTCGGCTCGGCTCGGCCCCGCTCGGCTCGGCTCGGCTCGGCTCGGCCCCGCTCGGCTCGGCCCCGCTCGGCTCGGCTCGGCTCGGCTCGGCTCGGCTCCGCTCGGCTCGGCTCGGCCCCGCTCGGCTCGGCTCGGCCCCGCTCGGCTCGGCTCGGCTCGGCCCCGCTCGGCTCGGCCCCGCTCGGCTCGGCCCCGCTCGGCCCCGCTCGGCTCGGCCCCGCTCGGCTCGGCCCCGCTCGGCCCCGCTCGGCTCGGCCCCGCTCGGCCCCGCTCGGCTCGGCTCGGCCCCGCTCGGCTCGGCTCGGCCCCGCTCGGCTCGGCCCCGCTCGGCTCGGCTCGGCCCCGCTCGGCTCGGCCCCGCTCGGCCCCGCTCGGCTCGGCTCGGCTCGGCCCCGCTCGGCTCGGCTCGGCTCGGCTCGGCCCCGCTCGGCTCGGCTCGGCTCGGCTCGGCCCCGCTCGGCTCGGCCCCGCTCGGAGCCCGGGCCGGTCTCGGGTCAGTGGGGTGCAGGGCTGACCACCCCCCTGCCCCACGGTCCCCCGAGCAGCTGGGGGACGCTGGGCCCAGCTCCCGCCGGCCCCGGGGAGCCCGGCCGCTCGGGAGGCCGGGATCGGAGGACGCGGTTCGAAGCAGCCCGGGCAGGAAAGTCCGTGAGACTCCGATCTCCAATGGACCGGCAAAAAGCCAGAGGTGGGGGCGCGACCCAAGGGGTAGAGCGCCAGCGCCGAGCGAGAAAGCTCAGGGACCGGGCCCGAGGCCTGAGTTCAAGTCCCAGGACCTCAGACACAGACAGACAGACACACAGGCATGCATGTGTACGTACACACACATACACATATGTACACGTACACACCGACGCATGCATGCAGACACACATGCATGCATGTGTACATACACGCATGTACATATACAAACAGACACATGCATGCACACACTAGGTAGATGCATGTATGCAGACACACAGACACAGACATGCATGTGTACTACACATACACTTATACACATATAGACACAGACGCATGCATGCATACACACAAGAGGTAGACGCATGCACACACACACGGGAGGTAGATGCATGCACGCGCGCGCACACACACATACACGCACACTGAGAGGTAAACGGAAGGACAGCGAAGACCTCACTCTAACATCAACAGTACACCTTTCTCTTCCATTCTGGTCCTGCTACAACGAATTCCCTCAAAAACAACCCAAATGATCTTTAGAAACCAGTGGATCAAGCCAGGCGCTGGTGGCTCACGCCTGTAATCCTAGCTACTCAGCAGGCTGAGATCTGAGGATCGCGGTTCAAAGCCAGCCCGGGCAGGAAAGACCGTGAGACTCCTATCTCCAGTAAACCACCAGAAAACCGGAAGTGGCGCTGTAGCTCAAGTGGTAGAGCGCTCGCCTTGAGCTGAAGAGCTCAGGGACAGCGCCCAGGCCCAGAGTTCAAGCCCCACGACCGACAAAAAAAAAAAAAAAGAAACCAGTGGATCAGGTCCCAGGTGTAGTACCGGATTCCCAAACTTCTCTGGTTTCTCTATTTCTAGATTTCCACACTGCAGCCGCAGTGGCCCTGATCCCTTTCCCACAAGGAGCCAGGTGGAACCTTCCTCTGGGACTTCATATTGCTGTTCCCTCAATCCGGAACAATTTTCCCTATCATTCACCCGTCCCCTCGGGTCTCACTTAGAGCCAAAGTCTCCTTGGGAGGATTTCCCTGATCTGTCTCCCTCCCTTACATCACCCTGGCCTGAAATCAGACATGTAGAAGATGCCAAATCCTGTTTTATTGTTGTCAGTCGTGGGGCTTGAACTCTGGGCCTGCGCACCATCCCTGAGCTCTTCAGATCAAGGCTGGTGCTCTACCACTTGAGCCACAGCGCCACTTCCGGTTTTCTGGTGGTTCACTGGAGATGAGAGTCTCCCAGACTTTCCTGCCAGGGCTGGCTTTGAACCATGAGCCTCAGATCTCAGCCTCCTGAGTAGCTGGGATGACAGGCGGGAGCCACAGGTACACAGTGGCTGTTTTCTTTTATTCTTCCTGACCTCTAAATGCTCTAGCCTCTTAGGACCTAGCCCTTCTCATCCATCATCCATGTTTCAAAGTTCTGTTCAGTGATCTCATCCGATCTCAGGATTTCAATGTTATGGAAATGTCAGTGAGCCCTAAATTGATATCCAGAGGGCTTGAGTCACCCATCCGACTGCATGCACTGCACGTGAGCAAAGGTAACACGTTAGAAGTAGACATTATGAATGCCTCCAGCATAATCGATTGCTCTCCTGGTGTTTCCCATCCTGGCCACCATAACACCTGGTTATTCAGACTAAAAACCCTTAACTGGACCCTGGCAGCTCCCGCCTGTCATCCCAGCTACTCAGGAAGCTGAGATCTGAGGTCAAGAGTTTGAAACCCAGCCCAGGCAGGAGAGGTTTTAAGATTTATTTCCAGTGAACCACCAAAAAGCCAGAGTGGAGGTATGGCTCAAGTTGGTAGAGCGCTAGCCTTGAGCACAAAAACCTCAAGGAAGCACCCAGGCCCTGAGTTCAAGCCCACAAACAATAATCAACTTATATTGTTTTTGGAGACTCATTTTGTAGACTCAGTTTACCTTTGTTTATGATCTGCTTCTCTACCCTGAAGAGCAGACAGTCGCGTTTGTCTTGCTTACCCTGGATCCTAACTCCTACCCCAGTGCCTTTGCATATGTCAGCCGCTCCAGAGTCATGACATTCGTGGCTTAGTGAATTTGGTGGGAGACTCCTGCCTACTCTGAACTCTTCGTTCTCTTTGGCTTGTCCCTTTGCCTTTCCTCTCTGTCTCTTCCCAGTGCTGAAAGCCTCAAGCGGAGTCTCTATTCCCAGATTCTCCCCCCTAATACTGCAGCTGCTCTGTCATTAGCCTGGCACCCGAGCGACCAAGTAACTCATGACTCAGTGGAAATCCTCCTCACCAGCTGTCAGCACCATGATTCATTTGTCCTTCCCTCCTTCCTTCCTTCCTTCCTTCCTTCCTTCCTTCCTTCCTTCCTTCCCTCCTTCTTTCCTTTTCTTCCTTCCCTTTCTTCTTTCCTCTCATTATCTGCAAAGAACTGATGGATGATTGAGAGAACCAGAACAAAGCCACCTGTGTCCTCTTTGGACTGTGTAGCCAGTACTGGGGCTTGAGCTAAGTACCTGGGTACTGTCCCTAATATTTTTTCACTCAAGGTTGGCACTCTACTACTTGAGCCACAGCTCCACGTCAGGCTCTCTGGTGGATCATGGGAGATAAGAGTTTTATGGGCTTTCCTGTCTAGGCTGGCATTTGACCTGGGGTCTTCCTATCTCTGCCTCGTGAGTAGCTGGGATTACAGGTGTGAGCTACCACCACCTGACATTCCCTGTTGTCTTTGTAGAACTTATTGTAGCATAAAGGAGAAGTTGAGCTGACAGCAGAAGAGGCCCAGAGTAGAGGTCATTGATAGAGCCCATGCTGAGCATGCTCAAGGCCTTAGCTTTCAGTCCTAACAAGGCCATTTGTGTGTGCATGTGCGTGCACGCGTGCATGCGCACACGCATGCCAGTACTAGGGCTTGAACTCAGGGCCTTATACTCTTGCTTGGCTTGTTCTGTTCAAAGCCAACACTCTACGACTTGAATCACAGCTCCACTTCGAGCTTTTTAATTAGAGATCAGAGTCTCAGGAACTTTTGTACCTGGCTAGCTTTAAATCATGATCCTCAGATCACAGCCCCCTGAGTGGCCACTGGGTGCCACCAGAACCCTGTATATCTTTCTGGTTTCATTGCTGTCTCTTCACAAAGCACTTCCTGTTACTTAGGTTAATTTCGCGTATATGTATACACATAAAAACTTCATTGTCATAAAACACATAACATACAATTTACCCTCAACTAATTAGTGTATAGTTGAGTACTATTAAATACAGATGGAATATTCTACAAAATGACCTCCATTCATTCCCAGAACGCTTTATTTTTGCCAATCCTGGGGCTTGAACTCAGGACCCTATCCTGATCTTCTTTTGCTCAAGGGTAGTGCTCTACCACTTGAGCCACAGCACCACTTCTGGCTTTTTCTGTGGATGTGGTACTAAGCAATCGAACCTGGGGCCTCATGCATGCTAGGCAAGCGCTGTACCACTGAGCCTCATTCCCAGCCCCCAGATACTTTTTTTTTTTTTGGGTCCGGTTGTGGGGCCTGAATTCTGGGCCCGGGTGCTGCCCCTCAGCTCTTCAGCTCAAGGCTAGCGCTCTACCACTTGAGCCACAGCGCCACTTCCGGCTTTTTTCTTTTTGCTTATGTGGTGCTGAGGAATCGAACCCAGGGCCTCATGCGTGCAAGGCAAGCGCTCTACCACTGAGCCACCTTCCCAGCCCTGGATATTTTTTTTTAATGTTGAGACTTCTTGTTATGGATGTGAGATAGCTTTCCTTTGATTTAAAGCCTCCTAAATAGCTTTCAATGAAATATAATATTTTTTGCATACAGATAAAGTACACATTCTGTCTTATTGGCTCCTAGATATTCTTTTGATTTTTCTGTTATAGTTAACATTACTTTCTCAAGACTGAAGTTTCAGAAGTGCTTTTTGCTGATCTATAGGAATGCGGTTGATTTGCAATATTAGTTGTAGTAGAGCAAACAATTTTGATACAGTCTTGCTTCTGTGCAATAATTTTTTTCTATAGACATTCGGAATTTTCTCCCAATCACCTCATCAGCAACAAGATAGAAGAAGTTTCCTTTCTCTGTTCCAGTGCTAAGCTTTTAATTTCCCTTTCTGTGCTGGCAGGACTTTTATTGCAATGTTCAAAGGAAGAAGTGACGAGCCGTTCTGTTCTTGCTTTTGAAAGAAACACTTCTAATATTTTGTTTCTCGGAACGGTGGTTGCAGTGTGAAGCCGTGAGGTTTCAACCTCCAGCGCCACAAAGATGAAAAACACCCAGAAAAATAAGTGAACAAATGGTGTTTGCTACAGTGTCTTTCGTTTTCTTTTCCATTTATTTATTCTTTTATTCTTTTAGTTGGATGTGGAGCTTGAACTCAGGGCCTGGACACTGTCCCTGAGCTTTTCTTGCTCAAGGCTGGTGCTCTACCACTTGAGCCACAGCACCATTTCTGGTTTTCTGATGGTTCATTGGAATAAGAGTCTCATGGACTTTTCCTAACCCGGTTGGATTCAAACTGTGATCCTCAGATCTCAGCCTTCTCAGTATCTAGGATTACACACAAGAGCCACCAGTGACAGGTTCTTTTCTTTTCCCTTCCCTCCCTCTACTCCCTCCCTCCCTCCCTCCCTCTCTCCCTCCTTTCCGTCCTCCCTTCCTTCCTCTCCCCTTCTCTTTTTGGTCAGTCATAGGGCTTGATCTTCTTTTGCTCAAGGCTAGCGCTCTACCACTTGAGCCACAGCGACACTTCCAGCTTTTCTGTGTGTGTGGTACTGAGGAATCGAACCTAGGGCTTCATGCATGCTAGGCGAGCACTCTACCACTGAGCCACCTTCCCAGCCCCTTTCCTTGATTTTGTGCCAGTACTGAACTTGAACTCAGGCTATAGGCACTATCCTTTAGCTTTTTCACTCAAGGCTGGTGCTTTGCCACTTGAGCCACAGCTCTACTTCCAGCTTTTTATTGCTTTAATGGAGATAAGAGTCTCACAGACTTGGCCAGTTGCTGGTAGCTTCTACCTATAATCCCAGCCAGAAGGGAGGCTGAGAAGTGAGGATCATAGTTCAAAGCCAGCCTGAGCAAGAAATTTTGTGAGGCTGGGAAGGTGGCTCAGTGGCAGAGCGCTTGCCTTGCATGCCTGAGGCCCTGGGTTCAATTTCTCAGTGCCACATAAGCAAAAAGAAAAAAAAAAAAGAACTTTCATGGGACTCTGATTGCTCATGAACCACTAAAAAGGCTGGAAATGGCTCAGGTGGTAGAGCACTAGCATTGAACAAGGAAGACTCAAGGACAGCACCCAGCCCTCAATTCAAACCCAGAATTGGTGCATGCGAACACACACACACACACACACACACACACACACACACACACACACGGGATGAGTCTCACAGACTTTCCTGTCCAGGCTAGCTTTGAACCACAGTCCTCAGATCTCAGCCTACTGAGTAACTGGCACCCAGCTTGAGACAGATATTTATTGGAATGGTAGAACATTCGCCCAACATATACCAGCCCATCACCCAAGTCACAAACAATTAGGTGAGAGCTGGGTGCAGTGTCTCAACCTGTAATCCTAACTACTTGTCACTCAGGTAACACAGGTTGGGAGAATCATAGTTCAAAGCTAGCCTGGGGTAAAAGTTAGTGAGAACTCCAGCCTAACTAAGAAAAGCATTTACCTGTGGCATTTACCTGTCATCCCAGCTAACTGGAACGATGAAATAGGGAAATTGTGATACAAGCCAGTCGAACATGAGAACTTAAACAATGACTAAAGGTCTGGGAGGGTGGCTCAGTGGTAGAGCGCTTGCCTCGCATGCATGGAGCCCTGGGTTCGATTCCTCAGCACCACAGACACAGAAAAAGCCAGAAATGGCACCGTGGCTCAAGTGGCAGAGTGCTAGCCTTGAGCCAAAGCAGCTCAGGGACAGCGCCCAGGCCTGGAGTTCAAGACCCCTGATGGGCAAAATAAAAAGACTCAGGCAAAAAATGGTAGGAAGAGCCAGGCGCCGGTGGCTCCCGCCTGTCATCCCAGCTCCTCAGGAGGCTGAGATCTGACGATCGTGGTTCAAAACCAGCCTGGGCAGGAAAGTCCATGAGACTCTGATCTCCAATAAAGCACTCAGAAAACCGGAAGTGGCGCTGTGGCTCAAGGGGTAGAGCGCCCGCCTTGAGCTGAAGAGCTGAGGGACAGCGCCCAGGCCCAGAGTTCACAACACACGACCAAATACATAAGTAAATGCCGCAGGGATCTTCCTCAAGGGATAGAACACGCGCCTATCGTGCTCAGGACCCTACAGAATACATGTTTAAATGTCGCACCTGTGGATTCTAAGGTACACACGTGCACAGTTAGACACGCGAGTGTGTGCACAGACACGCGTGTGCATGTGTATCTAATGCAATACGCCGAGCCCTGAGTTCAAGCCGCGTGCACGCACACGTGTCCACGCAAGGTGTGTGTGTGCACCTGCGTGTGTAGATGGGTGTGCATCCAGCCCCGGGCGCCCAGTCCACCGTGTGTCTCCTGGATCAATAAAGTTTTATTGTCACGAAGCCGGGAGCAAAGAAAAGCGCCTGTCAGTTCCTCCCCAACAGCCAATCACAAGCCGGGGAAAGCCTATGTCCCGCCTCCCGGGGGGGGGGGGCCCGCAGTCGGCGGAAGTGACGTCCCTCCCACCCGGAACGTGCTTCCGGAAAGCGGTCGGCGGCCATAGAGGTCGGCGGCTAGAGCGTCCGGGCGGGCCGGCGGCAGGAAAGGCTCCGGACGGCCGCCGGAGGTGACGGAGCGGCGGCCGCGCCCCGGGAGCTGGAGGAGCAGCTCGGCGGGTGGCGTTCCGGAGCGTCCGGTCCGGGGTGCGAGCGGGGCCCGGCGGCGCGGCCCCGGGGCGGGCGCTTTAAGCGAGGGGGTGGGGCCGGCGGGCGGACGGCGTCCCGGCGGGGTCACGTGGGCGGCGCGCGCGCCGCCGGCGCGAAGGGTGGGCGGGGCGTGCCGCCGGCGCGATGGGGGCGGGGCGTGCCGCCGGCGCGAGGGGGCGGGGGCGCGAGGGGTGGGCGGGGCGTGCCGCCGGCGCGAGGGGTGGGCGGGGCGTGCCGCCGGCGCGACGGGGGCGGGGCGCGAGGGGTGGGCGGGGCGTGCCGCCGGCGCGACGGGGGCGGGGCGCGAGGGGTGGGCGGGGCGTGCCGCCGGCGCGACGGGGGCGGGGCGCGAGGGGTGGGCGGGGCGTGCCGCCGGCGTGGTGGGGGCGGGGCGCGAGGGGTGGGCGGGGCGTGCCGCCGGCGGGGGCGGGGCGTGCCGCCGGCGCGGTCGGGGGGCTCAGCATGGGGACGGGTTCCTGGTCCAGGCCCAGCTGGGGGGGGGCCCGGCAGCCGCGCAGGGCCCGAGTACAGATGGGGGGGGTCCCCACACCTGTTTGTAGAAGCTTCCATCCCATGCCCCCCTGCCGGAGGGACTTGGTTGGTACCTTGTTCGGTTTGGGGTGCCAGTCCTGGGACTGGAACTCGGGGACCTGGGGCCTCCTCACTGCGCCTGTGCCCCTGGGACCAGACTCCACAGCCTCAGCCCCGCTGGGGCCGGCCTCGAACCGCGATCCTCGGGGGCGCCAGCCTCCCGAACGAACGAGGACTCCCGGCGTGAGCCACCCAGCCCGGGCTGCGCTTCCCTGCCTCCCCGGGCCGCCCCGGCTGCGCGTCCCCGCGGGGGCTCGGACCCCGCCAGCTGCGCATCCTCTTCCCCTTCAGCTCCCGCCAGCTGACGCCAGGGCCCGCCCCCGCCCGCGCAGCCATGAGTGCCGAGGTGAAGGTGACGGGCCAGAACCAGGAGCAGTTCCTCCTCCTGGCCAAGTCGGCCAAGGGGGCCGCGCTGGCCGCGCTCATCCACCAGGTGCTGGAGGCGCCCGGCGTCTACGTGTTCGGCGAGCTGCTGGACATGCCCAATGTCAGAGAGGTGGGTGGTGGCCCCTGGTTAGGACCCCCTCTCCCCCCTCCACACACACACTGGGGACAAAAAGTTTCCATTTGAGACTAGGAGGGACGGGCAGGGCCCATCTTCCATCCGGGTATCTATTCCATTCTGTTAAGAAGTTTCCTTTCCCTTGGGAGATGGGAGATCTGGAAAACCTAGTGTTCTTTTTCTGTGTGTGTGTGTGTGTGTGTGTGTGTGGGTGCGTGTATGTACACGCACCAGTCCTAGGGCTTGAACTCCGGGCCTGGGCGCTGTCCCTTAGCTCTTCAGCTCAAGGCTGGCGCTCTACCACTTGAGCCACAGCGCCACTTCTGGCTTTTTCTGCTTATGGGGTGCTGAGGAATCGAACCCAGGTCCTCATGCATGCAAGGCGAGCGCTCTACCACTGAGCCACCTGCCCAGCTCAAGGCTAGTCTTACCCATTTGAACCCCAGCTTCACTTCCAGCTTCCAATATTTTCCTGTCATGGCTGGCTTTGAACCGTGGTGCTCAGGTTTGGTACTCGGGTCTGCTGAGTAGTTAGGATTATAGGCATGGACCACTGACCACCCCCTCTCTCCCCTCTAGCCCCCAAAGCTTGGTTTTCCTTTTTAAGCAAGATAACATGCAAAATAGGAGCTTTTCAGCTTACAGTCTGTGCTCTACCACTTGATCCACACCCAGCTACTCACTTGATCTATTTTGCTGTTTTATTGGAGGTAAGGGTCTTGGATTTGTCTGTCCAGGCTGCTTCAACCCCAGTCCTCAGACCTCATTTTCTCTTTTTTTTTTTTTTTGGTCATGGGGCTTGAACTCAGGGCCTGCGCACTGTCCCTGAGCTCTTCAGCTCAAGGTGAGCGCTCTACTACTTGAGCCTCAGCACCATTTCTGTTTTCTGGTGGTTCCTTGGAGATCAGAGTCTCAGGGACTTTCCTGCCTGGGTTGGCTTTGAACCTCAATCCTCAGATCTCAGTCTCCTGAGTAGCTAGTGACAGGCGTGAGCCACCAGGCCCAGCTTACCTCATTCTCTCGGGTCCCTGGAATTACCAGGGGTGAGTCACTGGGACTCGCTTCCATTCTCTGGAGTAGGGCTAATTCGCATCATCAAAGGAGCAAAAGACGCCCTTTCTGGGTGTTGTGTGTAGGTGTGTGCGTGCATGCATGTTCTGGTACTGGGGCTTGAACTGAGGATCGGGGTGCAGCCCCTCGCTAGCAGCCCTTTCTGAATGGGTGCCTGGTTAGCTTCGAGGTGGACATGATGTCGCTTGTGAAGAGAGTAATCAGAGGGGTAAGAAGTCGCCTCCTGGTGAAGCGCGGTCGCACGGGCTGGGAAGGATGGGACCAGAAGGATCAGAAGAGGGGTGGGAGAGTGGGAGGCTGGCCTGACCGCCCTTCCTCTCACCCCCCCCCCTTCCTGACCCCCCCCCCCCCTTGCAGCTGGCTGAAAGCGAGTTTGCGTCCACTTTCCGTCTGCTGACGGTGTTTGCTTATGGGACTTACGCTGACTACCTAGGTAATCGGGGGCTGGAGGTTGGGAGCAATGGAGGCAGGAAAGGAAGGGGGGATTCTGGAGAGACTTGACAGTGCTGGTGTGCCCCGCAGCGTCAGGGCCAAGACCCCAATACAGGGGGAGATCAGTGCAGCGGGCTGGGAAGGGGCTCAGTGGTCCAGCGCTGGCCTTCCACACGCGAGGCCCTGGGTTCGATTCCTCAGCACCCCATAAGCAGGAAAAGCCGGACGTGGCGCCGTGGCTCAAGTGGTAGAGCGCCAGCCTTGCGTGCAAGGGCTCAGGGAAGGAGGAGCGCCCTCAGAACTGAGCCCCGCACCCCCCCCCCCCCCGGCCTTGCTCTGTCCCCCAGCGGAAGCCAGGAGCCTCCCCCCGCTCACCGAGGCCCAGAAGAACAAGCTGCGGCACCTGTCTGTGGTCACCCTGGCCGCCAAAGTCAAGGTGAGCCGACCCCCATGCCCCGCCCCCCTCGCCTAGTTCAAAGCCAATGAGGCTCAAGAGCACCCAGTTGTCCCGCCCCCTCTTCCGCCGTGATTGGTGTCTCACCTCCGCCTTGACAGCCATTTAGGCGCAACGTGGCTTTGTCTTCTAGTCTCTGGTGTTTTGATTGCCTGGGGCTTGAACTCAAGGTGAGCATTCTACTGCTCGAGCCCCAGCTCCACTCCTGGCTTTTTATTGAGGGGTAGTTTAGTGGCAGTCAGAGTCTCACAGATTTTCCTGCCCTGGCTGGCTTTGAACTGCGATCTTCTGATCTACGTCCCCTGAGTGGCGGGGATGGCAGGCGGGAGCCTGCTGGCGCGTGTCTGGGCTCAGTCTTGTGTCAGATACCATTGCTCCACATCTGCTACTTCTCTGTGACACTCTCGTCGATTCTACCACAACCAGGCCCCTGCATCTTTGTGTTCTGTTGGTCTGGGGGCTTGAACCTGAATACAAGCTGTCCCTGAGCTTTTTCTGCTCAGGATTGATTGGTGGCTGGTCTAGCACTTGAGCCACAGCTCCACTTGCTGCTGGTTAATGGGAGATGAGTCTCCTAGGTGTGGCCGCTTGAACGTCGGCTTCAGATCTCAGCCTTCTGGGTAGCTAGGATGACAGTCGCGAGCCACTGGCTGGGGCCAGGCCCTGCCTGTGAGTGACCGGCTCAGAAGGGAGTCGTAAGTGGCCAATAGTGACTCTGCTCCAGCCCAGGCCACGCCCACCGCCATGCACTCTGGGATCTTCTTGCCCGCCCCTCCCTTTAAGGGCTCGTGTGTGTGTGTGTGTGTGTGTGTGTGTGTGTGTGTGTGTGTGTGTGTGTGTGTGTGTGTGTGTGTGTGTGTGTGTGTGTGTGTGTGTGTGTGTGTGTGTGTGTGTGTGTTTTCCAGTCCTGGGGCTTGAACTTGAGCTTCTTTTGCTCTACCACTTGAGCCACAGCACCACTTCCAGCTTTTTTTGTGTATGTGGTAGTGAGGAGTTGAACCCAGGGCTTCGTGCATGCTAGCCACTGAGCCACCTTCCCAGCCCCGAGTCTTAGGTTCTAAGATCATCTTTCTGTGCGCTGGGCTCCAGGTGGCACTGGCCTATCATCCTAGCTGAGGATCCTAGGATCCTGAGATCTGAGATCTGAGGATCGCTGTTCAAAGCCAGCCCAGGCAGGAAAGTCTGTGAGACTCTTAATTTCCAATGAACCACTTAAAACCAGAAGTGGTGCTGTGGCTCAAATGGTAGAGCGCCAACCTTGAACAGAAGCGCTCAGAGACAGCCCAGGCCCTGAGTTCAAGCCCCACAACAAAACAACCACAACAAAATCCTCTTTTTCATGTCTGGTGCAGTGGCTCCCTCCTTTAATCCCAGTTACTCAGGAGGCTGAGATCTGAAGATCATGGTTCAAAGCCAGCCCGGGCAGGAGAGCCGGTGAGACTCTCTCATCTTGACAAACAAGAAGGAAGGCTGGGAGGGGCCCCCTGGCCCATATGGCCAGGCTCTCGCTGTTGTATTTGAATTGAGGCCGCGCTCTGGTTGTCCTGGACGATGCTGGGGAGCGGAGCGGAGCGCCTCACCCCCTCCCCCCTGTCCCCCCCCCCCCCCCCCCCCCCCGCAGTGCATCCCCTACGCCGTGCTGCTGGAAGCCCTGGCGCTGCGCAACGTGCGGCAGCTGGAGGACCTGGTGATCGAGGCCGTGTACGCCGACGTGCTCCGAGGGTCCCTGGACCAGCGCAACCAGCGGCTGGAGGTGGACTACAGCATCGGCCGCGACATCCAGCGCCAGGACCTCAGCGCCATCGCGCGCACCCTGCAGGAGTGGTGAGTGTGCATGCGTGCTTGGCCGGCCGGCCTGCCTGCGCGCGCCTACTGCGGCTTGAGCCCAAGGCCCAGCTCTTGAGCCACAGGCTGGTGGTTCACTGGAGATGAGTCTCCCAGACTTTTTGCCTGCACAAGCTGGCCTCCAACCATGATCCTCACCTCTTAGCCTCCTCCACTACCGCTGAAAGCCACACCAGGGATCTTCCAGGCCAGGAGGCAGGGGTGGGGCTAAAGGAAGACCTTCTGCCCCAGGGCTCTGAGCCAGCATCCGTCAGGCCCCGGCGAGGTCTGTGGAGTTGGTGCTGCCTTGTTATGCCAAAGACTTGAACTAGGCCTGGAGCTGGCTAGGCAAGGGCTCGCTTCTAGCCCTCCATTTCAGGCTCAGCGTGATCTTTTTCCCCCTGCAGCTGGGATTATGGTAGGCATCCATGCCTCGCTGGCTGGTTGAGATGGGGTTTCAGTGACACTTGTCTGTCCAGATTGAGCCCATGTGATCTCCAAATTCTCACGCAGCTGGTATTACAGGCGTGAACAGCCATGCCCAGGCCACAGAAGGGGCCTTTTTTTTTTGGTCCTGGGACTTGAACTCAGGGCCTGGGCACTGTCCCTGCGCTCTTCAGCTCAAGGCTGGCGCTCTACCCTTGAGCCACAGCACCACTTTCGGTTTTCTGGTGGTTCCTTGGAGATCAGAGTCTCACAGACGTTCCTGCCCAGGCTGGCTTTGAACCGAGATCCTCGGATCGCAGCCTCCTGAGTCGCTGGGATGACAGGCGGGAGCCAGGGGAATCTTCGGTGAGATGTTGGCCACCTGTCAGAGGTTGGATTTCGTGCCTTGGCCTGGAGTCCAGCGCGGCTCTTCCTCCTTTCCATTTTCCTTCCTCAAACGCTTTAACTCTTCCCGGTCTCTGCGCCTCTGCTCCTGAGCGCCGGGATTACAGGCCTGCGCTGCGCGCCTGGCACTGCTGTGTTTGCAGCACGGTGGGCCGGGCCCCTGGCTGCGGAGTGGGTGGCAGGGGCTGGCCTGTGACGCCGCCGTCCCGCAGGTGCGTGGGCTGCGAGGTGGTGCTGTCGGGCATCGAGGAGCAGGTGAGCCGCGCCAACCAGCACAAGGAGCAGCAGCTGGGCCTGAAGCAGCAGATCGAGAGCGAGGTGAGCGGGGCGGGCCCCGCCTGTGCCCGGGTCGGCCGGGGACCCGCCTGGTGAGCACCCCGTGTCTCCTAGGTGGCCAACCTCAAAAAAACCATCAAAGTGACCACGGCGGCGGCGGCGGCGGCGGCGGCCACGACCCAGGACCCCGAGCAGCACCTGGCCGAGCTGCGCGAGCCCGCGCCCGGCGGCAGCCAGCGCCAGCCCAGCAAGAAGGCGTCCAAGGGCAAGGGGTGAGCCGGGGCGGCCGCGGGGCGGGCGGGGGGGGCCGCGCGAGGGCGCCTGGCATCCCGGCTCTCTCCCCCTCGCCAGGCTCCGGGGCAGCGCCAAGATCTGGTCCAAGTCCAACTGAGCCCGCCGCGCGGTCCGTGGGATCCTGGGCCTCCGCCGCCTCCACCCAGCGCTCTCTCTCCCCGATCCCCCCCCCCACAGCCGGGGAGCGGTTCTGGAGGCGCCCCGGTGCCCCCCATTCTTGATCCCCCTTGATTCGCACCCGGGGATTTGTGGGGCCCAGTGTGGGGGCCCCCAGAGCCTGCAGCACACTACACGGTGTCCTGTCCCCCGCCCTCGGGTCCTGGGCGAAACTCCGCTGCTTCACACATCCCAGAGCCCAAGCCAGGACAGCGATCCCGCCGATGCTCGCCGAGGCCTGCGGGAGCACTGATCGCTCTCCTTTCTTGTGTGAGTTTGTGGGGAAGGGGAGGGGCTAGAGACTGTACAAAGGAATCTATGCATATAGCTCTATAACGCGACACAGAAATAAAGCTGTGAGAGTTGGCCCTCGTGTGCCTGGCACTGGCTTCCCACACCAAAGAGGAACGCGTGTTTTCAGCCTTCGATCCTGGGCTGTGTCTCAGCCCTCGAGGAAGAGGTGTTTGGCACCAGCACCGGCCTGCCCTCTGCCCTCTGCCCTCTGCCCCCTGCCCCCTGCCCTCCCCCCTCCCACCTCAGACAATCCTTAGGACGGGTTGGCAGTGAACTTGATGTCATTTCTTTGTACTAAAATTCCACACTGCCCAGCACCAGTGGCTCCCGCCTGTCATCCCAGCGACTCAGGAGGCTGAGATCTGAGGAGCCCGGTTCAAAGCCAGCCCGGGCAGGAAAGTCTGTGGGACTCTGATCTCCAAGGAACCACCAGAAAAACGGAAGTGGCGCTGTGGCTCAAGGGGTAGAGCACCAGCCTTGAGCACAAGAGCTGAGGGACAGGGCCCAGGCCCTGAGTTCAAGCCCCGCCACCAACCAAAAAAAAAAAAATTTCACATTGGGCTGGGCGCCAGTGGCTCACACCTGTCATCCTTGCTACTTGTGGTTCAAAGCCAGCCTGGGTGGGAAAGTTTGGGAGACTCTTCTTTTTGCCTGTGTAGGCGCTGTCCTGCAGCTCGTCAGCTCAAGGCAGGCGCTCTACCACTTGAGCCACAGCGCCACTTCCAGCTTTTTCTGCTTTTGTGGTGCTGAGGAACCGAACCCAGGGCCTCATGCATGCAAGGCAAGCGCTCTACCACTGAGCCACCTGCCCAATCCAGTTTGAGAGACTCTTAGCTACGATTAAGCATCAAAAACCCAGGAGTGGGGCTGTGGCTTAAGCGATAGCTAGTCTTGAACAAAAAAATGGACAGTGCCCAGGCCCTGAGTTCAAGCCCCAGGACAGACACCACACACACACACACACACACACACACACACTGAGTTTTCCCAGAGTTTGTACAGGGGGTGGTGGATCATCTGTGATGGGCTTTGTCTTCTGAAGACCCAGTGGGCCTGCTCCTCAGAGCCACCCTCCAGCGCTTCTGCTATTCTCTGCTGGGAGACTGAAGGGAGCTGACTTCACATTCATGAGAGGCAGGGGCTGGAGGCATGGCTCAGGTGGTAAAGTACCTACTTAACAAATGTGAGGCCCTGAGTTCAATTCCTCATACCACACACACACACAATCAGCTGGGTACCAGTGGCTCATGCTTATTCACACTTGTAATCCTAGCTACTCAGGAGGCTGAGATCTGAGGATTGCAATTCAAAGCCAGCCCAGGCAGAAAAGTCCATGAGACTCATTTCCAATGAACCACCAGAAAACCGGAAGGGGCGCTGTAGCTCAGGTGGTAGAGCACTACCCTGGAGCAAAAGAAGCTCAGGACAGCACCCAGGTCCTGAGTTCAAGTCCTAGTGTTGGCACAAAAAAAATCACAAAGTGTTTGCACTTGGCTATGTGTGTAATCCCTAGCAACACACACACAAATTAAATGCATCCTGTGCGATTGTTTTTGAGTAGCAGGGATTACAGATGTGAGCCACTGGTGTCTGCCTGGATTACATTTTCTGATACTGAAGTTCACATTTTTTTTTCTTTTGGGCCAGTCCTGAGGCTTGAACTCAGGGCCCTTGAGCTTTTTCTCTACTTGAGCCACAGCTTTACTTCTGGCTATTTCAAGTGACTAACAGAAGAGTCTCACGGCCTTTCCTGCCAGGGCTGGCTTCCAACCTCAATCCTCAGACCTCAGCCTCCTGAGGCCCTGGATGACAGGTGCCCGGCCCATTCTTGTTTTTTGTGGCTGCTTTTTCTAAAGTTAATTTCTGATAGAAGCTAATCATAAGTAGGGTGCTCACTGTAGCCGCTCGCCACCACGCTGAGATCACACCACCGTGGACCTCTTTTGAAGTGAACAGGGAAGGGCACCGAGAGGTCGCATGACTCACCAGGGCCACACAGCTTACAGGACATAGGATGGCCAGGAAGTGGTTGGGTCCACCCAGGGACAGCCAAGTGTGAAGGCTGTCTGTCCATATTAACCGCTATGTATGAAATCTCCAAGTGACACTTGTCAGAATCAAATAGTTCCCTAGTCAGCACTGGTGGCTCATGCCTGCAATCCCGGCCGAGATCTGAAGATCTGGGTTCAAAGGCAGCTCAAGGCAGCAAAGTCAATGAGCTTTTCAAGTCCCGTGAATGATCAGAAAAAGCCACATGTGGCGCTGTGGTTCAAGTGGTAGAGGGCTAGTATTGAGCAAAAGCAGGGACAGCGACCAGGCCCTGAGTTCAAGCCCCAGGACGGGCACATAAAATTAGTGAGGTTTGTTGCACTTGCCTGGTATGTGTGCAATTCTGGGCAACCACACCCACAGGTGCTGTGCGATTGAGTGATAGAATATGCTGGAAAGGCAGTGGAGCGAGCAGACCTTAGGTTAGGGGTAGAAGTGTGTGCGTGAGTATGGAAAGGCAGTGGGAGCAGCTCTGGGGTTGTAAGTTTCCTGCCTGATTGGAGTTAAGTCTCTCAGTTCGTCCAGCCCAGGCTGGCTTTGAACCAGGATTCTCAGGGCTCAGCCTCCTGTGTGGCTAGGGTAGAAGGCCCGAGCTCGGCATCTGCTGTCTACCCTCTCAGTAGCTGGTGTCAATGAGTCACCAACTGAGCTTGGCCTGATGCTCTCATTAAAGCCACTGGCTGGCTTTGTGAAGGCCCGTGCGGCATTCCTGGTGAGTTGCTAAATCTCTCCAGCAAAAACATAGCATCTAAAGCTTTTATTTTTGTTCTGCTACTGGGACTCGAACTCAGGGCCCCATGATCTCCCTTAACCTCCACTCAAGACAGGGGCCCTACTGCCTGAGCTCCCTGCCAGCCCTAGGCTATGGGTACCTACGTTTGCTGAGTAACTAGGATCACAGGCGTGAGCCACCAGTACCTGGCTGTAGACCTGATCCTTAAGACTGGGCCTGGAAACAGATGGCGCACACCTGTCATCCCAGCTACTCAGGAGGCTGAGATCTGAGGATTGAGGTTTGAAGCCGGTCTGGGCAGTGAACCAGCAAAAAAAAAAAACCCAAAACCCAAAACAGCAGTAGAGATGTGGCTTAAATGTGGTAGAGGGAAAAAAGGGTCAATGCTCTGAGTTCAAGACCCACAAAAGAATCACATGCCTGGAAGCGGGGTCCCCGTGGGAGAGTGGGGGGGTGCTGGAGAAAGTCAGCGTGGACTGGAGCTGAAAGGGAGCAGGAAAAGGCCAACTCAGGCCTAGAGCAGCCGAGAGGCGCAGACCCAAAGCCCGGGTCCATGAGCTGGCTGCGCGCGCCCGCGCGGCCCACACCTCCGGGCTCTCACCTTGCTATCCCTGGGGCTTGCTCCCAGACTCGAGAGAAAGTAAGCGAATGTGCAACGTGGCCAGAGCACGTATTAAAGATGAGGGCTCTGTGGGTTTCGAGTGCCATCCAGGTGCTGGGCACACGCCTGGAATCCCAGCTACCCGGGAGGTTGAGATCTGAGGATTGAGGTTCAAAGGTGGAGCCCAGGCGGGAAAGCCCAGGGTCAGCGCCCAGGCCCTGAGTTCAAGCCCCAGGATTGGCAGGAAAAAGACAAAAAATGCAGCGATCCACGTTCACCTACAGGCACGGGACGGTGTCTGCAGCCCACCCGAGATCTGCAGCGGGCCGGGCCGCGCTCACTGGGCCTGACCCACCTCCGGTCCCTGCTGGGTCTCCCCGTCAGCCCGAGAGTTGGTTTCCCCCAGTGGCGGCCTGGCCGGGGCCGTCCACGCCCGGCGCCCGCCAGCACGCGGGCCGGGCCGTGACCCATTTGGCTGTCCGGCCAAACCAGAAGCAGGAAACGTGAGCTCCTTCCTGCCCGTCGCGGGGCAGGGCGCTCGGGTTCCAGGCGCGGGGCCTCGCCCGCCTCCCTTCCCGGCTCGGGTTCTCAGCCTCTGGGGGGGGGTTGAGCTCCTCTCCCTCCAGTGTGTGCGTGCGTGCGTGTGGGGGGGTTGAGCTCCTCTCCCTCCAGTGTGTGCGTGCGTGCGTGTGGGGGGGTTGAGCTCCTCTCCCTCCAGTGTGTGCGTGCGTGTGCGTGCGTGTGGGGGGGTTGAGCTCCTCTCTCCAGTGTGTGCGTGCGTGTGCGCGTGCATGCGTGCGGTTGAGCTCCTCTCCCTCCAGTGTGCGCGTGCGTGCGTGTGGTTGAGCTCCTCTCCCTCCAGTGTGCGCGTGTGCGTGCGTGTGGTTGAGCTCCTCTCCCTCCAGTGTGCGCGTGCGCGCGTGCGTGGGGCTGAGCTCCTCTCCCTCCACTGTGGCCCGTGGCGGGCCGGGCACCGGTGCGCACGCCTGCAACCCCAGCTGTCGGGGAGGCCCCGGCGCAGGGCCCAGGCCCCGAGTTCGAGCCCCGGGGCGGGCGGCCAAGAACGAGGCGGAGGCGGCTCCCGGGCGGCTGTGTTCCGTTCTCCTTTATTCCAGAAACACCTAGCTGCGAGTCGCCCTAATCAGAAAAATAAAGAGCGGGGCGTGGATCTGTGAGCGGGTGCGGGCGGGGCGGGGCGGGGCTGCGGGGCGGGGCGGGGCGGCGCGCCCGGCCCGCAGCGCGCGTTAGTGGAGTTACTATTCCGTCGGGCCGGGGGTGGGGACGACGCTGTCGGGGTGACCTGGGGCTGCGCGGACGGGGCGCGGGCCGGGGCGCGCGGCTTCACCAGTCGTAGCGGCGGGACTGGCGCGACGGCGAGTCCTCGGGGCCCTGGATGGCCAGGCGCGGGGGGCCCTCGGCCCTGCGCCCCGCGCCCGCCGCCGCCTCGTGCCGCCGGAACTCCAGCGGGCGCTGCGGCCGGAAGCGCGACGTCTCCCGCCGCCACTCGTCGTCGAAGGCGGCGGCCTCACCTGCGGGCGCAGAGCGGGCGAGGCTCGAGGCCGGCCGCGCGGGAGCGCAGCTGCGGCTCAGCGGCAGAGCGCCCGGGCCTAAAGCGTAGGCGCCAGCGCCAGCGCCAGCACGCACCCACGCGCGCATGCGCAGCACCCACGCGCGCATGCGCAGTACCCGCACGCACTGCGCTGCCTGCGCACAGGTCTGCGCCAGGTACGCCCGCGCGCATGCGTAGTACGCATACCTGGGCGGCAAGGATAAAAGGCGGGAGCTGGTCCCGGCTGCGGGGGGGGGGGGGGGGGGCCGCGGGGTCAGGGGGCGCGGGGGTGAGGGGGCGCGGGGCGGGGCTCACTCTCGTCCAGGTTGATGTAGTCCTGCCGCTCCTCCTGGTCCCCGGTGCGGTGGTTGCGGGAGCGCTGCAGGATGTGCGCGCGGTCCCGGATGTGGTGGCCGATGGACATCTGCTCCAGGCCGCTGTCCGAGTCCCGCACCGTCCTCCGCGTCTCCCGGATCTGGGGGCGGCGGGGAGCGCGGCGCTCGGTACCCAGGTCCTGGGGTGGGGGTGGGGGGCACCCCGGGGCGCAGCCCCCCCCCCCGCCCTCCTCACCCCGCCCGGCCCCGATGTGGGGGTTTGGGGGGGCACCCCGGGGCGCAGCCCCCCCCTTGCCCGCCCCGGAGTGGGGTTTGGGGGGGACACCCCGGGGCGCAGCCCCCCCCGCCGGCCCCGGTGTGGGGTTTGGGGGGACACCCCGGGGCGCAGCCCCCCCCCGCCCTCCTCACCCCGCCCGGCCCCGATGTGGGGGTGGGGGGACACCCCGGGGCGCAGCCCCCCCCCCCGCCCGCCCCGGTGTGGGGTTTGGGGGGACACCCCGGGGCGCAGCCCCCCCCGCCCTCCTCCGATGTGGGGTTTGGGGGGGACACCCCGGGGCGCAGCCCCCCCCGCCGGCCCCGGTGTGGGGTTTGGGGGGACACCCCGGGGCGCAGCCCCCCCCCCCGCCCTCCTCACCCCGCCCGGCCCCGATGTGGTGTTTGGGGGGGACACCCTGGGGCGCAGCCCCCCCCCCCCCGCCCTCCTCACCCCGCCCGCCCCGGTGTGGGGATTGGGGGGACACCCCGGGGCGCAGCCCCCCCCCCCCCGCCCTCCTCACCCCGCCCGGCCCCGATGTGGTGTTTGGGGGGGACACCCCGGGGCGCAGCCCCCCCCCCCCCGCCCTCCTCACCCCGCCCGGGGCCGAGCGCATCTCCGACGTCTCCTGGTAGACTTTGGGGGCGCCGTCGCCCGTGTTGGAGTAGGAGATGACGGTGGAAGAAGAAAAGGTCTGGCAGTTGCCCCCCGCTGTCATGTGCTCCTGGGGAGGAGAAGGGGAGTGGGGGCGGGTCCCCCTCAGGAGCCTCTCCCCCCCCCCCCCCCCCGCACCCCACTTCCTCCGATCCACACTGCCCTGCTCTGACTCTGTGTCAGTCCCGGGGTTTGAGCTTTTGTGCTCCAGGCTGGCGCTCTACCACCTGAGCCACAGCTCCACTGCGGGCTTTCTGGTGGTTCCTTGGAGTAAGAGTCACGTGGACTTTTCCTGCCCGGGCTGGCTTCGAACTGTGATCCTGAGATCTCAGCCTCCCGAGGAGCTGGGGTGACAGGCAGGAGCCGCTGCCGTCCAGCCTGGGGGACCCGGAGCTCTCATTCACCCCTTTATTTAGGACACGCCTCCAGCTCCTACCAGAGGGGACCAGGCACTGGCAGCCATCACCGAGACCAGGCCTGGGACCACGGGGCCCGAGCCTCACCATGCTGCCAATCATGTCATTCATCATCCCAAACATGTCCATGAAGCCGCCGGACTGTGGAGAGACCGCGACAGCCGTCAGCATCCAGGAGCACCCGCCGCCGCCGCCACGTTCTCCTCCCTCCACCATCCACCCCCTCTTCAGACTCTGCTACTCCTTGACCCAATTCCCCCCCCCCCCCCCCAGACCTGGGGCTTGAGCTCAGGGCCTGGGCCCTGTCTCTGAGCTTCTGTGGCTCAAGGCTGGCGCTCTACCCCTTGAGCCACAGCGCCACGTCCAGCTTTTTCTGTGGATGTGGTGCTGAGGAATCGAACCCGGGGCTTCATGCATGCTAGGCAAGCGCTCTACCACTGAGCCACCTGCCCAGCCCCTTTCCTTCCTCTTTCTATATGAATTTAGGAAGGGGGTGTCTGCCCTTTACTTTTTCACTCAAGACAGATGACACTCTGCTACTTGAGCCACACAAGCTCCACTTCTGGCTTTTTTTTTTTTTTTTGCTGGTTAACCTGAGAGTCTCACAGACTTTGCTGCCTGAACTGGTTCTGCACACCACCATCCTTAGATCTCAGCCTCCTAAGTGGCTGGGATTACAGGCGTGCGCTACCTCCCTGTCCAGGGCTTGGCTTTCTATCTTTAGGGAAGCCAGCCATTGTGAAAGAATCCCAAAGAGATAGGGCATGAAAGAAGTTAAAATCTACTAACCTCTACTTCCTGGGCTCTGTGGGAGCATGCAACCCCTTCGCTACATAGTTACCCAGTGAAGCTAGGCACAGGGGAGTCTGTGTCTTGAGCAATCTACTTAGTAGCTCCCAGCAAGCCTCCCTGACCTGACCCAGCTTTGTGCATTATCCAAAAGAGAAGATTCTGGAAGCATTTACAAGTAACACACAAGGCCATAGACTCAAGAGACGGGGGGAGACAAGCACTCACCATTCCCAGCATCCCGAAGGGAGACACCACCCCAGCCTTCAGGAACATGGAAGAAGAGAAATTAGAACCCATGTTGTCTCTCCTTACAATCTCCCGCCGGGCCCATGAACTCCATTTTCTTTTTTTTTCTTCTCCATCCTCTCAAAAGGGGGTCAATCTGGTCCTTTTCCCAGCCCCCCCCCCCCCCACTAGTCCCTGAAGACCTTTCTCTTGCGAATCTGGAGTGTTAAGAAGAGCAATGTGCGTTCCCAAGCGCCAGCTACCCGAGCGCCCCGGGCTTCCCTCACCTGCATCCGGCGGCTAGCAGGCCTGGTGGCGGGCATGTTACCGTCGGTGATGCTGAGGAAGGGGCTGTAGCCAAAGCCCCCGGACAGCATGCGGCTCATGTGCTGGCGGTGAACTGCAAAAGGGTCCCTGGGAGTAGACAGGGCAGAGGCCAGGCCCGAGGGCCGACCCGACCCCCAACATAAGTCAGGGGGTACTACACATATTATAACATCCTCCCCTCCCCTTCTTTGGCCAGTAATGAAGCTTGAACTCAAGGCCTGGGCTCTGTCCCTTTGCCTTATTTACTTATTTAACTCAAGGCAGGTGCTCTGCCCACTTTTTGACTTTCTAGGGGTTCAATGGAAATAATCTCCGGGACTTTGCTGCCTGGCTGGCTTTGAACTGGGATCCTCAGATCTCAGCCTGAGTGGCTAGGACGACATCGCTCGTACCAGCCAGTGGTAACCGGCTTCAATGGCCTGCGTGTCAAGCGCTCCCAGGCCTGGGCGCACTGGGGGTGCAGGCTGGGGGGGTGGGGGGGCCCTTACATCAGGAACATGGGATCCTCGGGTTCCACGTCCCTCATGAAACGGAACATCCTGGTCTCAGCTCCTGGGGGCTCCACGCTGGAAGGACGGCGAGGCGGGGTTAGTTGGAGGGGTGCAGGGAACTCGGGGAGGCTTGGCTGCCCTTTTCAAGCCCAAGGCTGGTACTCCACCACTTGAGCCACAGCTCCACTTCGGGCTTTTTTTTCTCTTCTTTCTCATGGGAGGTGAGAGACCCCACACACTTTTCTAAAGCCTGGGCCGGCCCCGAACCCCGATCCTGCGGCCTCCGCCGGCTGGGGCGCTGGGTGACCGTGACAGGTGCGCACCCCACTCAGGGGGAGCGACTCTCGGGGGGGTGTCCCTGCCACTTCCAGACGCGGTGGCTGACACCCCAACTCCGGGCGCCCCACACCCATCGCTGGGAGAAAAGGGGAACCCTGCAAACGCGTCTTCCCGGTGAGACCCACGCAGAGTCCCCCCGCCCCCGACGGTGTCCCCACGAGCGCGAGCGCCCCTCGGAGGGACCCCCCCAGCCCGTCCCCGGCCTCCCCGGCCCGGCCTCCGCCGGCCTCAGCCTCCCCGGCCTCCCCCGGCCCCGGCCTCCCCGGCCCGGCCTCCCCCGGCCCCGTCCCCGGCCTCCCCCGGCCCCGGCCTTCCCGGCCTCCCCCGGCCCCGGCCTTCCCGGCCTCCCCCGGCCCCGGCCTTCCCGGCCCTGGCCTCCCCGGCCCGGCCTCCGCCGGCCTCAGCCTCCCCGGCCCCGGCCTCCCCCGCCCCGGCCTCCCCGGCCCCGGCCTCCCCGGCCCCGGCCTCCCCGGCCTCGGCCTCCCCAGCCTCCCCGGCCCCAGCCTCCCCGGCCCCGGCCTCCCCAGCCTCCCCGGCCCCGGCCTCCCCGGCCTCCCCGGCCCCGGCCTCCCCGGCCTCCCCGGCCCCGGCCTCCCCGGCCTCCCCGGCCCCGGCCTCCCCGGCCTCCCCGGCCCCGGCCTCCCCGGCCTCCCCGGCCCCGGCCTCCCCGGCCTCCCCGGCCCCGGCCTCCCCGGCCTCCCCGGCCCCGGCCTCCCCGGCCTCCCCGGCCCCGGCCTCCCCGGCCTCCCCGGCCCCGGCCTCCCCGCGCCCGGCCCCGGCCTCCCCGGCCCCGGCCTCCCCAGCCTCCCCGGCCCCGGCCTCCCCGGCCTCCCCGGCCCCGGCCTCCCCGCGCCCGGCCTCCCCCGCCCCCCCCCCCCCGCCTCACCGGTCCCCGACTCGGGCTCAGCGGCCCATCCGGGCCGGCTCCGCTCCTCGGGTGCGCGGCAGGCGCAGGGTCGCGGCCCGGGACGCAGCGATTGGTCGGGGCTCGAGCTCGGGGCCGCCCGCGCCGCCTCCTGCCTCCAGCTGCCACCTCCGTGCCCCCGCCTTCGGCCCGCGGAGCCTCTCCTCGGCCAGGCCCGGACGGAAGTGACGTCACGGCGGGCCCGCCCCGGGGGCCGGGCGGCCGGAGCCACGCCCCCGCCGTGACGTCGGAGCGGGCGTGCCCACTGCGTCGGGGGCGGGGCCGGCGGCGCAGACCTGGGGGGGTGGGGGGGCGCGGGGGGCCGAAGTCGGGGCTCGTTTACTAGCCGGGTCTTCGTTTCGGGGGGCCGGCTGCGGCTCGGACGAGAGTCTTGGGTGGGGGCGGTTGGGAGGAACATCCGGGTGTGGCGGGGTGGGGAGCGATCGCCGGGAACGGCGGGTAGGCCGCGGCCTGCGCGACGGGGCGGGGCCTGCGCGTGACGTCAGGCGCAGGGAGGCGGGGCTCCGGCGGGTGGGAAGCGTCCGGGCGGGGCGGGGGGGCGCAGCGGCGCGCAGCCGCAGGCGCGCAGTGCGGCCGCCAGAGGGCGCGCCCGGGCCGCGCCGGCCCCGGAGCCCGGCGGCCCCGGCCGAGGCCCCGCCCGGCCGCCGCGCTGGCCCTGGCTGCAGCGCCCGGCCTCCGGGCCGGAAGCGCGCAGGGTTCGGCGGCTGGCTGCTCTCGTCCGTCCTTTTGTTTGGTTTCGGGGGTAGAACGCGGGGCTCGGCCAGGCCGAGCACGCGCTCCGCCACCGACTCCATCCGGGTCCCTGCAAGGCGTTTCATTCCCCGCAACTTCACCTTGTGTCCTCGCAGAGCCCCCGGCCCGGCCCCGATCGCCCTCGCTTCCCGCCGGGTGGGTGAGGCCGGGAAGCTTCCAGAGCGGCCGGCGGGGGGCTCTGACCGCTCGGCCTCCTAAAATACCCCAGGGAGGCTGAACTCCGGAGGATCCCGGTTCGAGGCCAGCATGGACAGGAAAAGTCCCAGGAGACTCTTCTCTTCCATGGATGGGAGACGTGGAGACGTGCCTCCTGGACCAGCACCCATGGAAGAGGGGGGGCAATGAGAGGGGGAGCAGAAATCCCCGGGTTCACACACACAGGGTAACAAGTCCGAATCACCCAAGGGCAGAGCTCACAACCTGGTCCAACAGGCCCAGGTCCAAGGCCAGAGGCTGACACTTTGACATAGAGAAGGTCTTGCATAAAATCTGGCTCCCTGGGAGAGGAAGCCCCCCCCCCCCCCGCCCCGCTTTGGGGAGTCAGAAGATTTGCAGACAAAAGTTGGGGTGAACTTTGAACTAGACTCCAAGCTCCAGCCCTAAGAGAAACCAAGACCTGTTCTGGGGGGGGGGGCTGCTGGAGAGGGGAACTGGCCTGGAGATTTGGGGGTGGGGGGGTCACAATGACTCCGATTTCTTTGGATCGATTTGCTTGTAGACTAGCGAGGTACAGAGAAAACCACTGAAAGGTTATAAAAAAATGGTTGGTTTTTTTTTCCCCCCATTGAGATTTCTGGGGGAAAGCCTTTATAAAAACCTTTCCCGTGTCTCTGGCATTCTGTGTAACTAACTGCTTTCTCTCTTTGCCCCTAAAGGAAAACAGTTTGACCTGTGACCCAAAAGCTATCCTTGCAGGGTTGAGGGGGCTGGTGGCTCCCATCTGTCATCCCAGCCACTCAGGAGGCTGAGATCTGAGGATCATGGTTCAAAGCCAGCCCAGGCAGGAAAGTCCGTGGGACTCTGATCTCCAATAAACCACCAAAACAGCCAGAAGTGGGAGGAGTTGTGGCTGGAAGTGGTGGAGCACTAGCCTTGAGTAGAACAGCTCAGAGACATAGTTCAGGCCGTGAGTTCAAGCCCCAGGATCAATTAAAAAACAAAAGGAAAACAAACCCAGTCAACCTTTCCAAACCCTCCAGCTCATGCCTGTAATCTTAGCTACTCAGGAAGGTGAGATCTCTTGAAGATTGAGGTTGATAGCCAGCCAAGGGAAAAAAAAAAAAAAAAAAAAGTCTGTAAGGTTCTTATCTCCAATTAACCAGCAGGAAACAGTGGAAGTGGTCAGAATACCAGCCTTAAGTGGAAAAAGTAAGCAAGAACAGAGCCCTGGCACGCATGCGCACACGCACACACTCAACCAATCAATAAAAAGATCCATGAGTTCTAAATGTGTTATCAGATCCATTTCTTAACAGATTGCACTTTATCTGGAGGCTTCCAGCTCTCTCTCTCTCTCTCTCTCTCTCTGTCCTGGGGTTTGAACTCAGGGCCTGGGTGCTGTCCCTAAGCTTTGGTGTACACAAGGCTGGCGCTCTACCACTTGAGCCACAGCCCCACTTCTAGTTTTCAGGTGGTTCCTCGGAGATAAAAGTCTCAATAGATTTTCCTGCCCAGGATGGCTTTGAACCATGATCCTCAGATCTCAGCCTCCTGAATAGCTAAGATTATAGAAGTGAGGCACAGTACCCAGTTCTGTCTGTCTCTTGAAAGGCAAGCACTCTACCACTGAGCCAACTTCCCAGCCCCCGTCTGTCTCTTGAAAGGCAGGTACCAGGAAATTTTATCTTTCAGCTTTAAATCTTAATCTCACAACTCAGTCCCTAACAGCAAGTAGGAAATCAGTTTGTTGAAGTAGAAGATTTTTCATATAGAGGAAAAAGAGCACTTTACATGTTTTAAGTGAAGTTTTTCTGTGTATGTGTGCTGGTGCTCTACCACTTGGACCACACCTCCACCTCCAGCTTTTTAGTGGTTCTTTGGAAATACCCATCTCACAGACATGCCTGCTCAGGTTGGCTTTGGACCTCCATCCTCAAGGCTCAGCCTTCTTAGTAGCTGGGATTGTTACAAGCACGAGCCCCTAGTGCTGGCCAGGCCTGAGTTAAAAGATTTTTCTTTCTTTCTTTTAATGGGGAAGCCACTTGCGCCAGCTACTTAGGAGGCTGAGATCTGAGGTTGGAAGTTCAAAGCCAGTCTGGGCAGGGAAGGCTGTGAGACTCTGATCTCCAATAAACCACCAGAAAACCAGAAGTGGTGCTGTGGCTCAAGTGGTAGAGCGCCTGCCTGGAACAAATGAGCTCAGGGACAGCGCCCAGGCCCCGAGTTCAAGACCCATCACCTACCAGTGAGAGAGGGAGAATGAGATGGAAATAACTAGCACTCAGCTCTTCCCACGCTCAGTCCATTTTAGGTTGTGTGGCCAGAAGTCAAGAGTTTCTGGGGGGCTCAGCCCTCGCTTTGGTCACCCCATTTCCGGGAATCACAGGTTTTTCCCTTCCCACTAGAGGAGGAGGTGCGATGGGAGAGCTGGAGGACGGGGAGCCGGCCCCCCAAGGCCGGGGTCCCCCCCCAGCTCCCGCCTCGCCCCTCCCCGGGGCGCCCCGGGTCCCAGGCCGGGCCTGGGGGGCGCAGGGTTCCCATTCCCGGCCTTTCCATCTCCCTGGAATTTTCCACGGCAGCTGACTCCACTCCCAGACACCCCTCCCCGGGCAAAATTCCCGGCTCCCCCCCTCCCCCTCCCCCTCCCCCCTCCCCCCTCCCGATCGCACCCTACTCCAGCCCCAGCCCCCCCCCCCCCCCGCCCCAGCCCATCCTGGGGGGTCCCGTGGGGGGGGGGGGTCCCGGGGCAGTGGGCAGGGGGGAGAGGCGGGGCAGGGTGGGGAGGGCCGGTCCCGCAGGGGGGCTGCAGTGGGGGGGAGTGGCCCTCCTCACATCCCCATATAAGGCAGGGCAGGGAATGGCGCCCCCGGATTGGCTGATTCAAATGAGCAATCCACCTGGCAACAGCGTTCCTACTGGCCGCCAGCGGGGAGGGGGAGGGAGGCGGACGGAGGCTGGTGATTGGAGGGGGCGGAGGGGGAGGAGGGGCGCCGAGGTGGGGGGGGGGCGGTTACCAGGGCAACGGGGTGACCAGCCCAGCAGGGCGTCCCAGACAGCAGGCGGGGCGGGCGGGGGAGAAAAGTGGGGTGGGGGGGAGGAAGGGACGGGGGGGGGCCAGACGGGGGGGGGGAGAGGATGGAGAAAAAGGAGATTAATGAAGCCTGGGAGGAGCGGGGGGGGGGGGCAGGGGGGGACGGGGGGGGGGGGGGAGATTAAAGGCATCAGCCAGAGTCGCAGAGACAGATGGAGAAGGCCGGTGGGGAGATCTCCGAGAGGACGATGGGATCGAATTCTGCTGGGAAGATCCCGGGGTTCGGAGGCCGAGACCCCCCCACCGTCCCCCCCACAGGAGGAGGGCGGGGCCGTGCGACCCCCCCAAGCCCCGACCCGCGCGATGTGTCATTTACAGAATTAAAAGGGTGCGGGTGACCCCTGACCGCGGCCCCCCACCCCTGCGCGAGTGCGCGTGCGCGCGCCCCGCCTGGCACTCGGGACCGGAGGCTCGTCCCTCACTGCCCCCATCCGAGGTCCCGGTGGGCGCTCTACCACCTGAGCCACGCCGCCACGCCCGGGGTCTGCCCTTTGTGTGATGTCTCCTTCCCGGCCGGCTTTGAACCGCGACGCTCGCATGGCCGCCGCCCCAGGCGCTGGGGTGACGGCGGCCTGCCCCCCCTTCCCACCCCCCTGCTTTCCTTGAGTTTAATCCACGCGTTAATCCGGGGCGCGCGCGCGTGTGTGCGCGTGTGCACGTGTGCGCGTGTGTGCGTGCACGTGTGCGGCCTAATTTTAGACTTGGACCCAGAGAATCCAGAAAGACCGATGGAAAAGCAACGGGGAAAATAGGAATAAAGACGAGAGAAGGAATCAGATGGGAAGGGGGGGAGGGAGAGCGAGGTCCGGATGGGACGAGAGGTCAATGCCCAGCCCTGCAGGCCGCGGGGGGGGGGGGGTCCCGGGGGGGGATCCCCGGAAAAGGGGGAGGACGGCCCGGCCCCGCGGGCGAGGAGGGGTGAGGCGGAGGGGGAGGCCGCTGCCCTGCCCTCGCCCATCCTTCCCCCCCCCCCCCCCCCCCCGCGCCTCAAGGCCACCCAGACAATGTGGGGGGGAGGGGAGGGGAGCCGGGCAGCCCCTTCTTTCTTGGGGTTCGCAGATACCCGCGCGATCTCTCCATCCGCCGCGCCCCGCCCGCCCTCGCCCGGCGGACACCTCGGGGTGTTCTGATTACATTTATGCGTGTGTGTGTGTGTGTGTGTGGGGGGGGGGGGATCAGGAAGGTTCTGGGCGCCCTCCCCGTCGGGAGGGAGGGGCGTCTCCCCGCGGAGCCCCGCCCCCGCCCCGCCCCGCCCGCCGGCCCCACCCCTGCGCCCAGGCCCCTCCCGTCGGGCAGCGCTCGGCCTTATAAGCGGGTTCGCTGCCCGGGGGCGGCCGCGGCTGGTCGGCGGCAGCTCTGCGGGTTCGGGGGGTGGCGGAGCCGAGCACCGATCGCCGCCCGAGCGCCCCGGCCGCGCCGCCCCGCCCTCCGCACGGCCGCAGCCCCGCGGGGGCCCCCCGCGCCGGACGCGCCCCGCCCCACCCCGCCGGCGCCGCCCGCACCGGCCCCCCCGCGCCCGCCGTCCAGGCCCCGGGACCCCGGCCCCCCCTCCCCCGCCAGCCCCGGCCCCGGCATCATGTCGGAGAAGAGCGTGGACGCCGCGGCCGAGCTGAGCGCCAAGGTACGACCCCCGCGGCGATCGGGGCGGCCCTCGGGCCCGGGCCGGCCCCCCCCCCCCCCCGCCCCGGCCGGCCGCCCCCCGACGGGCCGCGCTCCGGGTCCCCGCGGACCCCGCGGCGCCCCCCCCTGCGCCCCGCGCCCCGCGCCCGCGCCCTCTAGCGGCGGCCGGGCCCCTGCGACCTGCCCATCCCAGCCCCGCCCCTCTGGGCCTTCATTATCCTAGCCCCGCCCCCACCGTGCCTATCACCCTAGCCCCGCCCCTCCGGCCTCCTCTTTACCCTATTCCCGCCCCTCCGGCCTGCCCATCGCCCTGTCCCCGCCCCTCCGGCCTACCATCACCCTATCCCTGCTACCTGTCCATCATCCTATCCCCGCCCCTCCGACCTGCCCATCCTGTCCCCGCCCCCTCGGGCCTGTCCATCACGCTCTCCCCGCCCCCTCGGGCCTGTCCATCACCTCCAGCTCCACCCCTCCGACCTGCCCATCCTGTCCCCGCCCCCTCGGGCCTGTCCATCACGCTCTCCCCGCCCCCTCGGGCCTGTCCATCACCTCCAGCTCCACCCCTCCGGCCTGTCCACCTCCATCCCCACCTCTTCTGCCAGTTCGTCTCCCTGCCCTCGCCCCTCCGGGCCTGTCGATCACCCCCATCCCCGCCCCTCCGGGCCTGTCCGTCACCGCCGCCTCCACCCAGGGTGCGATCGCCCCGTCGGGGGAGGGGCGGGGGGGCGTCCAGCCCTGACCTCACCTTTCCTCCGCGCTGTAAACACGACGGCCCTCCCCCTCCCCCCCACTCGGCCCCTCCCCTCGGTGCCCGACGTGACCCCCTCTGCCTCTGTTTACCCCCCCATGCCTTCCTTTCCATCCGATCCGACCCCCACCCCCAATTCTTGGATTCCTAATACATAGAGACAGACAGACAGACAGACAGACACCCTTTGGAAAAGCTAAGGCTTCGCTTTGCCTGGCTCCCTTCCCTTCTGCCCACCCCCCCTCCCCTTTCCAGCTTCCCTCTGATTCCCTGCTCC